TAATGAAGACGGGCATACGCCATAATGTAGTGTTCTATGAGGGAAATTTTTCCCTGATAGGGGCGCTACGGCCTACTCTTAATTTGAATTCCAGCCGTTCTTTTACGTACACGTCACCGTGTACACGGGACCTCAGTTTTTAGTCTCATCCGAACGACTATACGTCCTGCACCACTGACACGGAGGTTCAGTCTCGGAAAATCACGATGAACTTTCTCGGCAATGGTTCCCCATATGTGGCTTCATTTATGCCCACATTTAGCACGGCGGTGTCAAAACGTTTATTCCGGATATATTTCAAGCAGCTGTAAGCTAATTCTTCCATTTCACATTTAAATGTTAATTCGTGTGCTATGTTTTAAGGGTGATATAAACAGAAATTTTAAAGGACGCGTGATTTATTTATTGCCATACAGAACATGATGCTAGCTTATTAAAAGAAACGGATTCTTTTCTAGGACAACTCACTTTTAGAATGAGGTTTTGCATGAAACTCCAGTTAACACTGTTTAACATTTGTATTTTACATATTCCGGTCTCGAACTTTAAATTGGGAAGCCTATCAGTCTATCATTTACTTATCAATATTGTGCCCCCTACTCACAGTCGGGGATAGATTTATCTGGTTGCTTTGTAACATCAGCTGTATATTATTTGTATAATCCAAAGGATTGAGGGTTCGAAAACACGACGATCGATCAACAAGCTAGGGGCAGTCCCAGAAATTTGACTGGACTTAAAGGGCCAATCTTGATTACATTTTGGAAAATAAATATGCTTAATTTGGTGTTAAAAGCCCTTATAGGCTCAATACCACTCTTGTTGTAACTGAATAATATGTCCCAATCTTTATTCTGGTCAACAAATTGTACTATTTTACAATATTCCAATTAATTGATGATACAAATTTCATCTTAAGACACCTAATTTAAAAAAATGGAAAAATTCAACTAAATGATTTGAAAAGCCTAACGTAAAGCTTTTCAAATGTGACTTGGATTTAAAAATATTTTTGAACCCTCTGGAGAAGTAAAATAGGATTTAATGGATAATTTACACAACACGTAGGACACTAACACATCTAGTACTTAGAATAAGGCTATTTTTTTTATTTTCTGGAGCTGTCAAGCCAGCAAGAGTGTTATTGTCCCTTTAAAATCCTTTATGAGAGAGAGGGGGAGAAATGGGCTTTAACGTACACTCGACACAAACAAGGTAATTTCGGGACTAACACAAGTTTCAATTTTATTTCCATAATTTGCTTGCGCGTAGGGGTCTTCAGCAGTGGGGGGAAACCGAAGGACCCGAAGAAAACCCACGAGGTTGGACAGGCGACCCTACTCCTTGTCACGTACAACCGGGAAATCGAAACCACGCCAGTTGACTCAATGACAGACTTTATGATACAACGCACACGTGCTAACCATTCAGCTAGCATTAAAGGGACCATTCCGATTTTAACAGAGTCTCAGAAATAAAAGTCTGTGACGTATGAAATTTAAACGCCAAAATATAGAGAAATGGTGTATTTATACCTTGTCTCAAAATTTTAGCTCAAAATATTGAGTCGTTTGAACGTGAACGTCAAAACCGCATATCGGGACACGTAACCCTTTTAAGATTATTCGGTCATTTTGTTTCGTTAGGTGACCTGATATCTATTGCCGTTCCTTTAGAGTTCTATACAGAGCATGACCCATGTGCTGTACTTGTAAACGAAAGGTAAATTTCACCTACACGGTTAATACTGCTGGGGACACCATCTCTATTTCTATGTTGTTTGTAAACGTATCACGTATATCGAGTTAGTTGGGGGGGGGGGGGGATAGAAGGGGGGGGGCGAAAGATAAGAGTGTGCGCGCTGCATCATAAGGTCTGTCATTGAGTCCACTGTCGTGGTTTCGATTCCGCGATTGTACGTGACAAGGAGTAGGGTTGCCTGTGCAACCTTTTGGGTTTTCACCGGGTCCATGGTTTCCTCCCACTGCTATAAATGACTCCTACACGCAAGCGAATTATTGAAACAAAATTGAACTATGTGTTAGTCCCGAAATGACCTAGTTTCTGTTGAGTGAACGTTACCCCCCCCCCCCTCCCCGGACATAACCGAATATACCCTTATAACATGGGCAAGAATGTAGAAAATAAGTGGTTCGTGCATTATCCCCATTATTCATGGTGTAATTTGGGGACAAAATGGCCAACCCCAAATGCAAATTGAAAGTTTGTATTTCTTCAACAAAAAATGAAGTTCTTAATCCCCTAACTAACAAATTGTATTTACCAAAATATATCTATAGAACTTCCTCTTTTAAGGTTTAATTTCACAAATTCGACACAAATGACTAATGCCTATGTAATCATTTATACTAACTTAGATTGGTTGAATTTAAACGTCGGTTGTTTTAAACAATTCAAAAGTTCCAGTTGAAATTGATTTAAGCGTGTAAAGATATTTTGAAAACGGTTGACAAATTGTTAACTTATTTATAAACATTCTACTGACATTTTAAAGATAAACAAATCTTAGACTACTAGTAAACCTAGATTCGGCATGAATGAGTCAGTGTATCTTAGAAAAAGAAAGAAAGAATTGTTTTACTCCCTATATTATGTTTATGAATAATGAGACAATTGATAAATTGCAGATAAATTTACACAGAACTAATTTCTCGCACAGAATATAGAAATAAAGCAGTTCTTTTGAGATTCCTGGTTTATCGGACAGATATAGAAAGCTCTCTATTTATGTTATATGAGGACATGTGTTTTCTTTATTGAAATCATCTGAGTGAGGATGAAGTGTTTGAATGATGCCAAGACCTTGGGAGCATATTAATGGCCATGCATGAAAATGCATAGTTGCACAGGAGTGAAATTTAAACAAATGTATATGATTTCCTTACCTTTTTTCAAACCTTAAAATTGGCCACATACGTCTTATCACAGGGTTTCGTATAATAAAGCTTGCTGATGTTTGATAGATGAATTTAAGTGTGTGTGTGGGGGGGGGGGGCAGAAATAGATAACCCGTAATAGAACAGTGGTATTTAAGCGATAATGCATAACCTCCATGCAGTATGCCGAAAGTGATATCAATATAATATATAGGCCTACATGTACTGTTATTTTAATATGAGATGAAATAATTCTAATGCATTGGTTAAAAGAATATTTCCTCTTTAATTCAAAGTACGTACGTGAAATCAAGGGCTCTTCGTCGTTGCAACATAAAAATATCAGTTTTCTCTACAAACGAATACTTTAAACTATTGTTTCATATACTGTCTATTTTAGTCGACTGGGAACAAATTCTTCATAACTTAAAAATGGTTCTTTAACCATCGTGACAAATACCGAAACAAAATACTTCATCTTGACAAACGAAACGAGACGTTTATACAGGTTGATTTTGGGTTATTTATTACCATTTCTAGATAACATTTTGTTATTTAACTAGGGCATATTGCTCTATCCTCTAGAACCTTAAAATAGACGAACCAAAAGCACATATTTCTAAAATGTACATTATGTCCTATATTAGATTAGGATCCCATATTTTCACGGCAAGATAAGAACGTCAATTGAAATGGACAAATAATACTGAATTCTAATTCGTGTTTTTAAATATACATTATGCAAGAGCTAAATCTGCCTATTGCAAGTCTTTCTTTAGGCCTGAAATGTTATCCAAATTATTAATTAGACTAATTAACTTATTCACACCATAATCAACTCTCGATGTCATCGCTAGCCTGCGATGTTTATTGGATTAGGTTCGGATTTGCTGTTCGACTTCCATTCTTGATTTAATCATGAAATGGATAATCGAGACTATGTTTTTTTTTTATCGCATCGACTTTAGTAATGATGATCGAGGCTAGGCCTAAAATTCAGTCGCTAAAATCTCGGTTCAGACTTCAGAGTGGATCAATTTGAACGAAATTTTCAGCAAATTCCCTTTACATTATCTAGTTTTTTTTAACTATTATAGTGAGACCTGCCAGCTCTTTATCTAATCTCCCATAATGTATCTTTAATTTCAAATATTATGGAAACTATTGAGTTAGAGGTTATAAGCTCCTTTAATTGAGTAATAGTAATTCTGATCGTTAACATACTTCTCAAAAGTCAAAAATATATCCTATTTTAATGTAGAGACTGTTGTTATAAAATGGTCTGACTTAAAAAAAAATCAAAGCCCTATATATACATGCTTCTGCCAAGGTGTTGAAATTATATTCACTATATGGTCCCTACTGTAACGCCACCCTATATGATTATATGAGTCTCTGTCGATCACATTTTAATGATATTAAGACATGATATAAATTCACTGGTCCCTAATGTAACACCACCCTATCTGAGTCTCTGTCGATCACGTATTTTATGTATTGTAAATTCGTTTTCTTTTTCTCCAGATTTTTGTATCCCTATAAATTTGCCCCAGTAACTACATTCATAGAATTTTAATGGGCCTGTATTGGGGTAATACAAATCTCCTGTAGTTTTTACCCATAAATTGCTATAAAATGATTATATATATGGACATACGAATACGATTTTACAATCTATTCTAACAATTTATAGGCTAGGCCTATTTTTATTTTATCAATACAAATTTAATCCACTCAACCCACCCCTTAATTTATAGATTTCTTTTTTTTGTTGCTTTTAATTGAATACCAAAAGTGTTATTCATTAATAATGCGAACAACAATACACAGTTATACCTTCCGATGCATACATATTTTTCTAAAAGTAAATAATAAGCAACTGGCGGGAAATATTATTGCCATGAAAAATGCGCGTCTTTCTCCAAAATGAACGTTTTACCTCTTCATTGGAGAATCTATTTAACGATGAATAAGCCGGTAGTATTAATATATTCGACCTATTTTATAAAGCGTGAATAACTCAAAGCCACTAACTGCCAGTCTCCTAGCACGTTGACATTGATGATGAACTGCTGTGGGATGTTTGGACAATCGAGACTAAATAACTGTTAAAGCTCTCAACAAGACATGCGCATTTATATACCGAATGGCGGAAAATAAATTTAGCCGATTTTAATGTGCAAATGGCTTCGCTAAATTCGGTGAAACGGGAGGCCTTCTTCCGTGGTGAGACTGCCAATTTGAAGTTTGATCCATCTGCTAGATATGGGAGTGATAGAGAGCGCGTGGCTGTGAAAGAAAAGGACTATAATTCGAGAGAAATGGACAACTGTGAGAAAGAAAAACGGGATGAACGAGAAAAGAAGCATGGAGGAGATACTCACAAAGAACTGGAAGGATATGTTGGCTTTGCTAATTTACCAAATCAAGTCTACAGAAAATCGGTCAAACGTGGCTTTGAATTTACACTAATGGTGGTTGGTGAATCAGGATTAGGAAAATCTACATTAATTAATTCCTTATTTTTAACCGATTTATACAGTTCTGAATTTCCTGGACCATCCCATCGTATTAAAAAAACCGTCAAAGTGGACACCACACAGGTCATGCTGAAAGAAAATGGTGTGCAGTTAAAATTAACTACAACAGATACACCTGGTTTCGGAGATGCTGTTGACAATAGTAATTGCTGGCAACCCATCATAGATTATATCGACAATAAATATGAAGATTATTTGACAGCAGAAAGTCGCGTTAATCGCACTGGCATCCCAGACAATCGAGTTCACTGCTGTTTATATTTTATTGCTCCAACAGGCCACGGCTTAAAACCATTAGATGTGGAATTCATGAAGCGACTCCATGACAAAGTTAATATTATACCTTTAATTGCCAAAGCTGATACTCTCACACCAGAAGAATGTCGAGACTTCAAAAAGTCAATTTTAAGCGAGATTGCTGAACACAAGATCAAAATTTATGAATTTCCGTATTGTGAGGATGAAGAGGAAAGTAAAATACAGAAGAAATTACGAGATCGGGTACCATTTGCTGTCGTTGGTAGTAACAGGGTGATCGATTCTGGTGGTAAAAAGGTCAGAGGTCGAATGTATCCTTGGGGTGTGGTTGAAGTTGAAAACCTTGAACATAATGATTTTATTGCACTCAGGAACATGCTCATTAGAACACATATGCAGGATCTGAAAGACGTTACCAATAACGTCCACTACGAAAATTACCGATATGGTAAACTAGCGCCAGTTCAGTCTGACGGAAAAATTAAACCAGGTTCCCTCACCAAAGATCCTTTAACACAAATGGCAGAAGAAAAACGAGACCATGACTTAAAGATGAAGAAAATGGAAGCAGAAATGGAACAAGTGTTTGAGATGAAGGTCAAAGAAAAGAAAAATAAGCTCAAAGAATCAGAAGTTGATCTTCAGAAACGTGCAGAACAGATGAAGAAGGGTCTGGAACAGCAGCAGAAAGAATTGGATGATCGATGGCGCCAATTTGAAAAAGAAAAGCAGGAATGGGAAAGTGCCAATGATAGACATAAAGACATTTTAGATAGTGCTAAAAAGGAGAAAAAGAGACTCTTTTAAGACTTTTAAAACAAAATCTTATTTTGTTGGACATCCAGCTATTCTTCATAAAATTAACCAAACCATTACACTCAGTGCTTGTATTTCAAACGGCAGTCATTAACTTTTTTTCAAGTTTCATCCCTATACTAGTGGAATATATTTGCATCTATAGACGATCTGGATTTATTGATTAATAATCAACATGTTTTGCAATGGGGGATAACAAGGAATGTTTTATATTAAGAAATATGTAGGGTTTAGGGAACAAGGAATGTATTTTTTGCATGAAAAGTTTACACTAAGATTCGGAACAAGATGTTCGAGGAGTGTTGTGTAATGTGTATGTACTGTAGCAGTGTTTATTTGAATTTAATTCAACATTTTATTCCAGTATTTACATAGAAAGATTCATTTCCATAAAATGACTTTGCTAAAATTTCACGTTATTTAAATGAGTGTAGTCGTCCTATCATGTCATACTACATGTACCACTAGACCAATACTGAATTTACATCTCCAGTCAGTTCCTGTTTAGTTTGCAAAACCGTTACACATTTTGGCTTTTATTTTTATAACAAAATTTAAATATAATATATTGATCAAGTTTAAAATACATGTAGGATCATTCTAAATACACATTTTGTTGACAATGTTTTAAAGTTTATACAGAATTGAATGTTAAATCTTTAGTCAAATTATTTTAGTGTATCTGAATACAATTAATAAGAATACTTTTTCAGAAAAAAAAACCCATTTCCTCTGGTGTGTTTATATTTATTTTTGATGACAATCATTGTGGCCAGATGGCAATATGCCACTGAAAACATACTTGCCATGGTAAAATTTAAGACAATATTTGACAGGTCTCTACGATTTTTTTTTGTAGATATTTACCATTTTTTCAAGGCAGTCGACACAATAAAGATGAAGTTAACCAAAATTTTAAAAAATGACATAATGTGAATTTAATGGTTAAGAAATCATTAATTTGTAGTGAATGCTACAAAGGGGACCAAGCATTTAATTAAAAAAAATATTATAAAACTGTTTATTCATTCCTTATCTACTGTTGACAAGAGATACATGTAATCATGTATGAAATATTAGTTAAGACATCTTGGATACTTGTAGTCTTCAAACTTTCAAACTAGGATGGATTATTGAATGTGGTCAGTTCATTATGGTTGGAATGGTAGAACCTAAATATAGGTCATCACTTCTTTTTGTTTTTACATACAGGAAGGTAACAATACTGTTTTCCATTTTAACATCCATTATTTCCTGTTGTTATTCACTTAAATTCATTAGGTCAGGATCAGAATGTTTTATAAGTGATTCTAGTTCAACAGTTGTCTGACAATCTTTTTCATATTCATGATTAAATCATATTTACTTTAAAGTTTCTTGATATTTGTTGACCTGTGTGCTTATGCATATCACGGTCTAAATGTTTTACAACACACCAAACTTATTAAAAGTCCCCTACACATAGTTGTCTTCCAATATGTAGGATCAAATAACATATTTATGTATTTAATAATCAAACATTTTGTATTTTAGCCATCATACATTTATGCCTGTTTTGACTTCTTTATTAGCATGTAGGCTACATGAAACGACTGTACTTGTAGGATTTGTGCTAAAAAAAAACAAAAACATGGTGTACAAGAATTTTGTATGTATTGACAAAATGTATTCATCCCTAAGATACTATAGGCTTAGGTTTTAAGCAGGTATAAAGATTTGCATACATGTATCTACTTCAATATATATATAAAAACCCTCCAACAATATGCAATTTTGTGACTCACAATCATTTTTCTTATCTAAATAGTATATGCATTCATGCAAAGAATCCTTTGTATATAGCAAATACCATGTTCTACTCTGTTGATTGTCTATAGTAAATTAAATGAAATTTTTGTAGACTTACATTGTATGAATTGAATTTGTCAATTGTTGTAGTCACTAACAAAATACATTGTTAGAGTTCTGCTACTTTGTATCTTACGTTTAGTCTCTTCATTTGAACTGAAAACTATTGATTTTTTGAGAGTTTATTTGATGTTTGATGAGTTGTTCTCTAAACCCTTTAATCCCAAAGAAACATTGTCACATTGGTAAAAACTTGTCCTTTATTGAGAGAATTTGGTCAATTAACTATACTTAAAATCTGCTTGATTGCATTGTATCTTGTACCTCTGGTAAGTCTAAGCCAATGAGGGTGACATGGTCTCTTAGAAAATCAGAATAAGATTATTTCAGGACATTTTCTTGGTCATTGTAGTTAGAAAAAAGTATTTAAATATTTTTTTTTTTTTTTGAAGTTAGACTGATTCTGTATTCTGGTATTTTCTGTAGAAAGGAAGAACTTGAATGAGTATTAATTTGTTGTTTATTGTGCTTTTATGGGATAGATGATTCAAAACCTTACTGTAAATATTTTTGATTACAAATGAATAGTATTGTTGAAGTAGTTAAAATAAGAGAAGGTAGTATTTGTAAGTTAATGTAGGTTGCTAGTAGATATTGTACATGTGTAATTGTTGATAGTAGGTATACGATCTTGTATTTCAACAGCCTCTAGAATGACCTACCCTATATTCTTTAATGAAAATTTAGAGATAAACGATCATGGGTTAAAAGAAAACCTGGTCATTGCTCAGGCTTAGTCATCATTTAAGATTCTAAAAAGTTTTAGAATATAGCAGTTGTACCTTTATTCTAATATAAATTTTACAACAAAGAGCAAACTTGTTTGGGTATACAGTACCAGCTTTGTTTTTCTAATTAATCTTGAATTGAAATCCTCGTATACTCAAAAATATTTAAATTTCGTGGCTTTGTAAAAACATCTTTGTTGGAGAATAACAAAACCGTTTATGTTGTAAACTTGTAAAAATAGATGCTGCTGTTTCTTTTTTTATTTGTCCTACATGAAGCATTTCTGCTACATGTATGATTGCTGTGAGATTTTTTTTATATTGCATTTCTTGTAATTTTTACTGAATTTCTCCCTCTTACCCACCTTGCGTTTCATCTCCCCTTCCCCATATAACCAAATGTTAGCCCCCTCCCCTCCCCCCTTTATCCCAGATATATGCCCTGTTTATGTAACAATTTGTACACAAATGTAAATAGGTATTTTAAAATGTTATTTAGTGTATTTAAGTGCTGTTTGTAAACCTACTAAATGTTTAGTATTATTTTTTCTAGTCTGGTGTAGTAGTAGTGTATTATCATTTAGTGGTTATTATTTAAATGTAACAGCATGTTTTTCTTTATGTATGTTAATCTATATACTAACTTAAGCACTTCAATATTTGTGAAGTAAACATAAAAACATAAATTTTTTATAAGAAAACTATCAAATAATTAAAAATGTATGTTATGTAACATGTTTATGTATTACATGAAAGCAGCTAATTATTTTATATCATGCGTACTGGTACACACATTCTTTCTTGAATTGCTTTTCAATTTATTTGTTACTCTGATTAATAAGTCATCAAAACTGTGCATTTAATAAATAAATCAATCTTCTTAAACACTTATTTAATGATATTGGTATGATTGATGAATTGGTATAAGTTATTTAAAGATATAATTTTGTGGGATCTCTATAGATACCCTTTCCCATCAATGTCTTGACTATAAATTCAAGGACAGTCTACAATATGTATTGGGGTTTAGCATTCACACTATTAAAATTGTGTATTATATTATGTGTAGTGGGTTAATGGGAATACACTTGAAGTATGCATATTTAATTATATTGATCTTGTTAATTAATACTTTGATACATTTTGTATATTCACTGTGAGTTACTGGAGAATAAACTTTCAAGTATACAGTGGGGGGTATAAGTAACACTTTGAAACATTGTATATTATAAGGTGTGGGATATGGATTATATTATATGCGTATTTAGTGTGTGTTATTGAACCATCCATATTGCACAGTAGAACAGTCATGGATCATAATACTTTCTTACCATAGCCAATTTTAATAGAAAAAGATTTGTTAGCTATGTGAAATACTCCAATGAGAAGTACCGACAGTATCATGTGTTCATAAAATACTTAATAAGAGTAAGCATACCCTGTGCTTAATTTAGTCTGTGATATAACCCTAAGTGGAAGTGGATGTTATACCCCAGTAGTAGTTGTACCTGTATGTCAAGGCATTGTGTTTGTGATGTTGAAATATGTAAACAAATGTTAATTTAATAATATCTATGTAACAGCTTGATAAAGGAGCCTCTAATGGACATAGATAGATGTCGGTCTTAATCTTAACTTAGTATTTAGATGTCATTTAGCTTGTAATGTGACAAAATATATCAAACTTATATCCTAGTTAATCAGACTTCAACATCTTTCAATGTTCAGAACAAGTATGTAAGGGTTATAGACATTGATAAGTAAAACTATTTGGCTTGGGTGTGGTCGCAAAGAATATGATAGGAAAATGATTAAGTACATTTATATATACTAGGAGTGTAAAGTGTAATAAGAAAATGATTTTGTATATCATTATGGATATCTAATGCCAAATCAAATTAAATGTTTACTAAATGAAACTAAATGAGCAATGTAACAAACTACTTTAATCAAATACATGTATTTATTCTTTGATTATAAATTTTACTAATGGCATGACACACAGTTTTGTTAAATCTTTATTGTTCCATTTTATCCTCGTTCCATATATTCTACATACCCGGTATCTGATTAATCATACTCTTTGTTTAATTTTCCCCTCACCTTAAATTATTTTCCTGTATTATAGTCACATTTAACATTTTATCATAATTGTAAACTTTTTTGTAATGTATTGAAGTCTTTATATTCTTAAACTGAATGTAGTTTTTGTAATTCAGAGCCCATATCTCGAAATCTATTCTATTATGTTGTGCAGTAAATTTCATCGAGAAATGGGCTTCAACGGTAAAGACTATGTTGTGTACATCAACTGCTTACCATCAATAAAAAATATACTGCATGCAAATATTCTTTTGTCATATATTTGGGGTAGGGTTTTTTTTTAACCTGTTCAGAAAATCCTTTCAGAGTTTAGGAAATTAGTAATAAGTTTTGACTCAGTCAAGGAAATAGAAAAGGCAAGTAGAATGGAATTACATTAATACAAATTTGCTTATGAGGTGTTAGTTTTTTGGCGACTTTAAAGTGGTGAAGTCTAACTCAATATCATCCAAAGTCTTCGACATTGAAAACACAAATTATTTGTCAATTAAATCAGCATTGATGTTGTGATCTTACTGGGAAAAAAATGGGCTTCTGATACCTAATAATTAAGACAAAATAAACATTTTACCATTGGTACACGAATCGTGTACCATAATGCGGTTCAGCACCATGTGTAACAAGGGACTCAAGAACGAGGGGAGACATAATTCCACGAGTCATGTCAAACCGTGACATCATATTCTTATCTGGAGAGCATGCGCAATAAATACTATCGGTGTAGACTGGAATAACCAGATGTTAGAGACTGCCATTCGATTGAGACTTTTGGCGTATTTCGCCGAACATAACTAATTTGAAATTACAGTAAAAACGGAAATGACTGAATTTAAATCAATTTATATACATTCATATTACATCATTATATGCATTGGGACCCATATGAGTCAATTTCTGGGTCCAAAATATTGGCGATTGTTGCTGCATAATTTTGTGCACAGAACACAAATTAAAGGAAAGAAGCGTTAAAACAATACTTCCGTCATTCTGCAACTAACATATGATCTCTTTTTTTCAATGAACAAGGAGTATTTTCTCCAGACAGCTGTATTCCACCCTACTCTGTTAAATGTTTACGTATAAGTCAATGGAAATGTGTACACATTCGAACTAGGAAAACATTTCTTGTTAGCCCAATCTCTGACAAAAAGAATGGTTATTGTATCCATAAAATGTTACAACTTAATAGACAAAAAATGCAAGTATTGGCAGATTATGAATGTCAGTAACTGGAACATGTGCTCTGTATCAGAGAAGAGATTATATCAAGTCTGACATATAGTTTACAGACAACTACAAATATCGAGCAGATTCTATAAAACTCCATCCATTCACTATAAGGTTCACACCTGATTAGTTAAAATTTCTAGTACATGAGAAAAGTTATTTAAAAGCTGAATAATCTATCTGGTAGAAATTCTTTTTCACAATGGTGTGTTAATTGTAACTTTATATTATAAAGAATGTCGTGAGAGGAGTCAAATATTTTACAGGTGAGACAATTGGAAAATAGGTTAATTAACAGCTAGATCAACTTGTCATAGATATACCTGTATTGGGTTAAATATACCTTTATATGTGTATACCTACTATATGAAGCACTATTTGTGTAGTTGACCGTACTATGATACACCTGACCGGTGTCACTTTATTAAACCAAGTTAAAGCCTCTAGGTATTTGGTGATAATATTAAAGGGAATATACATGATGGGTGTACTCAAAACCTATAATTGGAGCTAAAGTATGTAAAAAAAAACCCCAAAAAACCACCTTTGATTCTGATGGAAGAATGAAATGGGGAAATGGATTGGGTAACACGTCATTTCGGTCCCGCATCATTTCGGACTCAAGACAGACGACCTTTCAGACTCAGTTTGATGACGGTTGAGGCTTTACTTGATGACTTTTCGGACTCGGACTGGCGACATTTCAGACTCGGATGAATAATTAAAAGACTGTTGAACATTTGTATGATATATTTGTAACAGCTGGGGTTTTTTTTCGTATTATGTGAGTCCGATAGTTGTTTTGTTTTATTAAATTGATAGGTGATTCTTGAGACCACTAATAATTAGATAACACTGATTTTACACTGCTTGTTCTATTTTTATTTTGTTTCATCGGTGGATTTAACTTGCTACTTTTCTGCACCAACCAGGCTAATGAAGATGGGCATACATCAAGCAGTGTGCTATGAGGGGAATTTTGCCTGGACAGTGGCATTTCCTCTTACTCTTTGTTGAATTCCAACTACCAAGGGTTCTTTTACATTCACACTAACTGCCAACACCACCTCACTTCCTACACAACTCACAAGTGGTTACCACACTGGAATATCTTGATTAACTTCGAAGTCAACACTTGGATTGAGCCACTGAGTTAGATGGACAAGGGGCACCGGAACTAAATTCCATGATTAAGACAAGGAATAGGGTAATTTGCCTAACTTCATGTGTTTTCTCTTGGGTCCCTCCAAATGCTAAAAAGCCCAGGCACATGAAAATTCATGATGTCCCATTAAATACATCACATAATTATTCTGTTAGTCTGAAAATGATGTAATTGTATTGAGGTAGAGATGTTGTCCTTTAAAGCCTTAGGGCAAATATATATAATATACATAATTATGTGATTTATTGTACAGAAATCAGTTTAAAGTAACAATATTGATACAATCTTGTATAAGTGTAACATTACTGGTGTTCTGAATGTCCCCCAGGCATATTATCTTAAACTTATGATCTACATGTAGACGGGTCTATTATATAGTTTTAGCTATATAAGATATATTAAAATATATCTTATATATGAATTTAAGACACTTCGGCCAGTGGAAATTTTGGCCTAGGACATTTTGTCTCCTTTTTTTTTTTTTTTTTTCGAAAAGAGGACGTTTCGTCCAGATTTATTTGTTTGTTTTCTCTAACAGATTTTTTCTTTGCTGTGTATTTTTGTTTTTTTTATTTTTTACTGCGACAAATGTATTTTTTTTTTTAAATAAGTCTGAAAATAGTCATCTTTGTACATGTTTGCAAGTGTCTCCAAGTTGACTGAGTAAAATGATAAAAACAGCACTGAATCTATACTTGCGGTCCATACACTGCATGAAGAGCAAGGTCTACAGAGCGTTCAAAGTCTATTATAACAGTTGACAGGTCACAACCATTGCTCCACTAACAAAACAAAAAATTAATTTATAATTTGTCTGAGTCTTTCTTTGTAAAAGTACATACACTAATGGAACAAAAACTGAGTGCCTATGCACCAAACATAGGAATCTGCAAATTTCTGATCATGGTGTTCCCTTTAAATGTTTTAAAAACTTACTTTACTCACTTTCAAAACATTTTTTTCATTAAAATAATAATTTTTTTGTGTAAAATTGACTGAAACGTCCGTGGACCGAAACGTCCACTGGCCAAAACGTCTGTCTATACCCTCATTTATATCTAAGTACGCTCTCTCAGTTTTATATATTCTTTTTTTAAGAATATACAAGGTAATAAAATATGAATATGATATCTATTGGTATTTCCTTAATAGCAGAATCATTCGGAATATAATATTATGTTTCCCTACTTTCAATTTAAGTGTTACTATTTTTATCTCATGCAGAAACGCTATTATGATAGTATGAATCATGAAAAAAGCTCCAGAGAATATAACATATTCTAAATTCTGGCATGAATAGTCTGGAACATTAATATGATCAAGGTTTTATTCTTTCTGATTGTACCTTTAAACAACCAGGCATTTTTGCTCTAAATCTAAAATGTTGCTGTCAAGATACCATTTGTGAAGAATGTTTTACTCTGAAAAATGTAATTTATGTCTCATAAATAAAATAACATCAATATAAATGCATGTTTAAATTAATGTGACCAGTACCATTGTAATTTTAATGAATAATTGACCTCTAACAATGTCAGTAGCTGACCGCTATCTCTTAATTACATCATATTGTTAGGTTATTTAGTACATTGATCACCATCTCATTAATCACCATTGATTGCTTTATTGGTTTTCGCAGGGGTCATTATTGAACATACTACCAATTAATTGGGTAAAACTTCAGACTGGATTTTGTTATGTCACAGACCACAAATATATGTATATAACAGAGAGAGAGAAAAATGAGGTTTAACAACCACTCAAATTAAACTAAATCATTTCGGGATTAACATATGGTACATTTTTGTCAATAATTCGATTGCGCACAAGGGGTCTTTAGCAGTGGGAGGAAACCAGAGGTCTCAGAGATAAGCCATGAAGTTAGGCAAGTGCCCCTGCCACGTTACTCAATGTTCTATAATGCACGTGATAGACCATTCGCTCCCCCCCCCCCCTCAACCTACAATATATATAGGCTTTAAAGTACTTTTACTGGTAAAGGTTCTCATTTGATACATTTATTAATGATGGGATTAATTCCTTTGTTTACATATTATATGCCTAACCAAAACAATTATTTTTGTGTAATTTTCTTCATTATGTGGTAGGTCAAAGTCTGGAAATCAACCAAGATTGTAAGTGACGAATGACTTCCTGCCTATTAAATAAAATGTCCATCACGGTGACAGTTCATCTGCATGAATAATCCCATTAAAACTATGCATCCGTTTAGTACTAGTATTTTTCCAGTCTGTTAAATGGTTTGTTAATGTCTGTAGTATGCGTCATTATTTATTGACAATAAGTATTCTACAGAATGAAATAAAGTGGATGGGGAGCACATCAGGATTCATTTCAGACACCATATAAAGAAAGATAAAGAATAAATGGGTTTAAACGTCCACTCATCACAAACTAGGTAATTTCAGGATTAACATATGGTACAATTTTATTTCAATATTTCACTTGCGCATATGGATCTTAGCAGTGCAAGGAAACCGGAGGACACAGAGAAAACGCACGAGGTTGGACAAACGACCCTACTTCTGGTCACATACAAGCTTGGGATCAAAACCCTGCTACTTAACTCAATGATAGACCTTATGATCTAAAGTGCACCCATTAGACCACTTGACCATCCAACCACCCCCTAGTCTCCCTATAAACGTGTCATTATTATTAATTTTACTTTCAATCTGGTTTCCTTTTACAATAATCATCAACTAGAGGATGTTGGTTTTCTTGTAATTACCAGTATTATTATTCTTATTCATTTCAAAGTGGTGGGGTCTAAAACCAAGAGTGTCCATCACTCACGTTATTGCATGTGCAATGAATAGGTATCATATTAGTTTACAGATTCTGAAATAGTTCCAAAGTTGATTATTTGGTAACAAATCGGTAGTATACAACTTATTGTGATATATGGTATATTCCATCTGGACATTATTATATGAAATGTCACTGAAGACTTTTTTTTTTTACAATACATGTGCTACAGTTGTTAAAAGAGGGGGTAATTCAAAGAGACTATGTACATAACATTATAAATTTATTAAAAATATTCCTGTATAAATATAAAAAATAGATATAAATTAACCAAAACATGTGTAAATGTACATTGCAAAATCCACAATGAGAAGTTTGATCAGGGGCCTGTTTCACGAAATTTTAACTCAGATAAAATCCAAATTTTAGAAATTTTATTGGATAATATTAGATTGATTTTAGTGCTTAGCCAATCAAAATTGAAGTATCTACTAAAATTTGGATTTTATCTTTAGTTAAGATTTCGAGAAACTGGGCCCAGAAGTCCACAGTGCACTTCCTGACATTCTAGCCCTAAAAAGGACTTGCTCGTCAAAAACATAAGACAGATACTTTCTCCTAATAAAAAGATTCCATATGTATTCCACCATTCACCTTCATATTTAAATCCTGCAACAGGCATTTCTCTCCACAAACAGCAACATGAAATTCTGCTCTTTCCATTGTTCAATGTGATTGTAATTTTAAGACCTCTTCCACATCAGCTACTCTGAGAGGTTTCTAATCTCTGATTTCAGCCTCATCCCACTGACCTTTTATATTACTAGACAAGAAAAAACATACAATAAAAAAAGTACATAATATAAAAAAATATACAATATTTAACTAAAGAATTAAGATATGATCTACGGCTAGTCACATTAATTCCAATACATATTTATGCTGTCTGTTTAGGTAGAAATATTTATACGATGCATACCAGTAAAACTCATTTTACCAAAAAATCAAAGATGCCATATCACAGTTATTGTAAAACACAGAATAGTTCTAATTACCATCTGACATTATATTTACTATTCAAACATAGTAGTTTCACCATATTACTTGTTTATTTTAAATCAAGAAATTACTTAAAGAACCAATCATCTGTCTTGACTCATGCCTGACAGATATATAGTTGATTATCAGTCCTCTCACAGCTCTTTCAATCCTGAAAACTGATTATGTGGTGTGAGCAGAATTATGATGTAATCAAATGTTCCAGCTCTGGTGATGCCTTGTTGCCCAAAATTATCATGTTTACTCGATTGTCAGATTTCAAGGGATTGAGAGAATTAAATTCCGGACCGGAATGTATAATCTAGTACACACCCCTTGTAAACCAGATTTCAGACTCATTACAAGTTCGGTTAAACTGGATGAGTATTACCTGTATATGATAAGTTAGAATTTGAATTTATTTGAATATGTTCAGCCAATTGGATAAACTAAGCCCATGTTCTTGGTTAAATGGCTGCATATGAGGATCAAGTTGTTGCTCTGTACTCAATGGAAATAAATTCTTCAACAATCAGTGAAATGTTTTATATTAAAAATGGCAGTGTTTTATCATGACGCTGGCCTTTTGTGCAACACAAAATATACTCACTTTTTATATGGCAGTAATCGTAATAACCAGAATGGACAGAAGAAATTAATAAACAGATGAACAATCAGAAAGACTATTGTTGCTACAGTTGTCCATGTTGATAAAAGTATTAATGATGTCACTCCAAGTAATACTGTTAGAATATTCTGACTAGATGGATACAATACCTACAAAAATGTTTAGTATCATGTTTGAAACTAAGTTTTTCATGCATCTAAATCAATATAAAATATTCAAACATATACACCTGGAACCAAATGGAACTCAAACAATTCAAATTATAATCATTGAGTGGCATATAAATTAATTACATATAAAAGTACTCCTTGTACCGAAATTATGAATGAGTCCCCTGAGTAATTTTGAAAAGTTACATTTGCTATGAGTCATTGTATATTACATAGGTAAAATGATGTATTGTTTTTAAATTAGGGGAAATGAATTATTAACCCGCTAACCGTGTAGTTTTTAAAATGTTAACTACCCCCTATTGTGTAATTAATTTGACGAAAAACGTCATTTTTGGACCTTTTATTCCTGAATACAAATGATAGTAGTCAAAATCCATATTAAAACTAACGGTAAATGGAGTTCCTTCCCTTTAATTATAAATGCCTATGACCAGCAGCTCCATCATTATCACTACTACTGGAACTAAGATCACCAGGATCATCAGTCATCACCCTCAGACTCAGATTCAGTGTCTATGTCTCTGGCGTTTATTAAATACGCCTCATCTCGATCGTCAGTGTTGTCTTGCAAATGTTCAGGCAAAGATTTCCTCGACCAGGCGTAACCTACGCACTCAGGAGAGCCATTATACACATGCTGCGATCGTGGGGGAATCCCCACCACGTGACGAACTATGTTGTAAGAATCGGTTGGGGAAAATACCTCCAAGGCGTTATATTACGTCCTACACACAGTGAGAGGCAGTTGTATAACGCCCTACGCACTTAACGGGTTAAACATATGTATCCCATATTTCTATCTATAAAATTTACAAATAAACTAACAACAGAATACTTACCTTCAATAGCTGTGTAAATAAAGGCCATAAAGCAAACCATTCAAAGGAGAAAGTCACTATTGCAAAAGCATGCCATGTTGTATTAAGACGTGATGCCAAACAAACGGAAGCAAAAGTTGCAGCATTTAAAGATAATGTTCCTTTTACTCTAGCTACCCTACAAAATGAAATATCAACAGTTTTACTTTTATGGATACAGTCAACAAATTTCATGCATTTATGAGTTATTTCCCTTTTAGCTACTGGAAGAAGAAATTCAAAGCTTAAAGGGTTCTTTTACATGCATGTATACAGGACCACAGTTTTTCATCCCATCCAGAATACTAAACAGTGAGAAGGTGAAACCCTGCTAAAATACCCGAAATCAACTCTTGTCAGCCTAAAACCAGATAAGAGATTTTTACTTACTGTATATCATCTGGACTATAATCATAGAAGACTATATTAGTTAATAACATAATAAATGTCATAGCGTATATAGTATCTGTACAAATAGTTTCTGTTAATGATACTATAACTGGTGATAAACCATACAGAAAACAAACAAACATAACACCTGTCTTTATATCATCATAACCTGAAATATATACAATTCATATAAAACATAACATACATATTTATGTTTTCAGTCAGTGTCTCTTACACTCAGAAGTTTGTTGAAGCTTATAGTTAGTCTTCTGACATTCAATAATACTCTGTCCATTTCAATTTCATTTCAATACAGCAGTAGCAGGCGAATAAGCTTTGATCATAATCCTATCTCCCCGAGTGTGTGAGACTGCCAATTAAATCAGGCACTTTTCAGATAGTCAATATATAGTTTGTATTTGTTGTCATATCTTTGGAAATTCTGAACGAATTTAACCACTTTTGGGCTGATATCCATCTTAAGTGATTCAAATTCCATAATATTATAGTTTGTAATTAAGGTATTCAAAATCTCTCAAATGACAATCAGAGACTTTAAGTTTTGTTAGTAAAAATCTAGTCTGACTTACTTGTTCTTTTATTTTCCACTGCTGGAAGTTTTAGCCAACAATATATACCATAAGATATAACAGTCAGTATTGTTGTTGTGTAGAAAAGTGTTTCTGGTAAAAGTTGTTTTTCATCCATATATATAAAGATCATTAAAAATATACACACACTGAAATTAAACAAGCCAACAGTGAGGCTGATGTCCCCCGCCAAAATCCCAAAATAAATAGATGACCCACATTATTTCATCGCTCTCTATCAGAAAGAATCAAGATTATCTTGCCCCAAAGCATTGACCAATGAAATTAATTAGCTCTGCTTAGCTTCAGCTCGAAATGTTAATCATTGAACTCAGTCAAGACATTCACTTAATGAACATCTACATCAAGTCTAAACATTCTACCTCAATTAAAAGCAGAGTTGTTATGTTGCAAAGTCTTCACCAATCAAATTGCTTATTGCTCATTAGCCTAAGCAGAAAATTCTCACCATCGAAATTAGTCAAGGTTATGATATAATGAACCTATATTGGACAAATTCGGATTTCCATCGCTCTCACTTCATTATAACCAAAGTTGTCGTGCCTTAAAGCATCAATCAATCAGATTACTTATTTCTGCTTACAGTAAGCAGACAATGTTCATCATAGAACTCCATCAAAGCATTCCCCTAATGAATGCCTACACCAAGTTTAAACATTCTACCTCAATTAGAAGGAGAGTTATTGCATTCCAAAGTCTCGACCAATCAAATTGCTTATCACTCTGCTTACCCTCAGCAGAAAATATTCATAATCGAACTTAGTCAAGGTATTGATGTAATAAAGCTATACACCAAGAGTCCTCACTCTCACTTAATTAGAACCAAAGTTATTGTGTCTCATGTATATCAACCAATCAAATTGCTTATCTCTGCTTACCCTAAGCCGAAAATTCTCATCTTCAAACTCCATCAAGGCATTCACCTAATAGACACCTATGCCAAGTGTGAGCATTCTAACTCAATTAGAATGAGAGTTATCGCTCTGCTTACCCTGAGCAGAAAATGCTCATTATCGAACTGAGTCAAGGTATTGATGTAATGAAACTATACACCAAGTTTCATCACTCTCACTTAATTAGAACTAAAGTTATCGTGTCCCAAAGCATCAACCAATCAAATTGCTTATCTCTGCTTACCCAAGCCGAAAATGCTCATCTTTGAACTCCATCAAGGCATTGACCTAAAAAACACCTACACCAAGTTTGAACATTGTAGCTCAATTAGAAAGAGTTATTGTGTCCCAAAAAGTGTGACGGACAGACAGGCGGACAGACAGACGGACGAACCCATTTTAATAGTCCATTAAATGATTCAACCTAAATTTTAGAAGCTAATGAAATTTTAAATCAGATGTTCTTTAATTCATTTTATGTTATCTTTTACCAAGTTCATTTTTATTTATCATCTGATTAGCTTTATCAATGTGTCATGTTCTCAGCTTTGTACCGTAAGCAACCAATGAAAACACAAGTATGCCAAGTTGATTTTCTATAAACTCAGCCAAGTCATGTGCATACACTTACTTATATTACGAAGTGATCTTTTTTATCAGATGGATAGTTTATGTTGAACTTTGAAACTGAGAATATCCAGGAGTAAGAGAGTAAAAATGTTCAAAATTAACTATTTAAATACCTGCTTATTTGTTGTGTCACTGAACCTGATTGGCTAACAGTCGTCCAATAATCATATCTTCGGAGATTGCCTGAAATTATGCAAAATACAAAATTGACTATCAAGTACATTAAATTAGAAAAAACATGGTTGCCAGGTAAAGAAACATGCCCACCAGCAGCTTAGTCATCCAGACCACAAGGAAAGATTTGAACAATAATACATTTTTTTTCTGACCTCAACATGTAAACAAAGATTTTAAAATGTATCTAGCTGGATTAGATTTTCTAATCACGAATCAATTATCGTGAGATTAATACTTGTGTCGGTTTTTGTTGATTACCTTGATATCAAAAGAATGATGCAAGAGTGGTTTCAACATCAAAACCTTTAAACATTTGGCACACCTCGGCCAATTCTATGAATCTAGGGTACCATTGAAGAATTCCACATGCGAAATGAAATGAAATGAAATGGAGTTTAACGTCCTACTGTTCTGCTCCTAACCTTGGCTAATGAAGACGGGCATACGCCATACAGTGTGCTATGAGGGAAATTTTGCCCGGACAGCGGCACTCAGCCTACTCTTATATCGAATTCCAACTGCCAAGGGATCTTTTACGTGCACGCCAATGTGTACACGGGACCTCGGTTTTTTGTCTAGACAGCTTTCCTTGTCAGCCCCTCCGTCCAAATTCCACATGCGCATTCTGTCTATTACTGAAGAGTATTCTCCTAAAAACATTTTTTATTGTGATAAAACCGATCATTGTGTGATAAAAATGTGAGCATATACAACCTAAGACGATTATACTTCCGATATTCGAAGGTACAATAATACTTCCGGTATTGAGTATTCCGTCATGCTGTGTAATCCGAGATATTTTAATGATTCCATACAATGTCGGAAGTGACAGATTCCAATGTATATGGAAAGTGGAGACACCCAATCATTCTAGAAAAATACTGGATTCCTTGAAAAATACACTTTGAGCACGCATAGGATAAAAATGAGAGGTGTCATTAATTGGCAGTCTGACGATTAAGGGCTGTCTGCTCGAGTGACGTCAAAGGTTGCACACAAAGGTTGTCTGATCTCTCAGCGTTAGGGAATGCTTGATGTATATGTTGATAAACTTGATGGTGAGCGGACTAGGAAAAAGTGAGAGACTTAAACGTAAAACAGTTTCTGATTTAAAAACCATGGAAATGTATCGTGGGCAGTGGATAATCCGAGGATTTACTTAGGCTTCGATATTTATGATAAATGGACAGCGATTAAAGACAACATCAACTTTTAAATGCAATAAATTTTCCTCCAGCTTTGCACCCATTGCTAGGTACCGCGACAGCCAAGTCACATTACACAAACATGACTTCTTTTGATAGAATTATTGCAGCTTGCGGTATTTCCTCACGAATACAATGTTTTCAGAAGGATTTGAAGCCAAATTTTGATAGAATTAGTTTGAATATGTTTTTAGCCCAAATATCATCAAATTACCAAGTTGCTACGCGGGAAGGTATCTTTAAGTTACTGATTAATTAGTAATTACACATAATATTAATGTAACAAGCCTATAAAATAAACAACTCTCTAGACAAGAATGAAGACAGTTAGTTACTTAGGCTAGCCTCTCATCATTACTGTCTGTCCCTATACACATGTAAAATGAAAATAACGTTTAACACCACCTCGGTCATTAGGCTATTCTGGAATCCTTATCGTCTATTTTTCATCCTGATTCTTCTTTGTTCACCAAAATGAACCAATTCTTGACACACCTGACACAAATTTATAACAATTGAACACTATTTTCGAGTAGAATTTTGCGATTTAAAAACCTAAACAAATTCATTTGAATTTTAAGTCTCAGCTCGGTATTGTGTTTGAAAGTTCACACACATAACTGTCCGTATTCCTTTACTTTGTTACTGTCTTTTACATTCTAGTAAAATCTCTGCAAAGTTTATAGCATTCCTGTTTGAAATATTTGTTTTAATTATTTGATTAGAGACTCGGATGGGAAAATTTTCGCATGCTGTACAAAAAAAATGACAAATCTTTCACCATGAGAACAATAAAAACTCAAACCCAATTTCTTTTAATACTCTTGCAAGTGTGTTTGAGAAATTGTAATATCTCTTTCTTTTAGTACAGAACATAGTCGTCTGGGTGAGAACTGGATGAAATCCAGAAAATGAAACCATAAAAAGTGTTGAATCATTCGTGTTTGTATTTTATTTCTATAAAGCCCCCTTTCAATTCAAATTTTCAAAAATAGAATTATCTAAAATTACATATATTTCGAATAGATATGAAATCAACGGAAATGGATTTTAAAATAATATGAATACACACCTCGTGTAGTGATTATAAAATGTTCATTGTGCCTTAACTGTTGTATAGTAGGATCGCATATTTTCATGTCAAGATTGATTTAATAATTTAAAGTGGACCCAATTGGGAATTATAATTTGTGTGTTTAATTTTAAATGTTATGGAAAGGTTAAGCTCCTTTAATAGTAAGTACAGGAGGACATCACTACATGCAAATGCAAATCTGCGGACAAGACAAACTACATAGACATTGCAAGAAATACAGACCGTTGGACGTGAACTTCATGTTGTTTGTTGAATTATTTATAAAATAAAGGTGATAGGAAAGTTTTAGTTTATATATGACTTTATTTTTACGCGTATCCATGCAATGTTTTCAATACAAATCTCCTATGTAATTGCCTTAATTTGATATTTTTCGTTGCCCAAATTCAAATGATCGAAATGGGTCGTGCTTTGTTTTGATTGCACCACAAGAATTTCATTGGTTTCGCCCAACACGTGATGAAAGCCATGTTTTCTTCCACTCAGCTGAAATTACTAGTAAATACTAATAATAGTAAAATCTTTCAAGAGAGAACTTTTTTATTTGTTGGAATATTTAATTGTGAAATGGGTTTTATTTGACGGAGTTGATTTGAAACATACAGGTAAGTTTATAATAACCACAGTTAAGTCGTTTGTTCATAATCGAAGAAAACTGTTTAAAATTTACGACGGTTCGGACAGTTGAGTAAGGGCAAGGAACAGACTAGTCTACTAGTGAGACAGTAACGATGAAGCCTGAAGGGCTATTATAATTATAGCCTCTATCAGACATCGTTACTAAAGTAACTAGAAGACAATATACGTCCACTTTCGATTGGGCCTATAAAAAACACCTTCTTACTATTTTTTTTCAATTCACGCAAAAAACTTTCATCCACGTAATTGTCCGGAACATTTTGTTCTTTATACAAAACTTTTTCCCACTTTTCTGTGGAGGCCATTTTAGCAGTCACGTGATCTTTGGGATCAGTCATTTTATTTTTACACAAAATTCTAAACATTCACATATTTGGCCTTAAAAAAATAGAATATTCCGTCATACTTTCCGACCTTAGTATCTTTTAGAAAATAGAATTTAGGCGTCTATTTGAATTGATAAGAGACAGTTATATTTTTTTGACAAGTAATGGATGCCCCCACTCGGTTTCCATGCCAATGACGTAATTGATTATTGACAACAAATATGGCGTCGATTGATTTAGATTTTGTCTAGAGATTTATTATTAAACGCTCATGCACATATTGAAGGAACGGAATAAAAAATAACCTAACATATATAGCAAATTTTAATACGAAAGAAAGACCAGAGTTAATTCAAAATGCCACCCAAGAAGAAGAAGAGTGGAAAAAAGAAGAAATCCGGAAAGAAATCTGGAAAAGCGTCAGCCTCAAAATCCGGATTAGAACAGCTGAATGAACTGAGCAAAGAATTTTTCTTGATTCAGATCAGAGATCTAGAAAATAGATTAGGGCGGTAAGTAAAACTCTTGCATTTTCTTTGCTTAATAATGTAGTGTACCGAAGTATTTGATTTCAATTAAAAAACTGATCTTTGTTTGATTTCAAAACTACGAAAATAGTTGGCGACGACAGCGGTAAAATAAAAAAAGTTAAAGCTAGGCCTAAACTAATCGCCATACTTTTTTTCAATTTGTAGAACAAATATGGCGAGTGCATCACAAACAAAAACAGAGGCAGGCCACGCCCACATCCAGTATGAATTGTCAAACGCAGTGTCCAGATCCGGCTAGCAATAATAAATTTCAACCAGTTAGGCTACCTCCTGACTGATTGGCATTTTTATACGCCTTAATTTCATGTGGACGTATTATGCTGCATTTGCCCCTGTCCGTCTGAACGTCTGTCTGTCAACAATTTGTTTGTGGACGTTCTGTGACAATTTTTATCCAATTTTGACGAAACTTGAAATAGGTCTATCTCCTGAAGATCTCAGTTCCTTTCGATATTGGTATGTATCGGACCATAACTTCATTATGGCCCCTGATTATACGAAAAATCACGTTTTTAGTTTGTGGACATTCTTGAGATCACAATTTTCACCCAGTTTTGATGAAACTTGAAATGCATGTTTATAACTACTAACCCAAAGATCTTGGTTCCTTTCGATATTTGCATATATCGGATCACAGCTTCCTAAATTGTGGCCCCTGATTTTTTGAAAATCTAGAGGTCACAATTATTATCAGATTTAAAAAAAACGTTCGAATATATCACCGTTACATGGTGATGTTGCCTGAGCTGAGTTTGAATTTCATGAAAATCGGGCCAAAAGTGACGAACAAAATGGCCGCCCCTCCTATGCAAATAGCGTAAACATCTGGTATATCTCTGTAAAACTAAGATGACTGTCTTCAACAAGTGACGTCACATCACACTGTATCAATCATTGGCTCAATGGCGTGTGCATTGTTTACATAAGACGTTACTGGTTCGGGCAGAATTGTACCTTTACTCATTTTGTACCCATTTACTACACTAAATAGGAAATAATTTTTACCTATAAATACTTCAAAAGTCTTTATTTATTTTTCTAATACATAAAAAAAATGTTTTAGAATTTAATTTGTCGGAGGAAAAAAGTTAATATTTGGCGCTCATTAAGTCGCATCAATGTCATCCTTATCTGTGATTGTAGCGGCCTAACAAATATTCGCTGCTGATCAGTGTGTCTTTAAACCTAAAAGCTTGATCACTCTTATAAATTGAGCATTAATCTAAACAATAATTAAATTTGATTACTTACACTGTTACAGATATCAGAAACGTTGCGATGAATTATCAGTGGCTAATGGACAATTTCATGAAAAGTTTGAACAGATGGATACAGATAAACGGGAAATTGTTGCCTTCTGGAAGAAACAAGTGGAACAAAAAAGTGAATATAAATGTCTTTTTTAGTACATGTCATGTATAATTATTTGAAAATGTGTGTGTCTTTAAAGTGGCAACAAATGATAAAGAATTTTATAAGTTTACCAAGTACATAAAATGAAAGGAATTAACTGATCATTGACTTTGTCCTTCGTGTTCATGTAACCATATCTAAACATTGTTGTTTATTATTTATAGCTGATGAGATTGCTGATTTAAATGATCGTTTGGTTGGACTGGGTCAAGCTAAAGATACAGAAAAAAGAGATTATGAAAGTCAGCTTCAACAGTTGCGTTCTGAATTCCAAGAAATGAAAGATACACTAACATCAGAAAATATGATTTTAGGTAAGATTGTGAGAATATTAATAACAGATATAAATTGTGGTAAATTAGTATCAATTGTCAATACTAGCTGAAATTTATTTAGATCCAAATATTCATTTGGTATTTAGATAAAACTTCATAAAATGGAGATAATGATCAATTTATTTCCATTTCCTTTACCTTTCTCAAACATCTTTTATCTTTCTCTGTTTATACAAACAGAACTTTTAAAAAATTAGCAATGGCACAGAATTGATCATAACACTAATACTTAAAAGGGTGTCACATTCTTTTAAAGGAAGAAGGCAACAAAACAAAAGCATCTTCATTCCTCCAACCTACCTGTGATTCAAACCTAGCATTATTCACTACTATGCCTCTGGGTAGTTCAACCCAAGATGCACAAACCATTTTGTTATCTTTAGTTTTTCAGAATTTCCCATAAGATTTAATTTGGAATTGTTTTTTTTTTGTTTTTTTTAAATAATATAAGCTTATAGAAATGTATATAATATGGGTTTAATTGTTTAGGTGGCAAGCTTGCATCTTTAGAAGAGTTCAAAGTTCAAAAGGAAGACTTAAAAGCTAAGTTTGCAATGATGGAGGAGGCTTTGGCAAAGAAAGATGAAGATCATAAAAACAAGATTTATGAATTAGAGAAAAAAAATGTAATAGATAAAGATAGGTAAGTGACCAGAAAGGAAAAAAAAAACCCAGCCATATTTTTGGTGTAAAAGTCTTTGTAAAGACACCGTTTACAATAAATACTGATGAGATTTTGAGAAAAGTATTTAATTGGTGATTCATGGTATAAAAACCATATCAACATGTCTTAAGAAATCTGTCTCAACATCGGGGTGATGGGTGGGTTACGCATCTGTCAATGAGTCAAGTGGCATGGTTTCGATTCCACGCTTGTACATGACATGGTGTAGGTTCGTCTGTCCAGCCTTGTGAAATAAAATTGAACCTTATGTTAGTCCCAAAATGACCTAGTTTGTGTTGAGTGGTTGTTAAACCCAATTTAAATTTGTAAGTTCACAAGAACATTTATATCAAGTTTTATTTGATTAATTACAGATTAAAGAAAGATATGATTGTCAAGGTCAATACAGTTGCAGCAGAGTTCCGTAAAGTTTCTAACAAACAAATGGCAGAGACAACTAAACGTACAATACGAGAAAATGTCTCTATTAATGCCCAGCTAGCTAAGATGTCTGACAAAACAATGGAATTAATCCGTGAAACTGATGATTTTAAATCAAAAGATAAAAAGAATAAGCAACATATTGAAATGTTAGAAGTAAATGAGAAAGAATTGGCAAAGAAAAACCACAGTAATATTAAGGTGAGAATTTAAGAGCATTTGAGAATTAAATAATAAAATAATTGGTATATTTGAGAAGGATTCTTCGTGCATGAATGGATGATCACCGATTTTAAAGGGTCATGGAAATCTTGTATTTTTCAAGTATTAGATATTTATTGAGATGGATAAGAATAAAAAAGAGACATTATTAAGATAATAATGCAAGTGAAAAAGGTACTAACATGTTAAACATACATTATGCAAGAGCTAAATATGCCTATTGCAGGTCTTTCTTTAGGCCTGAAACGTTATCTAAATTCTTAATTAGACATTAATTAACTTATTAACTCTTGATGCCATTGTAAGCCTACGATATTTAGTGGATTTGAGTGCATTTTTGATGTATGATTTAATGGATAATCAGGACTTTGTTTATTATTGTACCAACCATAGTAATGACGATTGAGGCTAGTCTAAAATTGAATCACTAATATCTTGGTTCAGAGTGAAGCAATTTGACTGAATTTTTCAGCACATTCTGTTTTTATTATCTATTTTTTAACTTAGGGAGAGAACTGTAAGCTCTTTATCTAATCTTACCTAATGCCCCTTTAAATATATTTCGACTGTATATATTATATTATATTGTATGTATTATTGTAGATGATTAGAATGTTAACAGAGAAATGTAGAAATCAAGAAGCTATGATCAGTGAATATGAATTACGAGAACAAGAATATCAGGAACTAGATAGTGAAACAGAATTACTCCGTAGACAAATAGAAAGTTCTAGGTAATGAAGAGTAATATTTATTAATTTTTATGTCCTCTGTGTAATAAAGAAATTGTCCCAAAGTACTTGCATTTGATGGAACCTAGATTAAATTAAATCACCAAAATGTACTTTTTGTATTTTTTTTTTGTTTGAAGTTCCACTGAGCTCTGAACTAGTATATACTCAATTTTGAATCCTAGTAGGCTATGAAAGAGAAACCCGATGGATTTTTCAAGCCCACATTTCATATATCTAAGGGTGTGTCTCTTTTGTTGTTATATTAAAAATTTAGATGCCATTTGAATTTTACATTAGACCAAAACACACTCATGTGCATATTGGCGTGCATGTAGTTGGAATACAAAGAAAGATGTGTGGACTGTAACCCTACTGTGGGATAAAATTCTCCCTCTCACCTAATAATGACCATATGGTAGTCCCAGAATGTGTTTACAAGATGTTAAATTCCATTCTTTGAACTTTATATTTTCAGAGAAGAGATAGAAAATTTAGCAAAAGAAAATGAGAATCTGGAAAATCAATTAGACAAGACTATAGAAACATTGAACCAGTCTCGAAATGATCGTACTAAGATTGACCAAGTACTCAGTGATACAGCATATGCACTTAGAGTAGCTCTCAGGGTAAGAAAAATATTATGGAAATTTTTTGGATAAGGTTTTTCAGCTAATTTATCTGATCATTTAAACTGTAAATGGACAGCCTCAAGGATTCGGCTTAAAAGCAAAAAATAGTAGAAATTCACATTACAGCTTCAAAATCTGCTTACCAAGATGACAATTAACTACTGCTTGTAAATAAACTTGTATTCAGCTTACTGTACATTAACAGTAAATTATAGATAAATAAACAAATTCCTATAAACAGCATGAACAAACAGATGATGAGATAAATTAGTCTCGAGGCTCAGTGCGGGGTGGGGTGGGGGGTCCATCAAATGGGCACAAAACCAGACCCAAATTTTGCGTAGAATACGATGCCGAGTGGTAATCAGAATTTTTTGAGGATTGTCTTACAAGCATGATGTATTTATTGTTTTGATTTATTTTGACAGAAAACTGAGCCTGATGAAGAAGATGAATTAGCTGATGATGACTATGAGATTGAGAGAAGAGATCAGATGTTAGAACAACTTTTGATATTATTAAACAGTGCCGCTGCTGTAGGTGTCGGCCCTCTACCAGGAGATCTCGGTAAACGTTATGAAGAACAAATGAAAAGTTTTACTAAATTGCCAAGCAGCAGAATGGGAATTAGAAAAGGGTATGTATTTGTTTGTGTGCTCAGGAGCCATATAATGCATGCATCTCAGCAGAGTCTGAAATGATCAATTATTTTGTATGTTTTATTCCGCCTCCTCAGAATTATGCTACTCGAAGGGTAATCAAATTTTTTTTATAAATTCTTCTTACTATGACCATGTTTTCTGTAACATGGGAATTCATTAGTCTCTGTATACATGATAAACAGTGTTATAGTGAATAATCTATTTGCGGTTTTAAACTAAGGAATGACTTAATGGAGTAGGGAATTAATTTTAACAACAGCCCCGTCACATTCTTCTTAAAATTACTCATGAATCTGTTGATATGTTTTATTGAACTTTTTTATGATTTATTTTTCAGACAAGTACCAATGTCACCAATCTCTAAATCAGGAGGAAGTATAGCTCATTATAGTCTGGGTGATCTTGGCTTAATACCCCGTCCTAAACAACATATACCCACCAGTCTGGATAAAATCAGATCATTGTCTGCAACAACTCGATTAGGTTCGCTACGTAAGGTATTAACACGATCTGTAGCAATCCAGACAGTTAGTGCACCCAAGGTTAGTATAGTTCAATATCCATCCAATTCACTAATTCCCATCTTTACAATGTCAAGGTATTACAACACACAACCTTGTTTTACTATAGAATTTGTCTGACTGTAGCATGGTAGCAACAGTTGAAACTCACTACTTGCTCCAATCACTGTCCTGATTACTATAATAGAGAAGTTGACAATTTGATTAAAACACAGATCCTATTTTGTTTTATTTTTTTATAGTTTAAAATTTTGTTTTATTTGTCTTTACTATACTAGGATCTGGAAGAGTTGTTACAACCCACGTTCTGATTGATGTGTGGGATTAGCCAATGAAACGGTCTGTTACGGCAAGTTCTTGGCATGTGGTGCACAGAACTGTGGGTATCCCACTAGATACATCAAAGCTGATTGGTTAATCAAATGTCTGATGTCATAGGGTCAAAAGCCACTCTTATGACCCCTATCACGACCTTCCACTACAACCGGTCAGATCTGAATGTAGTGGAGACCATTGAATGTATAAAAAAACAAAACGAAATATAGATCTGTATTTTAATCAGATTGAGAAGTTGAGTTACTGACTGAGTGGTCGAACACGTGCTGTAAATCATAAGATCTGTTATCGATGAAAGTGTTAGGAGTTGATTCTCACACACGTAGTAGAGTTGTCGACCTAACCCTGTGGGTTTTCACCAGGATCCCTGGTTTCCTCCCACTGCTAAACTGCACAAGGGGATTACTGAAATAAAAAATATGCCATGATGGTCCCAAAATGGCCTAGTTTGTGTTGATTAGATGCAAAAACACATTTTACTGGCAGTTGTGCCAAATTTTTTTTCAAGTTCACTTCATTGATTATAATAATAGCCTACGGCTTCCACACCCCACTGAAAGATCCAACACATTTCATAACTTTAAAAATATTATTACTGATTATCTGTAAATTTATTTTTGATTTTGTATTTCTTTTAATATTCTCTAGGCTATGTTTTATGCCGATCAACTGTTGAAGAATGTTCCGACCTCTGCCCAAGCTGTTATGTACACAAAATTACATGATGATAAACCAAAATTACCAATGGCTCTTGGTCCAATAACCACAACTAAACGTCTAACAAGTAAAGCATATTAATATTGTTAAATGTATGCAAAATGTTTCACAGTGTTGCCTACCAGTAGTTGTTATGCCTGTTTAATTATTCAAGTAATTCGCATATATTGAAGAGTTTCACATGTTTCACATGTTATAAAATGTTTAACATGGTAATGTTGCATGTTCAAATGTATGTGTGGTTTAATGGTTGAGAGCGAGACATTAATTAATATATTGATACTGCATGAGGACGTTAGCCGAGGGCTGTTTCAATATATTACGCAATGTCTTGCACAGACCATTAAACAATATAAAATACAGACACTATCCCACACATGCATTTCAATGAAAACATCACGCGAGTCCAATATTTCATCTGCTAAAATATAAAGTATGTTGCCAATATCAAAGGATGGCGTCACATCTGTATTTTGATCATAAATAATGATGACTGTTACATGTATATTTCACTTAATTTATTCAAATGGTATTTTAAAACATTTTGTTATATATATAAAGAGTACTAGGACTAGTTCTGTATACAAAACCTGCTGAACTTTATTATGAATCAAAAGAAAATCAGGTTATTATTTGAGGACTTAAAAAAAGCTGTTTAAGCTTATATTAATAAAACAAAGCATTGATTTGTAAAAAACAGCATTAAAAATAGCATTATTTTAAATAAATCTTTTCCATGACTGCTGATGAAGATAAGAATCAAGATTATGTATAAATGATTTTAACATATGGAACTGAACTGGATATTTTTTTTTTAAATCAAAAACGATATCTTTATCTTCCACTTTTAATGTACAGAATAAGTTAAGGATTATTTACTTTATACAATTTTATTTCATGAAAATAATGAAAATTTTAAGATTCATATCATCTTGAATATATTTTACTATTTACTGCTGTGTATTTATTACCGGTAAATACTTGTTAATGGAGATAGTTCTTTTATGAAGATTTATTTTGATTTTTTTTGTACAAGCAAAAAATTTAAGAACCCAACAATATCAGAATTTATACATACTTTATAAATTGTACATTTATTAGTTAAATATATATATATATATATATATTTGTTTTTGAAATAAAAACAAAATTTTTTGTTGCTATATTTTGTGTTTGTGTCACTTATTGAATGAACTGGTTGTATCACTATAATAATGTTAGAACTGTGAGGTTATTAGATGTTCTGTTATACATGGTAGTCTAATGTTGACAATTTTACTATATTCAGCAGATGTTGAGATAAAAGCTGTAAGTGGATATTTTGACAACTAATTCAAATTTGTCGCTTTAGTATAAAAGTCAAGCATGACACTAGGATTTTGGTCCAAGATCTGATGGTGCTCATAATAGTTACAGGAGTTGGATGGCTGAATGGTTAGCATGTGCGCGCTGTATCCTAAGGCCTGTCATTGAGTCAACTGGCGTGGTTTCGAATCCCCGGTTGTACGTGACAAGGAGTAGGGTTACCTGTCCAACCTCGTGGGTTTTCTCCAGGTACTCCGGTTTCCTCCAACTGCTAAAGACCCCTACGCGCAAGCGAATTATTGAAATAAAATTAAATCATATGTTAGTTCCGAAATGACCTAGTTTGTGTCAAGTGGATGTTAAACTGCATTTCTCTCTCTCATAATAGTTAGCAACACTGATGTTGAAACTTTACAGCAATAGAATACTGCATGTCAAGTCTACTAGCTACTTCAATCACGGCACAATTTATATTACACGTGTATATAGAAGTACCCGTATCTTCATTGACAATTGTTTTGTTTGCTAAAATACCATTAGTAGGTTTATTGTTTACAATTATTTTGGGGACTGGGTAAACAATTTTTTTTAAAGAATTTGGGTTTGGATTATGTGTCTGTCATCTTTGCAAGCTTTAATTTTGATATTGAAGTAGACTGCCCATCTAACTTGGAGAGTTTTATCTCTCTTTGCATTTGAATCCCGGACAAGGAGTAGGGTCGCCTGTCCAACCTCGTGGGTTTTCTCCGGGTCCTCTGATTTCCTCCCATTGCTAAAGACCCCTACGCGCAAGCGAATTATTGAAATAAAATTTAAAACCATATGTTAGTCCCGAAATGACCTAGTTTGTGTCGAGTGGACATTAAACCCCATTTCTTTCTCTCTTTGCATTTACCCCCTTTTTTTTAAAGTTGAGAACAGGGTTACTTCCCCTGACACACTAAAGGGGGATAATTCAGAAAGACCAGTAATTCTCTCCCATTGACTTTAAGCTAAATCCATATTTCTTGGCATGTAACATTTTTGTTAAAATTCCAATCTGTGTGTGACACTGTTTCAATCTTTTTCTAAGTCTGGTTTAAGGAATGTATTGTCCATGAAGTCATTATCATAAGTGATTTCCCCAATTCATGTCTGTTTCCATCCTGATCCTTTCGCCTCAATATCATGAATATTCAATAAAACCAGGCACAAAATCCAACGCTTTCGATTCTTTACAAAAAAGACTACAAAAACTACCATGTAAAAGCAGAGAGATTCAAGGAACAGAGTTGCTATGAATGGAATTGAATTTTATTTGACATATTAATTGAATTCATGCACAGGGCATAATTTTATGGAATACAATTACCGAGTAATCAAACTTTAGCATCATTCATGGTAATTAGCAGCATGTCGCTGATTGGTCATCATTGACTCAGTATTGTTTTTACATGTCTACACTGTCACATAAAATATTTTATCATTGCTTCTTGATAAAGACTACAGAGCCTTGTGGAAAGGTCGCACAGCCATAGAAAGTCAAAGTATTGTATTCCATAGAATTGTGTTCTGTGTATATCAAGTGCAATTATTAAATGCCATTGAAACAATACTTCAATCCAGTTGAAAACATGTTAAAGATATTGTATTTTGAGCCTTGGGTGAGTTGCAAATATGAGAAATTGTTTAGCTGAGTAAACTAATTAACACTTCATGGCCAAAGGGCTTGAATATCTTTTGTCACATTTTGGTTTCTTCTTTTCTTATTTTCAGACAGCAGTTACATTTAATATACCAGTGATGTGTTGGACAACTTTTAATCGTAGTGAAGAAAAATAAATATTGACGTCACCAATTTTAATAAACCAAGATAAAGTTATACATTAAATAATATTGTTTTAAAAATGCTTTTTGTCAATGAAATCATAAATTTACTGAACTTCACTGATATAAAATAGTTGAAACAATTTATTAATTTGTTTATAATCCACAGTTAAACTTTGCGTACAGTCTGACTATTGACTAGTAAAGATGTCAATAGTTGGATGGGTTTTTGTTATAACATTTGCTAGATATTCATTCCTGATATCTAAGTTGTGGTATAAAAGGAATTCAAGTTAATACTGATATGTTCCTGTACTAAAGAAACTTTCAAGCACAAAGAAAACATTGTGCAGAGGCAATGTCTGGCATGCCTTTTTATTTTTTATTTATTGCTATTATAAACCAGACCTTCAATACCATTAATTATGAAATAAGAAACACTGAACATCCAGTTACAGTTTTTATGAAAATAATTCCCAGACAATGTCAGGAAATTTTGTCGCCTATTCTGACACAGTTATTTTGATCAAAATCACTTGATCTGGAGACATTGTTACATAATATTAATTTTTCAATAATGTTCATAAAGAAATAATTTTTTGGGTCTTCATCTTTCATTTTACAGCATATGAGGTCAGTTTCCAATCTTTGTCAGAAAACATTAGGGCCTAACTGGATATCTGCACCAGAGACTTTTATTAGATGTTTTTGAAGCGATTTGACAGCTGCTGGTATAATCTGATCAACTTGGTCTTTCTCCTCTGTTGTAAATTCACTAAGAACGTAATCCGCCACAACATCCGGTTCCCTGCTCACTGGACGATCTATGCCCAATTTTACTCGTAAGAAAGCCTGACAAAGCAAAAGAAAAACAAACTGGTACATTGCATGTGAAAATTGTTAAATGAAAAGTGTTTTCTAATAAAGCAGTCCCGTAATCCTTCGTGATCATTTCGCCATAATAATTTTTATTAAGTTGGGTCTCCTTCATGGTTATTACCGGTAATGACATGTCTCTGATTGAACATCATTAAATAAGTATTATTATTTACATGTAGGCCTATTGCTCAAACATATTTTATATTTTACTACTGCTTGATAAAAACTATAGAAGCCTTTATTCTCAGTATTAAACAGTAATTGTATTCCATAGTAATTCCAGTTACAAAAACCCATCGAAACAACTTTTCTTAGCGTTAGGTATTGTTAAAACATGATTAAAGTATTAAAAAGTGCATATATTCTTACATCAGTTTTCAAGGAATTCATCACAGACTTGACACCATTATGACCCCTGAAAAATAATTAAATTGATTTTAATATATTGGTTTTTTATAATGGATCTAAAAAAATAGTATGAACAATACTGACAATGTCGTATAGAACATTCTTTATCTCCTTGCTATAATATCTAATCTTACTGTAACCCAAGTTACTCTCTAAAATTTTTAAACCTGATAATGTCCTTGGTCTAGTTACTATGACTACTTCCATAGTGTATTTTATATATAATTCCAGTTATATAATTTCACTATATTATTCTCTGGGATGTGCTCTCAAAAGAAATGCTGGAAATAACTAAAAGCCATGGGAAATGAATGAAATGAGGTTTAAGAATTCTCATCAGAACAATACAACCAGGATTTGTTTTCCATCTGAACGATTAAACCTTAGCCTTGATCATTTTAATTTATGTAAACCAGATCAAATTGGATTTTTGTAATCGCTTTTGGGTTTTAAATTGATCAAAAGTAGTTTTTGCAGTTTTTGCAGAAAACTTGTGATAACTCCCTTTAAACTCAAATCAAGGGATAAAAAATTATAGTGATCTAACCTTGAACTACCACCAGATTTAATAGATATTCTCCCCAGTGATCTATCTAATTCATCTTGTACTATATAAACATTCTCTGGTGATATCTTATAATGTAGAGCTGAAAAAAATATTATAAACAATGATATCTTAAATCACATTAAGATGACCATTTTTAATTGTTAGCTGAAAGGAGCACGAGGAATTAAAAATGAAATGAAATGAAATGGGGACCTACTCTTATTTCAATTTCCAACTGTCAACGGTTCTTTCGTGTGCATGAGACCTCGATTTTTTGTCCCATCAAAATGACTACACACACATTGTCCCTTGCCAGGCCTTCTGTCCTACACCACTGACAAGGGGGAACCACGCTTGAAATTTGAATTTAAGCTATTGCTAGTGAAAGCTGTACACCATTTCAACATAATCTTTTGAGTGGCAATTAGCGATCGGGAAACAGATTAATAGAACAAAGTTTTTATGGGGTACAATCACTAGTTTTATTTCGACAAGTATCCTCTTATCGTTATCAAGCACAATGACATAGTAAACTTGAGGTCAGAGAGAGAGAGAGAAATGGGGTTTAACGTCCATTCAACACAAACTAGGTCATTTCGGGACTAACATATGGTTTAAGTTTATTTTAATAATTCGCCTGCGCATAGGGGTCTTTAGCAGTGGGAGGAAACCGGAGGACCCGGAGAAAACCCATGAGGTTGGACAGGCGACCCTACTCTTTGTCACGTACAACCGGGGATTCGAAACCACGCCAGTTGACTCAGTCAATGACAGACTTTATGATACAGCGTGCGCACACTAACCATTCAGCCATCCAACCCCCCAAACTTGAGGTCAATATATACTGTTAATTAATCTATGTAAATGGTTTCCCCATAAAAAACTTTGTTCTATTACAATTTCAACAATTGATTTATCTACAGACATTAACATTTTGATCTCGCACACTTTTTACCCCATTCAAAGAGGTCCAGAGACATAAGTGAAAGTCTGACGTTAACGATGGAGGACCATCAGACTGGGCAGCTTTTCATCAGAATCCCTTTTCTGATCTGTCACCATCTTAATCTTATATCATGGAGGTTATGTTTTGATGGAAGATCTATGTCCTGGGATTTTTTAAAGGGCCTATTCTTCTAGCCTATGTTCTTGGTACAGCAAATCTAGGTTGAATACAAACTTGGATGTGAAATGACTTGAAATGAGTTACCATTGTCCTGTCTCTCCCTTGCCATCAAATAAATGTAAAATGGTGTTTAATTTCTGCCATTCCAGTCATTCTAAAATATAGTAATCTACGGAACTTAAATGTGTTTAGGGTAAGGGAAGAAATGGGAACAATTTTTTCAGATTTCAAATATCACGTGTCTGGAAACTAAACTACCAGTTTGCACACAGGTACTGGTATTCCATTCTTATCCCATCCTTGTCAGCCTAAAAGCCATTACCCTTACACGTTTAAAAATTTGTGGCCCAGAATAAAAGTACCTGCTTGACTGGAAGCTATACTATAATGTTCTCTATAAGTAGGCCTACCTGTTTTATAAACGCTGGTTCCATTTAGATTCATTGGTTCTTTAGGTTTTAACAGAACCAATTCCACATCGTCACTCACAAAACATGATGTTACATAGCCTTTACAACGTTTACTTTCATTTATCCACCTAGCATTTAACTGAGCCGCTAGTCTATCAACAAACATCATGCCAATATTATGTCGGGTTGATGGTAGCTGATGGTTTCCAAGTCCTACAATCTGTTCATTGAAAGAAATGTTAAAATTAATAAAATTAGAGATATCAAAAAGTGGTGGAGACACTGGAGATTCGAAATGCAACAGTGCCAAAGCAAATCAACATAATGATAAATCCAATGAATTATGAAATCAACAATTATTTTTTCACCAAAATTGCAAAGTTATTATATCAAATGTACATAGGCCTATTCTTCAAAAGCGATTACATTTATTTTCTTGGTGAGAGATTCAACAAATAAAGGAAATTTCATAAAATTACTAAATATCATAATTCATGATCAAAAAGAACCTCAACCTGAAGTTTTTTCTTGACACAAGCCACAAGGTGACTTACCAAAAATTTATTCCTGTTGCTTTCTGTTGATAAATTTACAGCCATTGTAGGTGTACATGTTTTCTGTTCTCTAAAAAGTAAAGAAATCAAAAATCCAAAGTGTCTGCGCGACATATTTAGTTTACTCTTGATAAAACTGGATAAAATATGAAAATATGAACGTGAATGACACAATAACCCGAAATGAAAGCTGAGGTGATTTCTTATGATGACGACACTGACGCAGTATTCGATTGGTTAATAATGACAAGGCTCTTCCCTTGTTACTAAAATTAGATTCCATATCTAAAAATAGCCATTCCAGTCTTTGGACCATGGCTTCGACAGGGTTGCTTGCTGGGCGTTTAGCTCTGGTAACAGGTATAAAATATAAGTTTAGTAGGAGACCGGAAGGTTGCTGAATGATTGCGATTAATTTTATATTTAATATTCTTTTTGATTTATTTTTTTAAAAAAAATGTGCATTCACTGTCATGCATTACAAATCGCAATTTGCAATTATGAATTATGACTGGTATGGTCTTTATAGGTCTACTTTAGGCCTATATATTATATATAGGGTCCCATCTGACCACATTATTAGTTGACTTTGGGTTTCTGAAATCTGTCTACAGAGAAAGTTTAGTATTTTCAATTACAAGTGAACTTGTGATTATATAGTCCACAAAAGATATAATTACTAATAAAACTTGGTAATTAAGCCCAATAAGTAAATTTTCATTTTATAAGCTGATAAACCTCAGTAAAGATGTAAATTGCAGTTTAAACTCAGTAAACAAAAGAGATTAAAGAGAAAAGTAAACAAAAGAGATTAATGAGAAAAGTACTAATTGGTGCCAATTTTAATTGATCTTGGTGTAATCTAGGATTAAAAGATTATCTTTATCTTTGTGTCTTTTTCGAATTTATCTACAAACAATTAGAAATATTAAGGTATGCTTTTATTTATGTGCTCGGATTAGCTCAATAATTGGTTAAATAATTCAGCAGTGAAATGAATTATTATAGTGAACCATAACAAATAGAAATTTGGAATCTTCGTTCGTTCATTCCTGGGAATCACGTGGCTAAGTGGGTAAGACGCTGGCTTGCTACCCTGGAGGTCGGGTGTTCGATCCCTGCATTGGTCGTGAAAGTTCTACCAGATTTTCCCGTTGGTTTCCCCTTGTCAGTGATGCAGAATGGAGGGCCTGACAAGGACAGCTGTCTAGTTGTTCGGATGGTATGAAAAACCGAGGTCCCGTGTACACATTGGCGTGCACGTAAAAGATCCCTTGGTAGTTGGAATTCAATGTAAGAGTAGGTCGTAGCGACGCTGCCCTGGCAAAATTTCCCTCATAGCACACTGTATGGCGTATGCCCGTCTTCATTAGCCCAGGTTAGGAGCAGAACAGTAGGACGTTAAACTCCATTTCATTTCATTTCATTTCGCTTTGTTCATTCCTGGTCGAGTTTTACGTCCACTTCCACCAAAGGTGATATCATAGACAAGCTGTTCAGTTCTAGCCTATACTGTGAGTTGGCTACAAAATGACGGTATATAGAAAGAAGGAATCGGGTGTCACAATCCTATATTTAATGCTTAAAAAAACCATCATCATTAAACTTGGCCGTCCCACCCCACCCTTGTACCGCTTCTGAAATTCTGCATAAACAAACATCACATGCGGGTCTCACAATTTGCAAGTGCCTTTCCCTAAAACTTCAATGTGAAGGAGAGTTATCTGGCGAGACAGTTTTCATTGGCAGGGGTGTAATAACTTTGTGAATGCAGTTGTTTTCAGAATAACACATTCATCTACAAGTACTTTTTTTTAACAGGTGGAGGTAGTGGAATTGGTAAAGCTGTTTGTCAAGCATTTGCTAAAGAAGGAGCTAGAATAGCCTGTGTTGATATCAATAAAAATAATGCAGAAAAAACAGTTGAAATTTTACCCACAGGTTTGCAAATAGCATGAAACAATTTTACTGTTTATAAATGCCTTCAGACTGGAGGAGGGCAATAACTCACGCAAGCCCTTGAAAGTAATAAACAACATCATATGGTCATTTTGATTTTTGTTTTGTATTTGCCTTTGAATCAATAACTTTGACTATAACTGTAGTACCATATTATACGCCCACATTTCATGTGGACGTATTATGCTGTCCCCCCCGGTACACCTACAATTTGTTTGTGGACACTCTTCAGGTCACAATTTTTATCCGATTTTGACAAAACTTGAAATATAGGTCTATCTCCCAAAGATGTTGGTTCCTTTCGATATTGGCATTTATCGGACCATAACTTCATATATTATGGCCCCTGATTGTACGAAAATCACATTTTTAGCTTGTGGACAATCTAGAGGTCACAATTTCCATCTGATTTTGATGAAACTTGACATGTATATTTATAACCCAAAGATCTTGGTTCCTATTGATTTCCGTGCATATTAGATCGTAACTTCCTGAATTATGGCCCCTGATTGTACGAAAAATCATGTTTATAGCTTCTGGTCCCTCTAGAAGTCACAATTATTATCTGATTTAAAAAAAACGTTACACCATAATGTTAGTTGATTTCGAATTTTGTTAAAATTTCGTGAAAACTCCCAGAAAAATGGCTGTCCCTCAAAAGCAAATAATGTAAAAATATGGTATATTAAGGTTGTGGACCCTCTAGAGGTCACAATTTTGATCTGATTTTGATGAAACTTGAAATACATGTTTATAACCCAAATGTTCTTGGTTCCTTTCGATATTCAAGCATATAGGATTGCAACTTCCTTAAGTATGGCCCTTGATTGTACGAAAAATCACGTTTTTAACTTGTGGTCCCTATAGAGGTCACATTTTTTAACCGATTTAAAAAAACATTCGACTATATCACCGTTACACCCTAATGATGGTTGAGTTCAAATTTTGTTAAAATTGGATCGAAACTGCCCGACAAATCTCTTGCAAAATGTGGGCGTATCTTGCATGGCAACCGTTTGTCTATATATAATAAAGAATCAACATTATTGTAAGCTACTGGTACAAACAGTTTGTCAAACTATCTAATAAGCAGTAATCGTATGATTTTAAAAAAAGAAAACATTTTATTGAAGATAAAATAGATCTATATTAAAATTAATGTAGATCTAATAAAGAAAAACTAACCTGTTGCAAATATTTGCTTCAAAATGTTCATCCAGAGTCACTGTAGTTAAGCAAGAATTCACTTGATCCATTGTGAAGCTATAGAAAACAAGTGAATAAGTTTCAGTGTACAAGAATATTTAGATGATAATTGTGATCAATATAAAATATTAAATTTTCTTACTTCGATTCATAAAAAAATCCCAACAAATAACAATAGACAATACAGCTGACACAGGTTGATGACATCACAATAGAACTTATTAAAGTAGATTATTGTTTGTTTTATATAGTATAGATTAGGTGAAGAACATGCATGTATAACATCTGGTCACAGCTTCAACTCTTTCAGGGGTTTTTTTTTTGCATAATTAAATACTACTAAATCATATACTTCTAATTTATGTAAAGCCTAAATGCTTTAGTAATTCTATTACCGTATATCAAATTCACAGTGTATTTAGTGTGTTTGATCTAGGTGTAGACCTACATGTGGCATATTCCCCAACCTTTTTTCAGTTATAAATATAGATATCATTTTAAAGAAAATAGTGAAACTAGATTTAATGAATGCCCACAGGTTCAGATCTGTTTAGGTTTTCTTGTGATTATTAAGACACCTGTACCATTATTTTTATCATTCAAAATATGGATTGAAGTGTAGGTGTTGTGGTCGAGTGGTCTAACACGTGCGTTGATTTAGATCTTAAGGTTTATAAGTGACAGGGAATAATGTTTGTCCATCCTCATAGGTTTTCTCCAGGTTCTCTAAAGATCCTGTTACGCAGGCAAATTATTTGAATAAAATTGAATATGTTAGTTCCAAAATGACCTATTTTGTATCAAGCAATCTTTAACCCCCAGTTTTCTCTTTCCCCAGTAAAAATATGTCAGTTGTATAAAAAAAAATCAGATCACTAACTTGTATTTTTTCCAAATCTTGCATATTGTCAGAATCTATACAAATCTTATTTTACAGATGTACAACATGTAGCATTCGAAGTGAATGTGTCATCAGCTAATGATGTCAAGAATTTGTTAAAAGATGTGACATCAACTTTCTCCACACCACCATGTATAGCTGTCAACTCTGCTGGTATAACAAGAGACAATTTTCTGTTAAAATTAGATGAAAAAAGTTTTGATGACGTGATTGATGTGAATTTGAAAGTAAGTTGATTGATGTTGCTTGCAGATCAATTTAGACTGTAATTCTCTGAAATAATATTGCCAATCATTTGGTACCGTACTTTTAATGTAGTAACATTAATTGTGTTCAATTCCTGATTCAATTGATAGCCATATCAAACAGACTGCTTTTTGGATTAAATTTGACAATTTTTGTTGTTATATTTGTCTTCACCCCAGTTTGTCCGACAGCCCAACCACACTTGCTTGACAGAGTATATTTTTTATCTGTAATGATGCTGTGTATCTATGGCATTTATCATTATTTGCATACTTATTGCCCTTGACATAGCCACACTACATCAAAAATAGCTCAGTATGTGTATCTACCATGGTGATTGCTCATGTTATATTCCTTTTGGTAAGATGGGATTTTTTTCCCACCAGTTTAAAAAATGGTAATGAGCATTGTAATTTTTTATTACAGGGAACATTCTTGATTAATCAAGCTGTTGGTCGTTTAATAGCAGAACATAAAATAAAGAATGGGTCTATTGTAAATATAGCAAGTATTATAGGAAAGGTAGGCAATACACTTCTTGATCCAGCCAGGTTAAATAGTGTCTGTCTTAAAGAAGAAATCCCAGATATAGAACAGGTTAATTCTGTGTGGAAGTTTTAAGAACCACTTATTTTAGTCCCCAGCAACTAACCAAAGCCCTGTAATACGTTTTCGAAGAGATGCTAATGTCCAATTGTCAAATGGATTTGGAGACAAGCTTATTGACTTGCAATCACCTTGTGTCTGGATAAACCTAATAACTCAGATATATTGTTGCATTTAACTGCTTTTTAGCAAGGTTTCCAAAAATGGTATTGAATAGTCACATTTTGAGCTTAGCTTGTATGTTCGGTAATTGACCTAGATGTGGCAGAATACAGCCATTGCGCATGATAACAATAACACATAAAAGGCTCAAATAGATTTCATGTATGATATATTTATTGACAAGATATTGAATTTTATTGACACAGTACATGGGTGTTATTTTAAAGTAGCTAAGTCTCTTACTCAATATCATCCAAAATCTTCAACATTGAAAACACGATTTATTTGTCAAATTAAATCAACATTGATGTTGTGATCTTACCGGAAAAAGATGGGCTTTTGATATCCAATATTTAAGACAAAATAAACATTTTACCATTGGTACACGAATCGTGTACCATAATGCGCTTCAGCCCCAGTTATATCAAGAAACTTGAGGGACGAGGCTAGACACATTGCACCAAATGAAACGGCGTATAGTAGACTGGAATAACCAGACGCTAGAAATTTGCACTCGCTTGAGACTGCTGGCTTATTTAGGCGAACATAACTGATTTGAAATTGGAGTAAAAACGGAAACCATTGAATGTAAATCAGTTTATATACATTCATATTACAGTATTATATGCGTTGCGACCCACTTTTGTCAATTTATAGGTCCCAAATGTTAGCGATTTAGCTGCTTTAAACTCTATATTATATTTAAGGCAGGTAATATTGGACAAGCTAACTATGCTGCTTCAAAAGCTGGCGTTATTGGTTTAACTAAAACAGCTGCAAGAGAATTTGCTAGGTGAGTATAGTAAATTCGGAGATAACTTTTTTAGTTCCTGTGTAAAGAGTCATTTGACTATCTCTGATGTGCTAATGCATAATAATATCTACTAACCTTGCCAACCAGCAATCTTTGATTGATTGAAGTTATACTTGGATATCATGCTGACAGAAAGGTAAACCCAGAGAGTAGGAAGGGTTATTCTTGTTAAGATTCAGGACTGAATAATCCTCACTTGATGAGGACAACTTGTGGGTATAATCATTAAATCTACAAGGATGTTCAGAAAATGTTTATTTATATTCTTTACAGTATTGGCATTTGCTTGAGATAATTTTGATAACATGTAGAATTAGATATACAGATGTAAGCTTTACATGTACTTCTCTGAATATTGTACACATTGCTTACAAAGCATATCATCAAGGGAGATAATTCCTTTACATTTGTGTTCATATTCACGGGACAGAGATAGAGAAATGTACATTCAACACAAACCAGGTCATTTTGGGACTAACATATGGTTCAATTTTATTTCAATAATTCTCTTGTGCGAATGTGTCTTTAGCAGTGGGAGGAAACTGGAGGACCCGGAGAAAAGCCATAAGGTTGGATAGACGACCCTACTCTTGTCACGTACAACCAAGGAATCGAAACCACGCCAGTTGACTCAATGACAGATATAATGATGCAACGCACATGCACTAATCACTCGGCCATCCCCCAACCCCCCTCCTATTCATGGGACAAATAATAGATACATGTAATATTCTCAAATGAAGTAGTGTAAAATTCATGTTTATATAGAGGTGTTTATTTTATTAGGTATGGTATACGAGTTAATGTAGTATTACCAGGATTTATTGTAACACCAATGACAGATACTGTGCCTGATAAAGTTTTTCAACAAATGGTTTTACCACTTATACCCCTAGCTAGGATGGGACAACCAGAAGGTAAATTATCAAAACTGTTTTGTCTGAGGATATCCTCAAAATTCTATTTTACCAAACATACTTGCATGTAATTGATGTCTACTACATGTACTTTTTTTTAATGTAAAATTGTTTTAATAATATATTAAGATACTCATTTAAAAAAATTAATTAAAGAATAGATATTTCATCAATAAAATCTGTTTCTTCATGAAACCCTCTTATAGTGGTTTTAAACCAAATTGAGCTGGCAGCTCACAAATGTTTGTTTTTATTTCAGAAATTGCTGATACATGTGTATTTTTAGCATCTAATAAAAGTTCATATGTAACAGGGGCTAGTATAGAGGTTACAGGTCAGTATATTTTAAGCTTCTTGCTTGTGGACACTCTACAGGTCACAATTTTTATTTGATTTTGACAAAACTTAAAATATAGGTCTATCTCCCAAAGATCTCAGTTCCTTTCGATATTAGCATATATTGGACCATATCTTCATGGATTATGGCCCTTGATTGTATGAAAAATCATGTTTTTAGCTTGTAGACATGCTGTCCCTTGTACGCAAATAGTGTAAAAATATTGTATGTCAAGGTTGTGTACCCTCTTGAGGTCACAATTTTCATCTGATTTTGATGAAACTTGAAATGCATGTTTATAACCCTAAGATCTTGGTTCCTTTCGATATTCACGCATATCAGATCGTACCTTCCTGAATTGGCCCTTGGGCCTTGATTATACGAAAAATCACGTTTTTAGCTTGTGGTCCCTCTAGAGGTCACAATTATTATTCGATTTAAAAAAAACAACGTTTGAATATATCACCGTTACACTGTAATGATGCTTGAGTTCAAGTTTGGTGAAAATCGGACCAAAACTGCCCACAAAATGGCCACCCCTTGTACGCAAATAGTGTATATATCAAGGTTTGATCGATTTTGATGTAACTTGAAATGCATGTTAATAACCCAAAAATCTTGGTTCATTATGATATTCATGCATATCACGCTGGTAAATTCTATCAGAATCTAAGAATACACTGTATTGTAGCTGTACATACTTTTTATACACCCACATGGAAATGTGGACGTATATTGCCGTCTCCGTCCATCATCCACAATTTCTTGTGAACGCTCTAATGCCAAAATTTATCATTCAATAATTTCCTTTTATTATGTCTAGAGTTGTGGCCCTTGTTTCACTTTGTTGAACCTTGTGAACGCTCTAATGCCAAAAGTTAACATCCGATCTTTGTGGAATTTATATGCAATATTTAAATTAGGGAAACAAAGAAGCCTATTGAATTTCAGCAATATCCATTTATTATTTCTAGAGTTATGGCCCGTGTTTCACTTTGTTTAACCTTGTGAACACTCTAACAACAAAAGTTATCATCTGATCTTTGTTAAATTTATATGCATTATTTAAATTAGTGAAACGAAGAAACATATTGAATTTCAGCAATTTCCGTTTATTACTTCTACAGTTATGGCCCTTGTTTCACTTTGTTGCACCTTGTGAACATTCTAAATCTAAAGTTATCTGCCGATCTGTATGAAATTTATATGCGTCATTTCAATTAGCAAAGAGAAGAATCCTATTGAATTTCAGCAATTTCCATTTATTACGTCTCAAGTCATTGCCCTTGTTTCACATGTTGTACCTTGTGAATGTTCATATGCCAAAAATTATCATCCGATCTTTGTGAAATTTATATGCATTATTTAAATTAGTGAAATGAAGAAGCCCATCGAATCTTAGCAATTTCCGTTAATTACCTGTACAGTTATCTGGTGATTTGTATGAAATTGATATGTGTCATTTATATTAGTAAAAAGAAGAATACTATTGAATTTCAGCAATTTCCATTATTACTTCTACAGTTGTGGCCCTTGTTTCACTTTGTTGCACCTTGTGAACGTTCTAACATCTAAAGTTATCTGTCGATCTGTATGAAGCCTATTGAATTTCATCAATTTACAATAATTACTTCTCGAGTTATAACCTTTGTTTCACTTTGTTCAATCTTGTTAATGCTCGATTGATGAAAGTTATCATCAGATATGTATGAAATTTATATGCATCATTTAAATTTGTGAAACGGAGGTCTATTTAATTAATTTCAGCAATTTTCATCAATTATGTCTAGAGTTATGGCCCTTGTTTTATTTTGTGAACCTTGTGAACATTCGAATGACAAAGTTATCCGATTTGTATGAAATTTATATCAAATTTCAAAATTTTCTGTAAATTACTTCCAGGGTTAAGGCCCTTGTTTTAGTTCGCAGAACCTTGTGAACCCTCAAACGAGAAAAATTATATTCTGATCTATATGAAATTGTATTGTAAATGCCCCCAATTACTTACAAAAGAATAAATATGCAACAACCCTTGTCAACCGCTTAAATGATTTAGCTGCTGTGGGCGTGTGTTTCATTGCCTAGCAACCTATCTTTTTAGTAACTTATATTCCATATAATTGTGTCATGTGTTATTCTCATTCAGTTACTAAATGCCGCTTAAACAAAATATACTTATAGGTGTTAAAGAAACAAACAAACTAATACAAATAGATATATTTTTAAACACTTTTCAACAGTGTCAGTGTAATGTCAGATAAGAATTTCCTACAGACTGTGGTTTGCCAATTAGTTCTGTGATTGCAATATTCACAAAATATATAAAGCACCAGGTTATAATTAAATGTTAGGTAAAATACAACCCACTGATAAAAGATTATAATATAAAAACAATCATTGCCATAATGCTAAACTACTGGTAATTTAATTTGGACCCATCAATGTTTAATTTGTTTCTGTAACAAATTGTATTTGAATCCCACTCATGTAGTGTATTGTTGACTTCAATAAATAACGGCACATTATTTCTAACATTAATTATTATAAAGAAAGGAAATGAACATGGAAGTTTATTAAAAACATATTATACTGAAAGGAATGGAAATGATGTATTATTTTTGCCAAAATCTTGTCGAGAGAATAACTTCAAAAAAAAGTCCATGACCACAAATCTCATTAGACTTTATTTAAGGTTGCAAAATTTTTGCTGTTTTTTTTTTTCCAGGTGGTATGTTAATGTAAAGACAAGATGTAGAGACAGTTCAATCTTAAACCATATATCTATGTTAAATGCATTTATCAGGGATAACCATCAAATATAATTGTTTAATTTTGTATTGAATATTTTTAATATCTTTCTGTGTTTGCATTGTTATATTCAACTTAAAAGGCAAAAGAAACACATGTGTCATACAAAATCACTAGATAGTCAGCTATGACAATTATTAATTTAGTGGAGCATAGTGTTGGGAATTGCCACATTAGGGTGTTTTTCACAATGCAATGTTTGTGGGGGAGGGCTTATCATGCCCTTAATTAACAACCGGCAGCAAAGGTACCCATGCAAGATCTATAAACACTGTCAATAAATCCCCATAGAGCAGGCTATAAAAAATGTATTGGATAGCTCATAATTACATAGTGGAACTGTTTAATGTGTATACCGCTGGTCGGGCTAATCTTCGTGAATATCAGATGGGCAAGTTTTTCTTTTCCGTAAGAGGTGCACAACTTTAAAACGAATTATATGGAGAAATCAGAAAATGTACTAAAATTGTCAATTTAAATAATAACTAGAGACTCATCCATTTATATAATCATAACAATAGAATCTTGTTTATATGCTGGGAAAGCACTTACTACAGTACTACAGTATTTAAATGGTAACCAGTTATTTTTTTCTTCTGAAGGACTAATCCTCACAGATGATTCTAAAGGCAAGCAGATGCAAGGTTTTAAAAACAAAGGCAATAGTTTATATGTACAAACAATTTTATTCCTAAAGGCTGAAAGTGAAAATCACCTCCTCCTTCTTTTTGAAAAAGCAGAAGAATCTACAAAAAACTTTTTTTGCTTTTTGTCGGGCTGGCGACGGACAGGTCCCTTTTTCTTCTGCATCATTCTCTTAGATCCTTGATAAGCGCCTGTTCCTCTACGCATAGAAGATTGAATTTCTTCAAACTTTCTTTTATTATACCTAAAACAGATAAGCATTAATAGGATTAAAGGGAAAAAAATGAATCAATAACAACATCCTTTGCCAAATAGAACATTTTAATATTCAAGTTAATCAATAATGAACAAAAATCAAGCACTGAAATTTTGCTGCAAGGTCAATATTAGAACTTGGTTGACGATGTTGAGCCACAGGTTCAAGACATGTTTTTATATGGGAAATTTATCAGAAATGTAACCAGGACTTCATTCATGACCATTTAAATCTTTTGATCACAGTGAACTGCCATTGTTGAAATCAATACTTAGTGCTTAGTTAAAACCATTGTTATCATACAGGGTGATCATTTATAAAATCAGTACCAATGCTTAGTTAAAACCATTGTTACCACAGTGCCTGGGTGGCCATTGCAAAAATAGTGTGCAACTGTTATTATTATGATTTTTAAATACCAGAACCATCAATTTTAATGAATACATATTTCTGTGAATCAACAAGGCCCCACATTGTTAAACATTTATCTTCATACAGTTTAAAATAAAAAAAATAAATATTTACGTTCTGAATTCAGCATCTGCCAGAAGCTCGTCAACAATAGTTTGTTTACGTTGTTTTTTAGGAATTCTACCACTATAGAAGTCAGCTGCCCCTTCAACAACTTTACCAAACTGAAAAAATATTTGTTTAATTAGATAGATGGGAGTACAAGAAAGTAATATATCAAAATTAGTTTGTCATCCTTAAATATACTTAATATAAGGAATCTGAATCGGACAAAACTCTGCAATAAATCTCACCACTTTTCTTTAGGTCAAAATATAAAGTGCTGCATGGAGTTAATCTGATACACTATTTCAGTTAGTGATGAGACAAGTTCTAAAGGATTAAATTTTCATACCAAAAAATTAAACAGAAGCCTGTTTACAAATTTTATTTTTGGCTTATACTATTTACTATTGTTGAACACAAAAAAGTTAACATCGACATAAAATTTGAAATATACCAGTAGATAGATATTGTCCTTGCAAAAATATCAAATTTAAAAAGATAAGTACATAGTTCATACATGTATATTTGTTACCCAAACCCTATAGGCAGTATCCTTATCACGAACTTCTGAAGCAAATATATATTCAATGGAAAAAGGTAATATCATTAACACGAATTTTTGAAATAAAATATATTCAATAGAAGAGATAGTATTCTTCTTATTAACGTTTGAATAAAAAAATGTGATCTTCATCAAAATTAATTGATTTAAACAAAACACCCATTGAAACAGTCAAATTAGATCAATTATTTCTGTCTTCAACTTACTTGGAAATATTTTGGAAAATCTTTCAAATCATTGCTCTTATAGAAACGTTTGGGATCAAGAGCTTTTCTCATTTGTAGAACCATTAAACTATTTTTCTTTTCTTCCGTTAATCCTGTTGCTGGTAAATCAAACCATTTTTTACCCTTTGTCATTTCTCGCAGTTTCTGTGAAAAAAAAAAAGATATAAATTTTAAACAACCCTTCAACTTCATGGTGCCTTTTAACCAAAGACTATCTGAGAAAACTCAATCATTTTTTTCCATGCCAAAATAGACCAAGTGTATAAATAAAACAAATACAAATTTGTCAAGTTGGTCATGAAATAACTATTTTCCCATTACCTTACTTTCACCCACCTAATATTCTTTCAGTTTGTTTAAGACAGAATTCAGTGAAATGTGGATGTACTGGTTCCAAATAGCACAATATCTGCCTCAATTGCTTATTAAGAAAGTAAAAATTAAGAATTTCACAATCAGAGCATTTTGTTCAATTAAAGATACTTTCCCACAAAAGTATTTATATCGAGTGGTTATTCCCAATAAAAGTATGTCAATTTTGGTGTATGGAAAGCAGAGACACCCAATATTACTACAAAAATACTGGATTCCTTGAAAAACACCCATAGAGCGCACACAGAACAAAAATGAGAGAGTGTCACTAATTGGCAGCCTGACCATTAAGGGCTGTCAGCTCGAGTGACATAAAGATTGAAAACGTAGATGATCTGAGTTCTAAGCATTAGGGAGCGCTTGATGAACGTTGATAAACTTGATAGTGATTGGATGTGGGAAGAGTGAGAGACTGAAACGTACAAGAGTTTCCGAGACAAAAACCACGACAAAAGACGTGGGTAGGGGATAATCTGAGATTAAAGATAACATAGTCTCTTATCTGCAATGAATTCCTCTCTGGCTTCGCACCCATTGCTAGGTACCGTTACATCCAAGTCACGTGACACAAACATGACTTCTTTTGATTCGAAGCAAATCTTTGATAGATTAATTAGTTTGAATATGTTTTTCGTCCAAAATATATCATCAAATCACCCAGTTTGTACGCAGGAAGGTATTTTTAAATACATGTGGCACTATTTTCATCAATTACTCTTTAAATACCTTTTTCTCTCTTTTTACTTTTCTAACTGACTCGTGATATTTTGGTAAAGTTTCTGTTCTTTCAAAATCTGGAGTGATAACACTTTTTTCCATAACCTGCATGTAGAGTAAAAAAAAAAATATATAACTAATTTAAATCAACTGAATTCAGTTTATTATATTTAAAGGTATCTCAATTAATACAACTGTTCTATAAGATTACACCTGTGAAATAAATATATGTTTCGATTTGGGCGGTTAGGTGGTCTAGTGGATTAACGTGTGCACGTAAAATCACACGTTAAATCAAGTGGCGTGGTTTCGCTTGAACATGACAAGGACATAGTTTACGTCGAGTGAACGTTAAACCCCACTGTTTCCTCTCTTTATGTTTTAATTAATTTTAATATAAACAAGCCAACAGTGAGGCTGATGTCCCCCGCCGAAATCCAAAAATAAATAGATGAAACATATTCATTAATCGCACATTTATTTTTCTCAAAAGTATCAAGCAATCAAACAGATGATCACGTATACACTAAGTTTCATCACTCTCTATCAGATAGAATCAAAGTTATTTTGTCCCAAAGCATCGACCAATGAAATTGCTTAGCTTTAGCTCAAAATGTTAATCATTGAACTCAGTCAAGACATTCACCCAATGAACATCTACATCAAGTTTAAACATTCTACCCAATTAAAAGCAGAGTTGTTATGTTCCAAAGTCTTGACCAATCAAATTGCTTATCAATCCTTAGCCTAAGCAGAAAATTCTCATCATCAAACTTAGTCAAGGTAATGATATAATGAATCTATACTCAGAGTTTCATCACTCTCACTTAATTAAAACCAAAGTCATCATGCCCCAAAGCATCAACCAATCAGATTGCTTATCTCTGCTTACCGTAAGCAGACAATGTTTATCATTGAACTCCATCAAGGTATTCACTTAATGAACGCCTACACCATGTTTGAACATTCTACCTCAATTAGAAGGAGAGTTATTGTGTTTCAAAGTCTCGACCAATCAAATTGCTTATCGATCTGCTTACCCTAAGCAGAAAATGCCTATTATGGAACTTAGTCAAGGTATTGATGTGATAAAACTATACACCAAGTGTCCTCACTCTCACTCTGTTCTCACTCTGTCCTCACTCTCTTTGCTTACCATAAGAAGAAAATGCTCATCTTCTAACTCCATCAAGGCATTTACCTAATAAACACCTACATGTACACCAAGTTTGAACATACTAGCTCAATTAGAAAGAGAGTATTGTGTCCCAAAAAGTGTGACGGACAGACGAACCCATTTTAATAGTCTCCTGCTTTCTTCGAAAGGCGGGGGACAATAAAGGTCTTTAAAAGGTTACAGCACAAACCTTGAGTTCTTTCTGAGATCGATTCTTCTGTAATTTGGACATTTCTTCATTTTTATGCTTTGTATTTTCTCCGGGTTTAACATTAATATAAATACCAGGTAATTCCATTCCTGCTCCAATTTCTGATGCCAACTGAAATCTTTTAATTGAATTACATGTAATTAATGTTAACAGCATCACTTTTTTGCGTAGCATTTGTTTTTTTTTAATTGTGTAGTTTCCTGCAACCTGTTACAGTAGCTAAGTCTGTAACTCAATATCATCTTCGACATTGAAAACACGAATTTTTTTGCAATATAAATCAGCATTGGTGTTGCGATCTTACCTGGAAAAGATGGGCTTCTGATATCCAATATTTAAGACAAAATAAACATTTTACCATTGGTACACGAATCGTGTACCATAATGCGTTTTAGCGCCATTGTAACAAGGTGCTCAAAGAATGAGGTTAGACATATTCCACAAGTCATGTCAAACGGTGATATCATATTCTTATTTGGGGAGCATGCGCAATAAATAATATCGGTGTTGACTGGAATAACCAGACGCTAGAAACTGACTTGCGGTTGAGACTTCTGGCGTATTTCGCCGAACATAACTGATGACAATTCACAGTAAAACGATAACGATTGAATGTAAAACAGTTTATATAAATTCATATTACATTATTATGTGTGTTGCGACTCATTTGTGCCAATTTCTAGGTCCAAAATATTAGCGATTTAGCTCCTTTAAACAACATTTGTTTGATTATACAATGCGAGGAAACAGAGCATTAGAGTAAATAATAGAGTGGATTAGAAGATGTGGTTCCATGAAAGAATATAACACAATATCGAAGAATTCTAACCACAGGTCTCTAAAATAAAGGAAAAAAATATTAATTTTTAGTATTGTTTGGTAACTTTTCACGTAAATGGAAATAGTTGTCAGTTCTGTTTTAAGCAATCAATGCAAGCTATTAGTACGCTGCTATTTTCACTTCTTAAAATTATAATTGCCCATAACTTATAAGTTTCTGCAAGCAAAAAAGGCCAGCCACTGCCCATGACCGAAATTGACGTGTAAAGGGATGAAACTCGTATTCAGCTAGTAAATTGTCTTGTACAGGTAAATGAAACGAGGTTTAACGTCCTGCTTTTATACACCAACTTGGCTAATGAAGAAGGTGCCAAGTACTAGACTTACATTATATTATTATAAATATAATTACGTCACATACTCATCATTTTTATCATTTTGTTTATTCTTATTTCTATTTCTTCTGCCCCTTTTCCTGGATTTTGACGTGGTTGGTTCACTTATATTACTAATATTTATCCGTCTTTTCTGATCCAACACATTTGTAGGTTTTCTGTCTATAGTGAAAAGTCCAAGATCATCCTCATTTTTCAGTAAACTAGTTTTGTATCCCAAACTATCGTCTGCATCACTGTCGTCACTTTCAGAATCGCCTGTTGACATTTTCTCATCACTGCTGTTTTCAGTAATATTTTGACTGGCGATTCCTGCCAACCTATGCATTTCTTCATCTGAACTCGATATTTCATCAGACGAGGAATCCATATTTACTTTTTTAAAAATAAATAAAAACAAAATAACAGGAATTATATCTATTGAAATCAAAACATTTACATCATATTGAAAACAAAATCTAGCGTGGTGGGGCCTAACAACACTTCCGCTGGATGAAACGGGTATCAATGTTTCAACAAAATAGTTCTAATCGCATTTTAAACCTTACAGACTAATGGTTGCAGTTGCTTTTGTATAAAATCGTAGACGTTGAAATGTAAATTCAGACGAAAGTTGGTGCAAAATTGTTGAGAAAAATTCATTTTTATGTATTTACATAACCAATCCATATTCATACACAAACTGAAAGTAGTAGAACTACTTTGACCTTGTTTCCCCATGGTTTCAATGTGCTGTGAACTGTTGAATTAACTTGTTGGTTGAAATAATGGGCTCTTTGGTGAAACAGGTATTGAACGCTAGTAAATCTAATTAGTAAAATAATTGTTTTCAAGCTGTCAATATTTTATTTTTGATTTTATGTTTTGATTTTTTCAATAAAATAATCCTTAAAAGGTCCATAATAATCTTATGGACTTTGATCAGGACTTCCACTTGAACTTCCAGCCAGTGAGTTTGGTTAATTTTATTAATTGGCATACAGTGTCATAAAATTAAGTAAAATGAATTATTTGTAATAATATGTATATTTCAGAAAATTAGTCAATCCAACCTTTCTTACATATTATCGGGGGGGGGGGGGGGGGATGGCCGAATGGTTAGCCTGTGCATGTTGTATCATACTGTAAAAGTCTGTTATTGAGTCAACTGGTGTGGTTTCGATTCCCCGGTTGTACACGTCAAGGAGTAGGGTTGTCTGTCCATCCTCGTGGGATTTCTCTGTGGTTTCCTCCTACTGTTAAAGACTCATACGCGCAAGCGAATTATTGAAATAAAATTAAACCATATGTTTATAGTAGTGCAATAACTAGTTTGTGTCGAGCGGTGGACGATAAAACCCATTTCGCCCTCTCTCTTTCTACATATTGCCATTACTGTACAGTAGACGTTATAATCCATGAATTACATATTTGTATAGTCACATAGGCTGTAGCCTCTCTTTCAAAAGGGCAACCATGTAACTGGGAATGAAAGGAAAAAGGGTTTAACATCCTTCTTTACTGAAGTCGTGCTGGGAGAAAAATTTTTATTGGATAGCAGCACTACTGCCTACACTTTACATAAATTTAGAATTCCAATTGTCAAGGGTTCATCTTTTACGTACCTGCTTGTGGACGCTCTAGAGGTCAAAGTTATTATCCGATTGACTTCAAATGAGACGAAAATACCCATTGATTTTCAGTGATTTCCGATAATTACTGCCAGAGTTATGGCCCTGGATCATTTCAAAAAATCTTGTGGACGCTCTAGAGGCCAAAGTTAATATCCGATCGACTTTAAATTTATACACAGTGTTTAAGGTCATTAGATGAAGAAGCCTATTGATTTTCAGCGATTTCCGATAATTACTGCCAGAGTTATAACCCTTGATCACTTTGAAAAATCTTGTGGACACTCTAGTGGCTAAAGTTAATATCCAATTGCCTTTAAATTTATACACAGTGTTTAAGGTCATGCGACGAAGAAGTCTATTCATTTTCAGCGATTTCCGATAATTACTGCCAGAGTTATGGCCCTTGATCACTTCAAAAAATCTTGTAAATGCTCTAGAGGCTAAAGTTAATATCCGATTGACTTTAAATTTATACACCGTGTTTCCGATAATTATGCCAAAGTTATGGCCCTTGATCACTTTGAAAAATCTTGTGACGCTCTAGAGGATAAAGTTATCATCCAATTGACTTCAGATTGATACACAGAGTTTAAGATCTTGAGACGAACAAGTATATTGATTTTCAATGAATTTTTATGACTTGAACAGCTAAATCCATGGTGTTAAAAGTTTCGTATACTAAACGTTAGCATGGGGCAGAACTTTATAAAAACCAAACAAATTCTAATGGTTTTCTGATAATTACTTAATGAGTTGTTACTCTTAATCAGATTTTAATGTATTATAAATGTTTCATTATTGTTGACTGCCCGGACGATTTAGCTGCTGTAGGCATATGTTTTGTTGCTTGGCAACCTATCTTTTAATCCAGCCAAACAACTAGACCCTGGCGCAATCTGTCCAGCAGCACTGACCTAAGGGACGCCATGAACCCCGAATTTCCTGATTAGTGAGCCAGTACTTTACTTAGTACCACCGTTGCTCATGGTTGTCATGTACTAATTCACCACCTATGTTACTTATAAATATCTTTGGTCAACATTTGATACAGTCTGCTTTGGTAATATTATTTATTGTCCAGTATTTGACAACAGGTTTTTTAAAACATTCCAGAGACAGTAACAGATCTGTGAATGTAGTTCAGTCGAACTGCTGTGGATCCAAAAAATGCTGTATTAGATTGTAAATGAAATGAAATGGGGTTTAACGTCCTACTGTTCTGCTCCTATTCTGGGCTAATGAAGACGGATATTAGATTGTAGGTCTTGTAGGAAATATTTTATAGTACATTTAAAATGACTTATAACAGTAGCTATAAAATGATATATTTAATAGTAAGAGTATTTCGTTTGTCTCTATACATGTAGGTTCATCTGATTGGCAGAGTAGCCAAACATGGATTATGTTTTATGTCTTCAACAGCTAGTTCTGTTCAGGGTATGTCATTTGGTGAGTTGTTCCTTTATCTATTTTTTACTTCTAAATGCTAACACTACCATTGATGATGTGATTGTGTCCAGTTTTCTTCAGACTTCTTGGAGTATACATGTATATGTGTATATAGAAATGTTATCAGTGGTATGTACAGCTATTTAATATGTCCTCTACATGTATTTCAGAACTAACCCAGGAACAGCGTGACTATCAGGAACTAGCTCGTAAGTTTGCTCGAGAAGAAATTATACCAAAGGCAGCAGAGCATGATCGAACAGGAGAGGTATTATAATAATAATTATTATTATTTTCAAAATGTGTCCTTAGGATTACATACTTTCCTAAACCTTTTAGCACAAACATTCTGCTAAGGTAAGATATGTATTAATGAGGTCTCTTACTTATATTTATTCTGTTTATTATAGTACCCAGTGGAGATACTAAAAAAAGCATGGGAAATTGGATTGATGAATACACATATATCTCCCAAATATGGTTTGTAGAACTTAAAGTTTATATTATCAAAATACAATGTAAAGTGGAAAAGTAAAACAGTTTTTATACACCCACATTTTCATGTGGATGTATTATGCTGTTGCTCCTGTCCGGTCTTCCGGTCGTCCACAATTTGTTTGTGGACTCTCTACAGTCCACAATTCTTATCCAATTTTGACGGAACTTGAAATATAGGTCTATCTCCTAAAGATCTTGGTTCCTTCCGATATTGGCATGTATCGGACCATAACTTCATGGATTATTGCCCCTGGTTGTACGAAAAATCACGTTTTTAGCTTGTGGACACTCTAAAGGTCACAATTTTCATTTGATTTAGATGAAACTTGATATGCATGTTTATAACCCAAAGATCTTGGTTCCTTTCGATACTTGCGCACATCGGATCGTAAGTTCCTCCATTATGGCCCCTGATTGTACGAAAAATCGCGTTCTTAGCTTGTGGTCCCTTTAGAGGTCACAATTTTTATCCGATTTTAAAAAACGTTTACATACATTACCATTCCACTATAACGAATGTTGAATGCGAATTTCGAAAAAATCGAAACAAAACTGCCTGACAAAATGGCCCCTCTTTGTATGCAAATTGTGTAAAAGTATGTAGTACAAAGGTTGTGAACCCTCTAAAGGTCACAATTTTTATCCGATTCTGATGAAACTTAAAATATATCTTTATATCCCAAAGATCTCAGTCCCTTTCAATATTTGCGAATTTCAGACCGTAATTTTCTGGATTATGGCCCCTGATTGTATGAAAAATCGCTTTAGTTTTTAGCTTGTTCACTATTCATCACTTGCAAAATGTGATCATATCTTGCCTGGCAACCACTTCTTAAATTATTACATTGGGACTTACTTTATAAGTGAACCTCATCTTGAGGAAACTTTCTTAAACATGGAACATAATTGTTTATTTAATTGAAATTTATGTATTTTTATTCTCTTTAGGTGGTCTTGGATTAGGTACTTTAGATTCCTGTATTATTACAGAAGAATTGGCGTATGGTTGTACTGGTGTTCAAACAGCTTTAGAAGGCAATTCATTGGGAGTGAGTTAATAGTACTGTATTTGATTGTCAGCAATCAGTCTTATTAGTGGGTCCCAAATCTGCAGTTTTTTGTAGGTACTATTAGTGTAATACTATTTGACAATTTATGCAAAATTGTATTAGACGAATGTAAGTGCATCAGAGGACATGAGTTATAATTTGATAAATGCATATGTTTTATTTGTATTCTCCATTGTCAGTATATTAGCTATAGTAAGGGTTTATTTAAAACACAAATTATATTGTTGATGAAATATTGTGTGAATAACAGGAAAAGGGGTCTAAGTCCAAGGACAAATTTTATGTCTAAAAACACATGATGGGAAAGTTACCAATTCATATTTGGCATGAGTGACCAATCATATGATTAATTACATAATAATTAGCCAATAGAATAATTAATGGCTGTGAATCTGAGAGTATATAATTTATAGAATGTGCACTTCAGGTTAGACACAACCCTCTGGGTTGAGGGATAGCTAGAATGACTTTAATATAATCTATGCTTGTAATATACTATTCAAAAAAAGTAGGGGATATTTGATTTTGGGGGCCTAATACTAAAATATGCAAATGACTACGAAAAAAGTCACTATAGAACCTAACAGAAGAAACATTTCCAGTTACATGTGACGCCCAAACGCACCAATAGCTACCGCATGGAATGCAGGTGATGCTTGGGATCATCATGGGGGTCCAACCCAAGATTTGCACGACTCTGACTTTGAATGTTACAGTCATTGTGGCATTGAATTCCAGGGTGGAAACATCAGTTTAATTGTTTTAGTGACCAGAAAACAAATTTTGATATGCGTCGGCTTACCCAAAATGAAAGGTTACGTGCCCTTGGCATGCTACAGATCGGCACAACACAGGCGGTTGTGGTGCGGACGATGAATGTTTCTCAGTCTGTCATAAGCAGGCTATGGTCCAGATACCGTGATACACAATCTGTACAGGACAGACCACGCTCAGGTCGACCAAGGGCGACAACTCAAGCCCAGGATCGATTTATCCGTACCTTGGCCTTGAGAAATCGTGTCATCACAGCAAATCAGATCAGCGCTCGTCTTCAAACAGACACTGGTGTGAGAGTGAGTGGCCAGACGATTCGGAATCGACTGCATAGGGGTCACCTTCGCGCCCGACGTCCTCTCGTGATCCCTTGTTTGAGAGATCATCACATTCAGGCAAGACGTCGTTGGTGTAGGGATCGTCAACACTGGGATAATCGACGCTGGAGCAATGTGATGTTTTCAGATGAGTCAAGGTTCACTGTTGATTTTTTGGACAGACGTAGGAGGGTGTGGCGTCGTCGAAACGAGCGCTTCCAAGACGTTAACGTCATCAGACATGATCGATTTGGGGGTGGTTCTGTTATGGTGTGGGGAGGCATCACTGTTGCTGGAAGAACGGCTTTACATGTTGTTGCAGGGCGTGTTACAGGCCAGTACTACCGGGACAACATCTTGGCAGTCCATGTTGTGCCGTTCGCACGACGTCATGGCCGCCGTTTCATCTTCCAGGATGACAACGCAAGATGTCACAGGGCCAGGATCGTTACAGGTTACCTCCAACAACAGAACATCACCACATTACCTTGGCCAGCACTGAGTCCCGACCTCTCCCCCATCGAGCATGTCTGGGACATGCTTGGACAGAGGTTACGTCAACGTCAACAACGTCCTGTCAATGTCCAAGAACTTGCTGCTGCGTTGCAACAGGAATGGGACAATCTGGACCAAAATGACCTTAGACGTCTCATTAGGAGTATGCCACGTCGGATCAATGCTTGTTTGGCAAACAGAGGAGGATTTACCCGTTACTGACTTGGTTGTGATGCTGTGGTAACTTTGCTGTTTGACCCCGGGTATTATTTTACCCTTATAATGGTCAGTCTGTGCCTTACTTACGTCTAACGATCATTTGGAATAAATCGATGAATGTGAACTTCATTTCATTTTGTCATTTGTTTCTTCGTCAGTTTCATTAGGTGACTTTAATAACACTTAAAAATCAAATATCCCCTACTTTTTTTGAATAGTATACTATGAATCGGAGTTAATATAAAACTGAAATCAAGAAACTCTGGTATTTGTTGTTCCTGTTAGTGATACTAATTAAGATGCAGTATATTCAATATCAACGTGAAGCTGTCATTAATGTGGGATGGCAGAATGACATTTAAAGATAGCCAGTTAAAGAATTAGAAATACAACCATAGAAAATACTAGATGATCAAGGGCTGTTCCAAAATATGTAGAAAGAAAAGATGCATGGGTTATACGCCAGATGTGGCGACTGGTTTTAGGCGGTGTTCGCTCTCCACATCTGACAAACGACCCATGGTACTACATTAGTAATTGGCACACATTAGACATTATTAATTTCATGACTTTTTGCAGTTTTAATTGACACTCTTTTTGAGTTATTCCCCTTGAGTCTTCAAAGAATGTATGCAGAGATATTTTTATACGCCCACATTTTCATGTGGACGTATATTGTCATCACCCCTGTCCGTCCGTCCACAATTGTTTGTGAACACTCTACAGGTCACAACTTTTATCCGATTTCAATGAAACTTGAAATATAGGTTTATCACCCTAAGATCTCGGTTCCTTTCGATATTGGCATGTATTGGACTGTAACTTCATGGATTATGGCTTGTGTCACAATTTTTATCCGATTTGGTTTAAACTTGAAATGTATGTTTATAACCCACAGATCTCAGTTCCTTTTGATATTCGCGGATATCGGATCAAAACTTCCTGAATTATGGCCCTTGATTGAACAAAAAATCATGTTTTTAGCTTGTGGTCCCTGTAGAGGTCACAATATTTATCCGATTTAAAAAAAAAACGTGTGAATATATCACCATTACACACTAAGATCTTGTTTCCTTTTGATAAATGTGGATACCCGAACTTAACTTCATGGATTATGGCCCCTGATTGTTCGCATTTTTAGCTAACGGATTCCCTAGAGGTCTCAATTTTTTTCCGATTTTAAAAACCATTTAAATTTAAATACATCGAATTTGAATTCGAATTTCGGGAAAATCAAAATGAAACTGCCCGACAAAATGGCTGCTCTTTGTACTCAAATTGTGTAGAAGTGTGTAATACGAAGGTTATGGAACCTCGAGAGGTCACAATCCGATTTTGATGAAACTTAAAACATATCTTTATATCCCAAAGATCTCAATCCCTTTTGATATTTGCACATTTCAGGCAATAACTTTCTGGATTATTGCCCCTGATTGTACAAAAATCGTGTTTGCTTTTAGCTTGTTCTCTATCCATCTCTTGCAAAATGTGGGCGTATTCTGCCTGGCAGCCGCTGGTTAAGCATTATTTGAAGCTTTATCTTTTCAAAACCAATTCTATCTACCAACAAAATAACTTAAATATGGTTGCCTATTGCAATCATCACTCAATCTGGCTGTTCACAATCACTTCTGCATGCTCTACAACTAGACCAGTACAAACTGGATTTGATTGGAGTTGTGTACAGTTTAAATGTGGACATATACTTTACAAGTCGTCCGAGACAACTGCCCCTGTAGCACATTTTTCTCTATTTAAGGAAATGCCTGTTATTCTTGCCGGTAATGAAGAACAAAAGAAGAAATATTTAAGTCGTATGATAGAAGAACCTCTCATGTGTGTAAGTATAGTTAATGTTTCAGAACATCATTTTGTAAGCTTGATGTCTATATGGTGTAGGTCAACTTTTAACAAGTATGAGGCACAACAAGAAAACACCCAGTAAAATATCTGGCAGTGAATATTTGTAACAATTTTTGTATGTATGAACAGTTACCATGAATAGCAATTTTATTCATGTTTAAAAATAGACAAATATCTCATTCAGGCATATGGTGTAACAGAACCAGGAGCTGGTTCTGATGTTGCAGCAATTCAAACGAAAGCAGTAAAGAAAGGTGATGAATATATTTTAAATGGACAGAAAATGTGGATTACAAATGGTGGTAAAGCTAACTGGTATTTTATTTTAGCTAGAACTGATTTAGATCCAAAAGCATCGACAGGAAAAGCATTTACAGGATTTATAGTAGAAAGAGATTGGCCAGGTGTTAATCCTGGTAGAAAGGTAAGAACAATGTACAGATTTGTCAGGCAGACTTATTTTTATTGCATTTAACAGTTACAGATTCAATAATGGAACACTTTTAGAGAGTATAATCCTTGAGTGGCATTTATATGGAAAAACAATCACTGGTTTGTTCACATATAGCACAACATTTGGTCTTGATAGCGATAAATGAACACTTGTTGAAATGTCTTGCCAGTGATTGTTTTTATACGCCCACATTTTCATGTGGACGTATTATGCCGTCGACCCTGTCTGTCCGGACGTCCGTCCGTCCGTCCGTCCGTCTGTCTGTTTGTCTGTCTGTCCGTCCACAATTTGTTTGTGGACACTCTACAGGTCACAATTCTTATCCGATTTTAACGAAACTTGAAATATAGATGTATCTCCAAAAGATCTCGGCTGCTTTCGATATTGGCATGTATCGGATCGAAACTTCCAGAATTATGGCCCCTGATTGTACGAAAAATCACGTTTTTAGCTTGTGGACCCTATAGAGGTCAAAATTTTTATCCGATTTAAAAAACCGTATTATTATATCACCGTTACACCATAAGGACGACTGAGTTCGAATTTCGTGAAAATCGGCCCAAAATTGACAGACTAAATGGCCGCCGTTCGTTCTCAAATAGCGTAAAAATATGGTATATCAAGGTTGTGGACCCTATAGAGGTCACAATTTTTATCCGATTTTGTTGAAACTTGAAATGTAAGTTTATAACCCAAAGATCTCGGTTCCTTTCGATATTTGCGCATATCAGACCGTAACTTCCTGAATTATGGCCCCTGATTGTATGAAAAATCGTGTTTTTAGCTTGTGGACCCTATAGAGGTCATAATTTTTATCCGATTTAAAAAAACGTATAATTTTGTGAAAATCGGCCTAAAACTGACAGACAAAATGGCCACCCCTCGTTCTCAAATAGCTTAAAAATATGGTATATCAAGGTTGTTGAAACTTGAAATGTAAGTTTATAACCCAAAGATTTCGGTTCCTTTCGATATTTGCGCATATCGAATTGTAATTTCCTGAATTATGGCACTTGATTGTAGGAAAAAATCACTTTCGTTTTAGCTTGTTCTCTATCCATCTCTCGAAAATGTGGGCGTATTCTGCCTGGCAGCCGCTGGTTCCATATAAATTGTGTTGTTTTTTTTTGTTTTTTTTTTTTTTATTATAGAGCTTTACCTATTGATTTTGTGCAATTCAAAGCTTGATATTGGTGTAAGATAATATAACATAGAACATTCTAATGATGTGAGACCTAATGATATCCAGACAAATATCAAGAACCATGTTTTCTATTTGCATCTTTTTATACGCCCACATTTTCATGTGGACGTATTATGCCGTCGCCCCTGTCCGTCCGTCCGTCCGTCCACAATTGTTTGTGGACTCTCTACAGGTCACAATTCTTATCGGATTTTGACGAAACTTGAAATATAGGTTTATCCCCAAAAGATCTCGGCTGCTTTCGATATTGGCATGTATCGGATCGAAACTTCATGGTTTATGGTTCCTGTTTGTACGAAAAATCACGTTTTTAGCTTGTGGACCCTATAGAGGTCACAATTTTTATCCGATTTTGTTGAAACTTGAAATTTGCGCATATCGGACAGTAACTTCCTGAATTATGGCCCCTGATTGTACGAAAAATCACGTTTTTAGCTTGTGGACCCTATAGAAGTCATAATTTTTATCCGATTTAAAAAAAACGTTCTATTATATCACCGTTACACCCTAAGAATGATTAAGTTCGAATTTCGTGAAAATCGGCCCAAAATTGACAGACAAAATGGCCGCCGTTCGTTCCCAAATAGCGTAAGAATATGGTATATCAAGGTTGTGGACCCTATAGGGGTCACAATTTTTATCCGATTTTGTTGAAACTTGAAATGTAAGTTTATAACCCAAAGATCTCGGTTCCTTTCGATATTCGTGCATATCGGACCGTAACTTCCTGAATTATGGCCCCTGATTGTACGAAAAATCACGTTTTTAGCTTGTGGACCCTATAGAAGTCATAATTTTTATCCGATTTAAAAAAACGTTCTTTTATATCACCGTTACACCCTAAGGATGACTGAATTCGAATTTCGTGAAAATCGGCCCAAAATTGACAGACAAAATGGCCGCCATTCGTTCCCAAATAGCGTAAGAATATGGTATATCAAGGTTGTGGACCCTATAGGGGTCACAATTTTTATCCGATTTTGTTGAAACTTGAAATGTAAGTTTATAACCCAAAGATCTCGGTTCCTTTCGATATTCGTGCATATCGGACCGTAACTTCCTGAATTATGGCCCCTGATTGTACGAAAAATCACGTTTTTAGCTTGTGGACCCTATAGAAGTCATAATTTTTACCCGATTTAAAAAAACGTATTATTATATCACCGTTACAGCCTAGGGACGACTGAATTCGAATTTCGTGAAAATCGGCTCAAAATTGACAGACAAAATGGCCGCCGTTCGTTCTCAAATAGCGTAAGAAAATGGTATATCAAGGTTGTGGACCCTATAGAGGTCACAATTTTTATCTGATTTTGTTGAAACTTGAAATGTAAGTCTATAACCCAAAGATCTCGGTTCCTGTTTATATTCGCGCATATCGGACCGTAATTTCCTGAATTATGGCCCCTGATTGTACGAAAAATCGCGTTTTTAGCTTGTGGACCCTATAGAGGTCATAATTTTTATCCGATTTAAAAAAACGTATTATTATATCACCGTTACACCCTAAGGACGACTGGGTTTGAATTTCATGAAAATCGGCCCAAAATTGACAGACAAAATGGCCGCCGTTCATTCTCAAATAGTGTAAAAATATGGTATATCAAGGTTGTGGACCCTATAGAGGTCACAATTTTTATCCGATTTTGTTGAAACTTGAAATATAAGTTTATAACCCAAAGATCTCGGTTCCTTTCAATATTTGCCCATATCGGACCGTAACTTCCTGAATTATGGCCCCTGATTGTACGAAAAATCATGTTTTTAGCTTGTGGACCCATTAGAGGTCATATTTTTTATCCAATTTAAAAAACCGTATTATTATATTACCGTTCCACCCTATGGACAGTTGAGTTTGAATTTTGTGAAAATCGCCCCAAAATTGACAGACAAAATGGCCGCCGTTCGTTCTCAAATAGCGTAAAAATATGGTATATCAAGGTTGTGGACCCTATAGAGGTCACAATTTTTATCCGATTTTGTTGAAACTTGAAATGTAAGTTTATAACACAAAGATCTCAGTTCCTTTCGATTTATGCGCATATCGAATTGTAATTTCCTGAATTATGGCCCTTGATTGTAGGAAAAATCACTTTCTTGTTAGCTTGTTCTCTATCCATCTCTCGAAAATGTGGGCGTATCCTGCCTGGCAGCCGCTGGTTTTATTGTCTTGTTCCAATCAGTATTCACATGATCTGGATGTATTGAATCAATGTTTTCTTTATAAATTTAATAATGAAATTTCTTCAGGAAATCAATATGGGTCAAAGAGCATCAGACACTCGAGGAATCACATTTGAAGATGTACGAGTTCCAAAAGAGGTGAGTAAAGATTATTTTAAAGTTCACAATAATTTGTCTTCTGATTAGAGTTTAATATCCAATATAATGTTAAAGGAGCTAAATCACTAATATTTGGGACCTAGAAATTGACACAAATGGGTCGCAACGCATATAATAATGTAATATGAATGTATATAAACTGATTCACATTCAATCGTTTCCGTTTTTACTCTAATTTCAAATCAGTTATGTTCAGCGAAATACGCCAGAAGTCTCAATCAAATGGCAGTCTCTAAAGTCTGGTTATTCCAATCTGCACTGCACATGCTCTCCGGATAAGAATATGACATCACTGTTCGACATAACTTGTGGAATATTTCTAGCTTGTTCTTCGAGTCCCTTGTTACAAAAGCTGCTGAAACGCATTATGGTACACGAGTAAAATGGTAAAATGTTTATTTTGTCTTAAATATTGGATATCAGTAGCCCATCTTTTCCTGGCAAGATCACAACATCAATGTTGATTTTAATTGACAAATAATTCGAAGACTTAGCTACTGAGTTAGAGACTTGGCTACTTTAATTTAAATAATTTCTCTGTTGAACACTGGTAGATTTTCTGTCATAAAGGCCTTCTTACAAGTTGAAATCTTTATTATGATAATTTTATTATATTACAGAATCTTCTTGGTTCTGAAGGAATGGGTTTTAAAATTGCCATGGGAGCATTTGATAGAACACGTCCACCAGTAAGTAAAATTAGTTTCATTTTGATTAGAAATCTCTTGACTAGAAATAAGTTTTTCATTTGGAATAGATACCGGTAATCTAATTAAACATATCATGACATCATTATGGTAAGCCAGTGGGCAGATTTGAAATCTGTCATTGTCAGAAACTTGACCATGTCGGATTGTATTTTGTCTCTAGGTGGCAGCAGGTGCTGTTGGTTTGGCTCAGCGAGCTCTGGATGAAGCTACTAAATATTCTCTCGAAAGAAAAACAATGGGAAAATATATCTGTGAGGTTTGTATATTTCATATTATAATAATAGTTACATTGTGCTGTCTGTTTGAATGGAAAATCAAACTGTAAAAAAAAGTAATCAGATACTATATATTGCTCAGTCTATACTTATATTATCAGATGTGTATTTTTGGGACTAGTTCACTCCATGAAGATCTTTTATATCAGATATTTTAAAATCATTTCACAATTTGTTGACAATAAAAATGTCTTTGTGTATATCACCATTCCTGACTCTTTGAAAAAGCTACCATGTATTTTTAGGCTAAGCACAGATATTTATAGACTTCCTCGAAACATAGATATTTTATTATTGTTACATTATATATTTCACAGCATCAAGCTGTGTCCTTTATGTTAGCTGACATGGCAATGGGTGTTGAAGCTTCAAGATTATTAACTCACAGAGCATCATGGGAAATAGATCTTGGCAGACGTAATACTTATTATGCTTCTATGGCTAAAGGTATGGCAGGTGATGTTGCTAATAAATGTGCTACAGATGCTGTCCAGGTGAGTTTAGAGAGTATTTGGTACAATATACCTCATAAATTTAGAAATAATCAAATCCAAGCCCTTATAAATTCTAAAAAAATGGAGGTCTAGTTAAGTCATATAGGATAATTCAAGCATTAATTCAGCTCAAAATTCACATTTCTCTGCACATTTTTATTTAATACCAATTTCACATTATATTAAAATCTAAATCACATCAATAGTATCGATTATAACTGGGACTTTGGAACCGATGCTAATACCCATTTCACACCACTTTAAAATCCAAACCATTTCAAGACAAATGATTATAACCAAAACTTTAGAACCGGTGCTATAAATACCTATTTCACTTTAAAATCTAAACCATTTCAAAACTATTGGTTTTAACTGAACGGTTGCTAATACCCATTTGTAGATATTATCACACTCACATTATAGTTTGCACACTACAAACAGATACACCACTTTGCATGAATCAACTCACGTCAACAACATAATAAACTCAGAAAAGGCAAAGTATGACTCGCTCCAGTCAGAAGTTTGTCTTTTAAAACCATAAAGCCAGACTTCCTAATACATTCTCAATTCGATGTCAAAGAGTGAATGGTGGCCACTAACCCATTTAAATATAAATTGTATATAATTTGTAAATACTCACTAAAAAATGTTTATTTCAGATATTTGGAGGAAATGGCTTCAACTCAGAATATCCTGTAGAAAAATTGATGAGAGATGCTAAGATTTTTCAGGTAAGCTATGGTGACTGACAGTTGTTTAATTTAATTATGTATTTTAATGTTACTTAGCAAAAGTTTATAATTAATTCAAAAACAATCAAGTGCATATTAATCCTTGAGTGGCATTTAGCGATTGAACACATTAAAAACACAACACAGTTTATATGGAAATACAATCACTGGTTTATAGGCATAGCACTACTTTTCGACAAGTATTCTCTTATCGTTATCAAGCACAATGATAAGAGAATACTTGTCGAAACGTTGTGCTATGCCTATAAACCAATGATTGTATTTCCATATAAACTGTGTTGTGTTTTTAAGTGCATATTAGTTTGTTCACTATAAACAGCAGACATCATCCCTGTATTAATGCCTGTTTGTTTTAATTGGGTCAGTAAACATAGGTGACTAATTCTGTCTAAATTCTTGATTTACAAAACAAACTTTAAACAAACATCACAGGAAATCAAAGCTATAAAAAATATGCCAAAAGAATTTTTATTTTTAAAAAACATATTGCCTACAAATGGGTGAAAATTCTGACAAATACAGAAGCTTCTATGAGAAATTACATAAGTTACTAATAGAACTAGAACTGCGAAAAGCAGAACAAAATGGAAATTCAAAAATCAACTCCCTAAGAATTGTTGCCATTTGGAGTAGGTTAAAAACACAAAATGTGTTTTCGAAAATCGGAATCTAATGGCGGCTGAATATCGATTTGAAGATATTTTGTAAAATCCAATATGGCGGCCAAACGGTAGAAAATGTTATCAAACAAGGTCTGTGATGTCATTTTTAGTCTATTTTTAAAATGGAGAGAACTATTCACGTTCGGGTGAAATTGGAAAGCCTCAGTAATTTCCGGAAGTTTCCGGAAGCCGTCACAACAAATTTTAATATGCCATTTTGAAGGCATCAATGTGTTCCTTATTCCTACCAAATTTCAATTTGATACCTCAAATACTAACGAAGATACACCATCTTGAATGTCGAAAAACTACTGAAGAAAACTTTTGTAAATCTCTGATGTTTGTCATTAACATATTTGTAAATTAGCAGAACAGTATGTTGGAACTTTGCAGTATGTGTATGAGATTGAGATAAAGAAAATAAATTATATATATAAAATGAACAGATTTCTTTTATTTTTAGATATATGAAGGAACTGCTCAAATCCAACGACTAATTATTTCACGTGAACACTTGGCAAAGATGAAACAAAATATGTAAAAAGGACTAATGAGCGATTAGATGGGAAGAAGAACAATAGAATGAATGAAAATAATAGATATGAATATAAATATAATGGGATGAGCATGTTTTCCTGGTAACACAAATATGAATGACCTGATTAATTCTAGAAGTTCAACTGTTTGTCCCTACCAGATAAATTAAAATGATTAAAGGAAAGGCTCATGTAAATAAGACATTCTCAGGAAAATACATTAATGAATATATAATTCTGATAATTACTTGTAATAACATGTAATTAATAAAATAAGCCTTTTTGGTTTAAAACTTGAATAATTTTTTATTATTCAAAAAAGAAATCTTTTTAATTGAGTATTTATTATTAAGCACAATAACCTGCCACTTATCAGGAATATATGGAGATGCAGATTATTCAAAACTTTTTTACTTAATTGTTGTAATTTCTAGAGATTCAACTACAATTATCCCTTAATTTTGTAATCATTCCTTTTAACCTTGGCGGTTGGAATTCATTATAAGAGTAGCCGTAGCGCAGCTGTCCGAGCACACTGTATGGCGTACCGTATGCCTATCTTCATTAGCCCAGTCGGAGCAGAACAGTAGGACTTTAAACAACATTTCATTTCATTCATTTTGATAAACATTTGTTGCCATGCAAGAAACATATGACCACCAGCAATCAAATTGTCCAAGCCCTTATGTGATAATCAGCTCATAAGAATTTCAGAAAGTTTGAATCCAGGGGTGGATACAGGAATTTTGAAAAAGGGGGGGGGGGGCAATTGAGTGTGTGTGTATCTGTGTATTGTCTACAGGCTGCAATTGTTAACTAATCGTTTTGAAACTTTGCATACTTATTCCTTATACCCCAAGGATGATCCCTCTTGGTTTTGCTGCATGACCAACCCCCAGGGGCAGAGTCACAACCATTTTTTGTATTTATTTGTTTGCCATCTACATTCTTAATGGATCCACTTCAAACTTTGAATACTTATTCCTCATACATTAAGGATCATCACTTTTGTTTTTGGTGTATTCCCAACCCCCAAGGGCAGAGCCATGCCCATTTTCTTTTTGTGTGTGTGTGAAGCCTCATTTCTTAATCGATTGTCTTGAAAATGTTTTCTACTTATTACTTATACCATAAGAATGACCACTTTTATTTTTGGTGCATGCCCGAACCCCTGGGACAGAGCCACACCCAATTTTTGTGTGTGTCTGTATTTCGTCTACAGGACGCAATTTGTAACAGACCCTTTTGAAACTTTGCATACCTATTCCCTATACCTTAAGGATGATTCCTATTATTTTTGGTGAAGGTCCGACCCCCAGGGGCAGAACTATGCCCATTTTACTTAGTGTATCTGTGTGTTGCTTAGAGGCCACAATTCTTAATGGATCATCTTGGAACTTGGCAGATGTATTCCTTATAGCCTAAGGATGGCAACTATTGATTTTGAAGCATGTCCTGACAACCCCCAGGGGCAAAGCCACACCCAATTTTTGTGTTTATCGTATACAGGCCGCAATTCTGAATGGATCAGCTTGGAACTTGGCATATGTTTTCCTTATAGCCTCAGGGCGTCAACTATTGATTTTGGTGCATGTCCCGACCCCCGGGGGCAGAGCCACACCCAATTTTTGTGTTTAGCGTCTGAAGGCCACAATTCTGAATAGATTATCTTGGAACTTGATATACTTATTTCTTATACCCTATGGACAGCAACTATTGATTTTGGTGCATGATCCTATACTGTAAGGATAGCAACTATTTATTTTGGTGCATGTCCCAACCCCAGGGATGTAGTACCACGCCCATTTTTTTGTTAATTTTTTGTTTGTAAAACAAACCCAGTCACTGCAGCCATTTCATATTTCATTCTCTTCATTTTGAAAAGTACCATATCAATCAAAGCAGGAATGTGGACGTATATTATATATTGCAGCATTAGCGATGCTTTTGTTTCATGTTACATTTAAATAGTTTGTGATATTCTTATTTCAAACATTCCAAACAAAGAGAGAAAAAACCTGAACAAAACCAGCTAAATAAATTCATTCTTGCTTTACATACTGTATACAAATATACTCAACCTGGTAGCGAAAACATTTGTTTTATTTGAGGTATGGTAATAAAATAATAGTATAGACTAAATTTAAGCCTTCATTAATACAAAAAAAAAACCTGAGATCTAAAGTGTGGTTAATCAACATTAAATTAACATGAGCATTAAATTATGTTAGCATAATATGAATTTTTTAAATGCAATTTAACAAGAAAACAATTCTGAGCGCTCTACTTAGTACAGTATCTTGAGCACTGGAGATAGTCACCCAGTGCTTGAGATAGTAGAGTTTTTGACATTTAACTTGAGCACTTTCTACTGGTTATTTTTACTGACTATTATAATAAACAACATAATGATCTTGAACAATACACTTAATTTGGGTTTATTAATCTCATAAATGCTGGAAGACATAACTGGCCCAGCCATTACCTTTATATAATGCATTGAAGAAATATACAATAATTGCTCCCTGTTGTCAAGGTTACAAATAAATAGTTTCAGGTGTAATAAAAAAAGGTCAATCTCATGGCTTGTAAACAATCATATGTAAAGATGTGTTAAACCATTCATATGAATTCATGAAAATTTAAACTGACATGACCTTCAAATAGTATATTTGTGATTGGATTATCTGTTAATCTCATTATTAATCCTTTGCCAGATGCTTACACTTACTGTAGTCACAACAATAACTTGCCAATAATTAGGGTCACATGACATGGTACAGGTAAATAGGTGTTAATGACAATATACCTGTGCTATATATATGAATTGACTATGTAATTGTTGTCTCTGCGATATCACTTATGTGGAAGCAGACGTTAAACACCAAGAAGAACTAATTGTTGTCAGTAGTATGTATTATATATGAGTGTGTTAGCCTATAGGATTTATTAAAGTGAAATTTAAATTTAATCTGAGCTGGTATCAGAATGTGTGGTGGGGGAACTCAAGTGGAGGATATTGGTGAGAACAAAAAATATGGTATGTATATATTATTATGTAGGCTATATAAGTCCTACTTGTGTAAATTTGAAAATTTATAATTTAAATAATAATACTATAGCGTGATAAAGCATGTAGGCCTACTGGTATAGAAAATATTGCATAAAGAATTTGTAGGAATATTATGTCAGGATAGAACATCAACATGTGTATCTTGTTTTTCTAAATACATTAATAAGCCTACATTAGCCAGCCGTTTGACCCATCAGTGCGTTCAGATGTTATATTGCATTTGCTTATTTTCTTTGTAATATTTGTGCAATTGCATTGTATTTGTAGTACTCCCATGCATTAATTGCTTTCTACTTGTTATAAAAGTTTCTTATTATAGCCATCAATAAACACTGTTTTAACAAATCAGAATTTTGATTTTCTTGCTCAGCTGAAAAATATGTTTTGAAAGAACTTTTATTATGATCCGTGAATGGCAAATATAGTATAAATTCCATAAATAAAAAATGTCTATTATGGTTTAATTCCAAAGGTTAATATTGCTGGCAAGATTCTGATATGTAAACTTGGTGTAATAAACAGCAAAAATAATTATAAACTATTAATCCATTTCTATGTATGTAATGATGTATGCTAGTTGAGTAAAATATGTATATCACATTAATTATTTTGCAGCCCATGTTATAAATCTGTGTCTATAATATGAGTTTAATAAAGTCTTCCAAAAGTCATGTGTACCATCCTACTTACCACATCCTTGATATAAATTAACACTGAAAAGATTCTCAAGGTGCCACTGAATGATATAATAAATTTGAGTTTTAATTTGATATGTACTTAATTTATAATATATGAAGAAACTCTCATCACATTACTATAAATGTTCTTTTCTTGCTTGTTTTCAGGAGAACCTAAAACGTTTGATCCTAACTTTAATGGTCCGTTAAAGAATCGGTCATGTACAGATGTACTATGTTGTATTATATTCTTTGTATTTATAGCTGGTATGCTTGCTTGCTCAATACTTGGTAAGTTAGACAAAAATATAAAAATGTTCTGCACATTTTCGTATTTAATAAGATAAAAACATGGTTGTTAATGTTACAAGAATTTACGCTACAATGACCGAGCCAGTAACTCAGCTTATAGTCTTTTTGCCTGAAGTTATCTTTTTTCTAGTAACTCTGATTTATAAAGTACTCATCATTGCATCATTTGACTGGTTTTGTGAAGAAGACAATATGTATAATGATAATGCTTATTTGTTAAACAAACACTTCCCATACACACAGATGAGAATTTTTAAGGTGCTATGAATGTATACTTCCAATTACATGCAGAATAATGTTTTTCATTGTTTTTAGGTTATGTACATGGTGATCCCATCAAATTGATATACCCCACTGACAGTGATGGAAATATTTGTGGATATGGAGCATATTCGTAAGTTAGATTTTAAATCTGTTAATGCAACAATGTTCACTCATTAAACATACATTATGCAAGAGCTAAATCTGATTATTGCAAGTCTTTATTTAGGCTTCAAATGTCATAGAAATTATAAATTAGATCTTTATTTACACAACAAGCACAAAATCAACTCTGTAGACCCACGGATGGCTTGGATTTGGCCGCATGTCAGTCAATTTGATTGAAAGTTCGATATATACGGCCTTGATATTATGTTTAGTTGTGGTTAAAATGATGGTTTGGATGTCAGTATTAATATACGCTCTTTTAATTGTCACTTGCGTTTACAGAAAAATTATGGAAATTGATAAACATCACCCCAGTTGAATTGCAGCCCCATTGGATCACTGTTTCCTATTTGTCTGCTTCGGGAGTTACGTGGGCCTACCAGTTACAGTACAAGAGTACACGCAGGCTAACAAAAAGTCGGCTATAATTATGCCTCATTGATTTGGTCCATTCCTTTCAAACTTTTGCTTCTTATCTATATATTAAAAGTTTTATTTTTAATTTGTAGTAAAAATAAATGTGATATAAATTGAATCGAAACCCCATCTCAAACCGAATAGCCATTGAAAACGTTACTTGATAATCGAGATTATGTAGGTGGAGTTAACACCTGTCAATGAAACGATCGGCCATTCTCGGAGATGGTGAAGAGAGAGTTGACTCCTATTTCTAGTCAAAAATTACAATGGTGATAACTTTGTTCAGAATAAAGTAATTTAACTGAAATTTTCAATATTAAAATGGTGATAACTTTGTTCAGAATAAAGTAATTTAACTGAAATTTTCAATATACATGTATTCTTCTTTCATCATCTATTTTTGAACTGTTAGAGCAAGAATGGCCAACTCTCTATTAAAATCTCCCATAATGTATCTTTAAAACTTATCCTAGATTATTTAAAGTACAAGTTTGCTTTATGTTAAAGTGTCTGAAGTAAATTTTGGAAATCTGAACTCCCCAAAACATGGGCTCTATAATTGGAAGATAAATTGCTTCTTTTAATTCTCACATGTCAGCTGAAAATTTCAGGGCACATGGTATAATACATTATAGTCTTTATCAAATAAATACCTGTCAGAATAATACAGGGGATCTTAAATTTAATAATTGCCTTCCCAAATACTTTTATACTGAGGCGCTTTGGATATTAGAATTAAAAGGAATGTTGTCATTATGTACCAATGACAAAACCTAAATAGATAAAAAATAACACATTTCCAGTCGCTTAAATACTATCCATACTTTGATAATGAGGTGTTTCTTTTAATTACTACTGTGATTTGACTAGTGGGAATACAACCTAATTAAGATGGGGAGATGATTAATTTACAAAGTTAATTTGCTTCATGAGGTATGAAGGAAAATGTATCAGATTAGAGTAAAGTTTAGGTATGGTGTTGTAGACTATTAAATAGCGTGAATGTTTGATAATGTAAAGTTGATATGTTATTTATTTCAGGAATAAACCAATGCTGATGTTTTTTGATTTATTACAATGTGCAAAGATGGGAGCAGGCGTCATTACGTTTGGTTGTCCAACTCCACAGGTATGTTTGTATTCACACAAATAATTATATAAAATTTGTCGATAAATTTCTTTGCATTACTGGATTTAAATTAAAGATTTCATTATTCGGAAATTGCCCAAGAAAAGAAAAGATTAAAACTGTGCATCAGTTGATATGTGAGAGAGAAACCCATCCTCATTTTGAGGGGCTGTTCTGGTCAAGTGGTAGGGCACTGATCTCTCAACCAAGACATAAATGTCCCATTTTCAAACCCGGCATTTGTATAGGTAAATTCTTCCCTTGCATTACGTATATGTTAACAACTGGAATGAAAATTACCACGTCATTTTAAACTGCCCTAAATATTGTTTTGTTTTTGATTTTCATTTCATGTATTCTTTGCAATTGATTAGCTCATATGCAATATTTAGCACATGCCACATTTCTATTGTGAATTCAAGAATTTCACATAAAGATCTGCTGGCAAATACGTTTTGGGCAAGTATACAAATATACACTTATTGTTTTAACTTTTGAAAAGACTAATGTTTTTTTTTTATTTATATTTCTGATTCACTTATATAAAACTTGTATTAATTACCAGGTCTGTGTGGCAAATTGTACCAGTTCATATTATGTTTACCTAGAAACCATAGCCTTAGAAACAGCAAATGGAGGCATGTTGACATCTGAACGAAATAAAATGTTGTGTAAAAATAATGTAGATCCAACAGCTACAGTAAGTTTTTAAAAAACAATTCTAATGGACAGGGAATCAGACTACTGGTCAAGTTACTAGTAATGTTATAAGTCTGCTGAAGATCAAAATTGGTCCAGTTCACTTTCCGTATCAATTTTGATAAGCACTGAATGAAATATAGTTTATGACAAATTGAGAGATATATTTGAAAATATCACCCTTTTAGTTTTGGGCTATTTAATGGCAAATTAAATGAAGATCATCCCACCTCCTCTTACCGTTAGATTATAAGGTGTGTCACTGGCATTTCTTCGATTTCCTGCTTGTATATGACAAAGAGTAGGGTAGCCTGTCTGACCTTGTGGATTTTCTCCAGGTCCACCGGTTTCCTCCTACAGTTAATAAAGACCGCTAGGAGCAAGCGAATTATTGTAATGAAATTTAATCATATTTTTCTGCCAAAATGAGCTAGTTTGTGGTGAATAAACCCCATTTCTCTCCCTCTATCTTCCTCTGACTTGGCATAAAGGATAAATTGTGTTGCCCTATGCAAAGTTTCATTTTTTTAGTTCCATTGATAGAATGGTTCCAAAGTTATGTAGCATTCAAAATAGCAGAAAATGGTAAAAGTGACTATACTCTATCATTATGTTCAGAAGTTGATATCTTATTGTAATCAGTATGAAGGTTTTGGTGTCTTTTAGAAAGGAAATTGAGTGACATTTCTTTATTAACATTAACAAGTTAGAATTGAAGTGGTATAAATACCTTTGACCCAAATGTGAAACAGGTTCTTACATTTTAATATACACTAATAGTTATTGTTTTTGGTTGTTTATTATTTTGTTGTTAATTTCAGGCTAATCTTCAAACATTAATTGATAATGAAGATTGTGCTGCATATTACGTAGAAAACACAGAAGGTTTGTTATATTATATAAAATAATAAATGGTTGATTTCATTCAGTTACGGTTTCTGTCTATCAGTTTGCGGCATAACTGCGCAACATAAAAACAACACAGAAACTCCAAAATGTCCAAATGAATGTCTATCATTCAAGTGGTATTTGTTTTTGTGAAAAGAAAACACTGTTACACGGGGGGAAGGTACTGTTTCCAAGATTTAAAATCTGTGCATTTTGTTAGGGGATCAATCATTTCATTTCTTCTGTGTGATGTTCAAGCCCATTCAAAATGTTCATATGTTATTTTAAATTTTGTAGTTGTTGGTCGATGTGTTCCTGCTATATTTAGTAAAGTAAGCGATTTAGCAGCTAATTTACAGACCAATGGATCATACAGTTTACAGGCTCAAGATGGTACTAATGTTACTGGTTCTGCTCTAGATTCAGCTAGCTAGTAAGTTTTTCATTAATATAGAGAAATGCTGCTATTGAGACAGAATTGTTTGAAAATAGGAATTAAACCAATCATTTGTTATATTCTCACACATGTAAAAGATATTTATTTCCAATTCATTTTCACTATGTTTAGTTTAACAGCACTTCAAACCACTTTGCAAACTCAATTTCATGCCATTTAAACATAATAATCATATTCTGAGATGAATTAAAAGAAAAGGGCCTGAAAAATGTAATTTTATTTTCAGTTATTTAGCTTTGTTTTACCAGTATAAAGAATATGGTGAATTAGTTTATAAAGATATTGTTAGTTCCTGGATAATCTTAATGATGTAAGTAGACTATTACTATAACAGGCACATTTAAGGCAAAAATGATATTTTGAAGAAATGTGTACCAATTTATGTATTGTGAAAATAGTTTTTTTTATAGTTATATCAATAGAATATTAGGAATGTAAGCCTAATATCCATAATGAGAATATGGCATTATTGAATATTGTTGTTTAAATCTTACCGTGCTTCTAGATGTCATTTAAAGAATTGATACGTCATCACTATCATGGAGATGTGACACTAAAATTGATCAATGATATCAAGTCAGCCCAATCTAAATTTAGTAAAGCTAGCTCTAATTTAATTTTTAATTAAGTTGGTGTAAGCTAAAATATGTATAAATAGGCTGACTAGATGGATATTTATCATTAACTTGAAAACGTGACCTGTATGTGTTAGGAAATGTCATTATTAAATAATGGAGAAGTAGTTATATCCATATATAACTTGTGTTGTCTTTTGTTATGAATAGTTAACCTTGCTTCTAGATGTCATTTAAAGAATTGTTTAAATCTTGTCTGATGTTGCATATTATTGGATTAAAAATAAAATATTAAGAATACAAGCTTAATAATCATAATGGCATTATAATAGTAAGCTTTTCATAATGCAAAAACTAGCAACAGCATTGGAAATAGTTGTTTAAATCATGTCTAGTGTTGCATACTATTGGACTATTTTGTAAATTATATTTTATGTTCTATTAGTGGTTTAGGTGGAGCAGTTGTATTATGTTTACTATGGATTGTAATAATGAGATGGATTGCTGGTATAATGGTCTGGTTTTCTATATTTGCAATTTTTGGCCTGTTTGGTTTCTGTAAGTACCCAGATATAATATCAACCATGTGAAGATTATTGAGTGAACTATTGGTGCAGAATGTTACACCCCATTTCACTTCATTATTGAATGGAAAAAAATACTTAAAAAAAACTTAGAATGTTTAAAGTGGAAAGTACTTCTGTACAATTTAAATGGTGATGTTGATTCAATTTATCTATGATGTATAATAACAGGTATTGTGCATGAGGTAAGATACGCATGCACTTTGTCAACCACTTCATTGGCATTACTTAATTTATAACGAAATGTAGATTGTTGGACAACTGTGGGTATTGTATATCATATTGACACGAAGGAGCTAAAAAGTTGGAGGTGCCCTCAAATGATACTACATTATGTTAATTACTTAACTTCTAGATTATACTCATCCTCGGAATCCCTAGTGGTATCGTTCTGTTTTACACCACTAACCCTGGGTTCATTCACGGGGGAGACACATAGTCAAATTATCCGCCCATGATAAGTGTCTATTATGATCGTCCAATCAAAAAATTCGAAGTAAAACGCATTTTATTGCAACTAAATCAAGCATACAAACTGCTTTATTGCGGTGAACGTAAACAATGCCGCTAAGAAGATGGGTAAGTTAAACTGTTTTTTGATTGGTTCATGGAATCAACCTACGATCAAGGGCAGATAGTATGAATATGTGAAAACCCTGTGGATGGAGCCAGGGCTTAGTGGAGTAGAACGGAACGAAGACATTGGGGATTCTCGAGGATCGATTCTGCTATACCTGATCTTTTCTGCTTCATATTTTTACAAGAGAATTTTCGTTGATTTTCAGCTACATATTACAGCTATTCGAAATATTATGAACTGAAAACACAGAATACAACAGCTACACTTGGTTTATCTCAAGCTTTCGCTCTTAACTTCAGTTATTATCTTTCTCTTAAACAAACATGGCTGGCTTTTGGTAAGTTATAAAATATAACCTAATCATTTTTACAATACCGGTAATTGATATACTTTGTGTGTAAACATATTTTTTTAAAATTTTGTTTTGAAATCATTTTTGCTATAAGATTGGCTGAAAAAATCAAATAAATACACATTTTCACCAATCATGTACCGGTCTAGTTTAGCCAGATGCATCAGAGTAATACAGAAGCTGTAGTCCAGTTTATCAAATGCTCTTGTGACTCTGCTAGGCCAGAGTGTAACAAGTGGGCTCTAACCATGCCACTTGCGTAACATATTTTTTTTGTGTATTCCTATTCTATCCTATTGGTACCCATCTAAAGCTGAGTAGACTGGAAAAAGCACCCAGCTAGCAAATCAGGATCAACCATTGAACAGTATGGTTACGGATCTAGCTTACTAACCATTGTGCTATTTCCCTCCTTGGGGCAGTATCTAATAGACATGATTGAATTTTTCTGCTGTGGTTCCAGTAATCCATGTTAAAATTATGTATTTTATTTATAACAGGTTGTGGATCAGCTACTATATTAATTATTCTATTGTTAATAATCATCTTTCTATGTGCTAGAATAAGAATAGCCATTGAATTAATTAAAGAAGGTAGCAGGTAGGTGTACAATTTATAATGATTATTGAACTATGAGAACAAGTGCAAGTTGATTATTTGAAGTTTAAATCAGACATCGTGAATATGAAATAGTGTAAATTTGTATTCATTAAAGTCACTGAACGTCATTTGAGAGATTTGTAGTACCTATCGAACTACAATATTGTGAACGAATTACATCAGCAACAAGTAGTTTTATATTTGTAATTTAAATATGTAAATGTTATAATGCTATATCATGTCTTTCTGTTTATTACAGAGCTGTAGGATATATGTTCTCTACATTATTATTCCCGATCTTCCCGTTTATATTTCAAATTGCCTTTCTTGGTTATTGGTTAGTCAGTGCAGCGTATCCTTTATAAGAAAATAAACATTACATATCATATTGAACAATATTGTTACATTTTAAACTAGACATTGCCAAATTTGAAAATTCTTGAATATTAGATTAATGATTTCAGGCTCTACATTGACATTATTAATACTGTATATAAATTACATTTATTAACCACCAATCTGATTAAAATACATTTTCTTTTTTTATACTTTCGATGGCCTACACTACATACGAGCGGCTTTTGACCCTATGATGTAAGACATTGATTAATCAATCAGTGTTGACGTTTCGAGGGGTTTACCCACGTTTCCGTGCAGAGCACGCCAAGAACTTGCCGTAACATACCGTTTCATTAGCTAATTCCTCACATCAGCTAGAACGTCTATTATATAACAACTTTTCCAGATCCTAATGTTGTGGAGACAAGTAAACGAAATTTTGAACTATAAAAAACAAAACGAAATAGGAACTGTGTTTTATTCAGATTGATTAATCACAGATGGAATATCAGGCAATAGCTATTTAAGTTATTATGAACCTTAAGCTAATATATAGTTACGTTGCTTCAATGGGATCAGCTGAATATAAGGGAGAAATTCAAAACTCAACTACAGATGGTGTCAACTATGTTTTAGAACGTATACCATGTAGTCCTAATGTAAGTATAGTCGAGTATAAACTATAATCTAGATTTACACCACCTGGTATTTTTACAATTTAATGTCTGGTATGATTCTTTTCATGGACATTTTTAGCAAATTTACGCCAGGAAAATTTTACTTGTGCTCATCACATAGAAATAATATGAACTCGGGTATTTGTAGATATTTATGGTTATTGTAATAAAGATCAAAACAAATATCTGTGAAAATTCTAGGCCTATGATTATTTTTATATTTACTCCATACAGTGTATGTCATTTTTGTATTGTTTTTTTTATATAAAATTCAGGGTACATCAACAGCTAACAGTATCTGTGAATTTGTTAAATATGGGGGAGACGAGTAAGTTAATAATTATTTTGTCAACAATAAAAATGTAACTGAGGTTTATCCATTGATTTCCTTTAAAACTAGTCTTGACTTAGTGTTTAATGCTCTACCTTTTTGTACCAACCGAACTAAAGTAATGTGATTTGAGAGAAATTTAAATCCCATCTGTAAATGGCTCTTTTACATGCACACCTAATGGGACTTTGATTTATTATTCCATCATGGGTTGACTATTATTGAGATAAGTGTAGGTGTATGATTTTAATGGACATCAGTTTTAAAGCGATTGTGTTTAGAATAATGTTTGTTTTATTTAATTATCTTGTAAAGTTCGTGGGTTTTTTTTAATACATTCATTTATTTTTCAGGTACACAATATTTATGCAGATTTATATGTTATTTATGTTTCTATGGGTTATGAACTTTATAGTTGCTATGGGACAAATGGTTTTAGCTGGAGCATTCGCTTCTTATTATTGGGCATTTAATAAACCAGATGATATACCTGCTTTCCCATTAATTGGCTCATTATGGAGAACAGTGAGGTAAACTTTGTTTCATTAAACAGAATCAAAACATATCAAAAACCACAATTGTTCTGAAAATTTGTGTTCACAGAATTTATCAGATTTTTCATTAGATTCAAATAATTATTTATTAATCGTTAATTGAAGTACTTCTTATTCAATCACATATAAAAATGCTAAGGCAACAAATACGAATTAATTTATTTGAAATATGAAAATTGGTGTTCAAATTTTGTTTGATTTTTACTTTAGATTTGAATAATTATTTATTTATGATTAATTTGAGTAAATCACATTCAATCACTTATAAATAACCAGTGTTGATAGGCAACACATATATATTAATTTATTTGAAATATGATGTATATATTATAGATATCATCTGGGATCATTAGCGTTTGGATCGTTTATAATTGCTGTTGTTCAAATGATTAGAATCGGCCTAGAGTATCTGGATTCAAAGTTGAAGGGATCCGAAAATACAATTGCCAAATTTTTTCTGAAGTAAGTAACAGTAGATTTGCATCCAATGATTCCGATTCATGGATAGATCTATCAAGAAGAGTATAGTTGTGTGGTCAGGGCAAACGGGTTTATAAAAAAGAGATTATGAAGATAGTCTAGTAGACAATACAGAATTTCAGAGAGGTTGACAAAGATACATTACAAGAACATAAAAAGTGAATTTAACCTTCCATAAGACAATTTCCTCCCCTGGTGGCTAAGTGGGTAAGACGCTGGCTCGCTAGCCTGGAGGTCGGGTGTTTGATCCCTGCATTGGCTGAGAATGTTCATTGCGACAAACCGAGGTCCTGTGTACACATTGGCGGGCATTGTAAAAGATACTCGATATAAGAGTAGATCGGAGTGCAAATTTCCCTCATAGCACACTATATGGCATATGCCCGTCTTCATTAGCCCAGTTCAGAGCAGAACAGTAGGATGTTCAACCCCATTTCATTTCATTTCCTCCCCTGAAATGTCTGTCTGATCAAAATTGTATTTTTCTGTTATTACCATAGTGTCAATCAGTCCATATCAGACACCAAATCATCAATATACTATAACTAATCTAGTGTTATTTGTTTCAGATGCCTAAAATGTTGTTTTTATTGCCTTGAAAAGATCCTAAAGTTTATTAATAAGAATGCTTATATATTGGTAAGTTAAAAGTGGAAGTTAAATTGAAACATATAAATGCATTCATTATCCTCAAGGAGGCGCAAACGCAAAAGTGGCAAACACCTGCACTTCAATACACCTGAAATATGCTACTGTTAGATTGTTTCAACATAGTGTGGAAAGCAAGCAGTTAACATATTCCTGATGGAATGGCCCGAGAAATCCCTCTTTAGCCATTGCTGTACCGAGAGCAAAAGTGTGTTTATTTTGATCTTCCAATCAAATCTCTCCTGAGTAAAGTAAAATTTGTATTCAAGGGAATTTTCATGACTGACATCTAAACGAGAGTGACCTCTTAATAAAATTTCAGAGCTTGCTAGTAGGCCTACTGATATCAAATAAATTTGTACACTTGGATGCATAGGGAGCAATCATCGATACTCGCATTGGTAAATTGGTCCGTCGCTGAAGTTATTTGACTCAAATCTCCAATATAAATTCTGTAGACGTGTCTGGTTGTACCAGAATTAATTACTGCCCACGTACCTTTGTTATGTATTTAATAATTTCTATCCATTTTTGTGAAGTAAATCCATGAATTATTTTTATTTGATCTAAAAAGCATAAGTCAAAAGAACTGTTGGAATTCGTAATTTCTATCCAGTTTTTTTGAAACACAATATGTAAAAACTAACATGACAGTCCATCTCTTTGATCTGGGGTCTTACCTGAAACTTAGGACAGTCGATAACATGCATTAAAAGGTGTTGAAAATATTGTTCGTCTGCTGTGTGGTCCAACATATGATAAAAAGATTACATGTAGTTACGTTTGTAGCTATTTTGGATAGTCTTGTTTTTCACATAATTAGTTTTTCTGTAATATTCTACTATGCACTGGTTAATTGAGCATAATAAATTTTGTGTATTATGACGTAATGTAGCCGCAATTGCCATTATATACTTTTATGTTAACATACTAGAGCTGTGGTTAATCCAATTGGTTTGTTATGCTGTAATGTATTGGTTGTTGACCGGACTGTTGACCAGTCATAATTTGGGACAGAAATTTACAGTGAGTCAGCCAGTGTTTTGATGGGATTAGGTCTAATCAAACGAAACACTGCATGCAGAGAGTATGGCTGTTTATAATGCATAAGTCACTTTGATAAAATAAATAAATCCTAAAATATTTTAGTTTGCATGTAAAGTTTTTAAATGTGACGAACCACTATTAATAGAGCAGATACAGCAAGAGCCCTGTCATATGATAAAAATACTCTTAATAGTTTATCAAATTTATATGATGTACCTAATTCAGTATATTAATAATAATATTGTTGATAATTTTGTGTCTTTCTATCAGATCGCTGTAAGAGGCAAGAATTTCTGTGCATCTGCTAAAGATGGTTTCTTTTTAATTATGAGAAATATTGTCAGGTAGGTACAATTAGGTATAATATACAATACAGAAATTATTACATGTACCGGTATTTCACTGTCTCTGATCTACATTTGAGGAATTTTGAATTCCTTGCAAAGTACAATAAACAGTTTGATTTCTTGATGAAATACAAAACGATAAATGTGCTATTAATTGATATGTGTCATCTATTATTTTGGGATTGAGGCGGGGCACATCAGCCTAGCTAGTTATTTCAATAAAGAGCTTTATAAGAATAACAGGAAATAAGATAATCCGTAGAAAACCCATGACAAACAGTAGTGGCAATCAGGATCAACCCCACAACCATATTTTATTATTTATGACAGAATAATTATTCAATCTGTTGGCCTCGTAAATGTATTTGTAGTTTATTTTGATTTATGACCTTTCCATATTTATTTTTTTCAGAACGGTAGTTTTAGATAAAGTAGCTGATTTTCTACTTTTTTTAAGTAAGCTTATTGTAACCGCTGCTATATGTAAGTATAACATCCAATTTTTCTTTAATTTTTTTTCTGGAATATTTAACTAGATAACCTATTTTGACAAATCTGATTGAAATACAGATCTATATTTCATTTCATTTCATTTTTGTACATCGGGTGACCTCCACTGCATGAAGATCTGACTAGTTGTAGTGGGAGGTCACGTCTAGGGTCATACAAGCAGCTTTTGACCCTATGACATCAGACTTTTGATTAACCAATCAGCATTGATGTTTCTGCTGGGATACCCACAGTTCCATGCACAGCACAACAAGAACTCGCCGCAACAGACCATTTCATTGGCTAATCCCTCATATCAACCAGATCACAGGTTATATAACAACTCTTTCAGATCCTAGTGTAGTAAAGACAAATAAAATGACATTTTGAACTATCTGTGTTTTAGTCAGATTGTAGATGATATAAATTATAGAATATTTCTCTGGTTTGTTGTATATACTCAGGATAATATTATGGTTAAAATATTTCTTGTTTTTCTCAGGTGTTGGTTCATATTTTTGGTTTCAAGGAAGTATTCCGTTCTTTACATCCTATGTACCAACATTAAACTTTTACATGACACCGGTTATAGTAAGTATAATATTTATATTACATCAAAATGAGAGGGGGAGGGAGCAGAGTTAGTACATAGGATTCACACCAGAAATTCCCAGTTTTGAATCCCAGTGTAGGTCAAGGAGTTGTACCTGTGGGCCTGATAAGAAAAATTTGTCTAGTTATAACAATGGGAAAAAAAACAAACAAGCCATGATTATATTTACAAATTGGTAGTGCCCATAAAGGATCCTTGGCAGTTAGAATTTTAATTAGAGACGACAGAAATGCTGCTGTCCAGGAAATTTCTACCCCTTTCATTGGACACAAAGCAATAGAAATAGAAAAAAGTTGAAGTGTATTAGTCTCAAAATGACCTAAGTGAAGTGTTGACAGGGTGTTGAACTTCATTATGTTCCTTGGTTGTTATAGGGGACAACAAGGCATATCAACCAAAATTCATATCCATCCATTCAAGACAGAAATGAAATGAATTGGACTAATATGCTATGAGAACAATTTGTAGGGCTTCAGACTACTCCTGCTTCACATTCAATACAGAGCTATAGTGATTTGAAATGTCTTATCCTTGATTTTTCAAGAATTAGTCTAGATTATTTTGCATTAATGCTCTGTAATAAGAATGTGTGATACCAGACATTTTGAGTTTGTAGTTTGTATCCTCTTTTGTCACAAAGAGATTATCTAAACCTGCATTTAAATATTGAAAAATATCATTGAACTTCTATCTTGATTCCAGTTTTAACAACTGAAATATTGTGCTTAATCGACTTATGGACATTATTTGGTTTATTAAAATTAAACTCAATTGGTGTAAAAACCTAGCTTTGAATATTAAAAAATTTGAATGAACTTCTTTTTTATTTCCTGTGTAAATTTCAACAACTGAAAAATAATTCTAGCTCGACTTTTGAATGTGTGTGTCAAAACTGTTATTGTTTAAACTATATGTCTGTGACCCTTAAAGAGGCATAATCACATCACCAAGAAAATAAATAAAATTCATATTGTGAACCATACAAAGGTATTTTCACATCACCAAGAAAATATAGTTTACTTTATATAATACTAGCAGGATACCCTGCTTCGCTCGGGGGTCATAACCCCGAAACCGGAAGTGGTAGACTATCGCCACCTGGTCTATGTTACTCCCCGGTCTGAGCTACCCCTATACCCCAAATTTCAGACTCGGGGCAGACCTAGTGTAGCCGCCAACCCCGAACAGACCGGCTTCACTCAGGGGTCATAACTCCGAAACCGGAAGTGGTAGACTAACGCCACCTGGCCTATGTCACTCCCCAGTCCGAGGTACCCCTATACCCCAAATTTCAGACTCGGGGAAGACCTAGTGTAGCCGCCAACCCCGAACAGACCGGCTTTGCTTGGGGGTCATAACTCTGAAACCGGAAGTGGTAGACTAACGCCACCTGGCCTATATTACTCCCCGGTCCAAGCTACCCCTATACCCCAAATTTCAGACTCGGGGCAGACCTAGTGTAGCCGCCAACCCCGAACAGACAGACTTCGCTCGGGGGTCATAACTCCGAAACCGGAAATAGTAGGCTAACGCCACCTGGCCTATATTACTCCCCGGTCAGAGCTACCCCTATACCCCAAATTTTAGAGTCGGAGCAGACCTTGTGTAGCCGCCAACCCCGAACAGACCGGCTTCGCTCGGGGGTCATAACTCCGAAACCGGAAGTGGTAGACTAACGCCACCTGGCCTATGTTACTTCCCGGTCCGAGCTTCCCCTATACCCCAAATTTCAGACTCGGGGCAGATGTAGCCGCCAACCCCGAGCAGACAGACTTCGCTCGGGGGTCATAACTCCGAAACCGGAAGTGGTAGACTAACGCCACCTGGCCTATGTTACTCCCCGGTGCGGGCTACCCCTATACCCCAAATTTCAGACTCGGGGCAGACCTAGTGTAGCCGCCAACCCCGAACAGACCGGCTTCGCTCGGGGGTCATAACTCCGAAACCGGAAGTGGTAGACTAACGCCACCTGGCCTATGTTACTCCCCGGTCCGAGCTACCCCTATACCCCAAATTTCAGACTCGGGGCAGACCTAGTGTAGCCGCCAACCCCGAACAGACAGACAGACAGACAGATAAACGACAGACACAAATATATATATAGATTGTGTTCAAAATAAACTTAAGACACTGGAGTATAGAGTTGTTTTGAGTTAAGTAACCCATTTTTACACTCCCTACATAATGCTTTGAAATGCTTGGCTAAATGTTTTTTTCTTTTTTCAGGTTTTGACATTTGCAACATTTGTGATAGCATCATGTTTCTTCAGTGTATATAGCATGGCAGTTGATACACTGTTTCTGTGCTTCCGTAAGTGTTAAACTTTAATCTTTACAAACTTGACAAGAATCCGTTATTAGAATCACTAAATCTAAAACCTTTTTTTTTTAAATTCAAATTCAAAAAGGTGTAGCTTGTATCTACAACAGGTTTAGCTAAATATTTTGCTCCAAAACATAATCAAAACTAAAAGCAACTGTATTTTGTAAAATATCTTATTTGATATTTCAGTTAAAACTTCTCTAGAAAAATACAACTTTTAATATTTTAAAGTTTTGTTTTTATTTCTTAAGTTTCATTATGTTAAAATCAATACGATCTTTCTAATTGCAGTGGAGGATTTAGAAATGAATGATGGAAGTGCAGGAAAACCTTATTTCATGAGTAAAGGTTTAATGGGAATTTTGGGAAAGAAAAATAAATCAACCAATAAAAAGGAATAAAGCTTATGCTTTTCTTACTGAAGGAAATCTGTGATAAAATTTTAATTCTGTCCTTTTAATGCTCAAGAGATTTACTGTATTTTAAATAATATATATGTTAAACTGTATTTTAAAGAGATTTAATGTATTTTAAGGAATATATTTTAAACTGCACTTTTACATGTTATGTATGTATAATATTTTTTTTCAGTAAGTTGTTTAATATTAATATGTATACTAAAATCTTATTATAACTAACAAAGAACACCATTTAAAATAAATTAAATTTATTGGTTATATTTACTGGTGATATTGCTACAGTTACTCCTGATTCAATGCCTTTAATATTATTAAAATACTTAACCCATGGTTCCCTTTCATTTAACTTGTGGATTACAAATATTTGTCTTTAAATATATGGCCTTCTTATCTTATACATTAAAGATTTATTATGGGAGATTAGATAAAGAGCTGGCAGTTCTCACTATAATAGTTAAAAACTAGATAATGTAAATTTCAGTCAAATTGATCCACTCTGAACCAAGATTTTAGCGATAGAATTTACGGCCTAGCCTCGATCATCATTACTAAAGTCGAAACGATAAAAAACATAGACTTGATTATTCATTTCATGATTAAATCATGAATTGAAGTTGAACAGCAAATCAGAACCTAATCCAATAAACATCGCAGGTTAGCGATGATGATATCGAGAGTTGATTATGGTCTGGATAAGTTAATTAATGTCTAATTAATAATTTAGATAACATTTCAAGCCTAAAGAAAGACCTGCAATAGGCAGATTTAGCTCTTGCATAATGTATGTTTAATTAATATTATTAAAATGTTTAAACAATCTTTTGCTTTAATTTGTGGATATTTTGATGAGTGTATGAGTGATGATTGTGCTATTTTGTCAATACTCATGTACAAATGTATATATAATATATAAATTGAAACAATATATTGTTGTTGAAATAAAGTAATATCAGTGAAACAAATTAATATTCTTGCACCTGAATGGCAGCTCTGTGTTACAGAATTACATGAAAACTTCTCTTTTTTAAATACTTGTTTGAAATTTTGAAAGTGAATTACTTTTATTTGTTTTAGTATAGCTTGATATATGTGATATATTTTTGATATGCTCAGGAAACAGGAAAATATTTTAAGTAGAAATGTGTAAACCTATTCTATGTACATATGTCTTTCAGATTACTCCATCCTATTTTTACAGTTCAATTCATTTTTAAATATTGATTACATGAATGAAATTATTTAGATATATGTTATATTTATATTATTTATATGTAAATAAAACTGTTAAATAAATTTGTACAATAGTAAAGTTTGTCTTTTAACCTTAATGTACAAGAAGGGTAATTGTACTGAAAAGTATTCTCTAGATATATAGTAATATAGACAATTAAACAACAATATACACCTGTCTTTGTATATTCACGTTCCCTGTATTCTTGTCATTATATGTTTTAGCAAACAATAAAAATTTATTTTATAAATCCCTAAATTATATGAGAGCTTATTGTCATGACTTGTAAACAGGCAATATTTTCGAATTTAACATCTAGAATCTCACATCTACAACCCCTCTGCTCCCCACCTACTAAATAAAATTTCTGCTAATGATTTCCACCATCACATTCAAATTGCTGAAAATGATGAAATTTACATTATTACAAGAATGGCTTAACTCCTGTTTAACATATACTTTCAACATGTGTATACACTCTTATGTTTAAGTCTGACTTAAAAACTTGATAAACCTTTTATGTAACTAAGTTTCAGTTGTGAAATTTTACAAATCAATCAAATTTAATTATTTACAGTTGGTGCCAGGTGTACCATATCTAAGTCTGTGAATAATATTTTACCACACACTATAAAATAATTGTATAAATGAGACCAGAAATTGTTTTATTACAGCATATTATGTATAGTTTACATCCAAAACTGATATATTTGGCCAGTATCTAACAAGCATATTGACTTCAAATTTACTCATAAATTTCAGAGACGTGTTGGCCGAGAAAGTTTTTCTATGTGATTTCCCCATGTTCAGTTATGCTAGTTCGGATGTGGGACAGAAAACCGAGGTCCTGTGCAAATAAAGTAAACCTTGACAGTTGGAATTTAAAATAAAAATAGCCAATGCAAAATTTTCCTCATAGCACACTGCATGACCATCTTCATTAGCCCAGACGGAGTAGAAAAGCGGGACGTTAAACGCATTTCACTCAGATTTGTGAAGACTAAAGGGAGACAACTTTCTCTCTGATCATGTTGTCACATAATTACTGTTTCTTGTGATCAAAAGATGTAAGCTGAATTTGAATTACATATTAAAAAACAATGGTAATTCTTAAAAGTATTCAGTAAACTATTTGGGATTAAAAAAGAAAAATATTTCCACCTGTTAAAAGACACGTGTTGTCTTCTCTAATGCAAAATAGATGGCGCCTTGTTGTTAACCTTAAACAGACAGTACAAGACTGGAAAATCGGGATTATGTTCAACCCGTTGAGTAGAATGATCTACGGTGCATGGATCGTATACAGTTCTTTGGCCAGAGGCTATACAGTTGGATGGTCTGGGTGACCGAGGCTAGCTTTTGCATTAAAAATAGAAAATAAATAGAGCAAGCATAGAAAATAACGGAATACATCGAACAGATCAAAATAGTTATCTAGGATTCTGCAAAGATTTACAGTAATAAAAGTAACCATGGCTGAGAAAGATGACCCAGCAGATGAAGAACAAGACATGTTAGACGAGGGTAAATATGGTAAGTAATAATTGAACTGAGAAAAGTTGTAAAAGAAAGTTACCACCCATCCCATAGGAGACGGAATGTTGATGTCGTAGACCGTAGACGTCAATTGAAGTAAACAATAATAACTTCATCGATCAACAAAGATTTTTTTTTTTTTTTTAAAAAAGCTGTGGAAAGTTGTCATTGTTATCATAATGCCAGTAGTTGATGTTTATGGAAGACCGAACAGCTTAATATTGTCAGTGGACGGTAGTGCAGGACGGATAGGGCCTGGAGTGGCAAGCTAAGGAAATGAAATGGAGTTTATCTAGGCAAGAAAACTCACCTCTCAATCTCAACTAGTATATAGTTTTACCTGGCAAAACCCCATGTGTTTCATATCGGGCTTCAATTATTAATCAAAAGTGATCGACTATTTTTTTCATCCAAACAACAGGTGATTATTGTTATTTCTGCCACATCCGACTACGATTGGATTAAGCATAAAATCCTACCTGTACCAGACACAGGTACAAACCACAATTTTTAAATTGAAGCGATAATGCTAGCTTTTTCCGGCATTTTAAATTTGACATCTTTATGTCATGAAGGCGTGCTAATATTTATGACGTGTACAACAGCCAAAGTACTAACTTGATACATTAACAAGTTGTGCCTGACTAATATATAATGCACTGTAATTATGAATGTCTGTATCAATTTTGATAAAAACAACGCCTTTATTGATAATATTTGCAAATAAATGAAAGTTGTTTCACTAGATTGGGCTGCGTATATTTAAGACCTAATAGTATAAAATTAACTTATTTTTAAAGCTACGTTCCCAGAAAAGTATTTATTGGGTGGTTATTTCCAATAAAAGTATGTCAATTTTAGTATATATAGAAAGTAGAAATATTCAATCTTCTTACTAGAAAAATAATGGATTCCCTGAAAAACACTCATGGAGCACATACAGGACAAAAATATACGGTTTTCTCTAATCGACCGGCCATCTGACGATTAGGAGTGTCTGCATGCGTGACGTCGAAGGTTGCACGTGGAGATTTAGCGCTTGATGTACATGTTGATAAACTCTATGAAGAGTTGGACGCATGGGTTCCATGTCAGCCGTATATGCCGGTTGGGACCGAGGGCTCTGAAAATGATATATATAGCAGAAATGTTAGCATGCTTTACATCAATTCAAAATGTTGAAATTCCAAACCTCTCAGAATAACAAAAGAAAGCCAGATATGATAACATTGTCGTCAATGAATCCGACCTCACTTCTTCAACATCGGCCCACTTGGACGTACAACACTATCTGAGATAAAAATCATGGAAAAAGACGTGGGCATTGGATAATCCAAGAATTTAATTAGGCTTTAATATTTGTAATAAATAGTCAGCGATAAAGGCAACATCTTGTGTATGCAATGAATTCTCCTCCAACCTTGCACCCGTTGTGTCACGTGACACAAACATGACCTCTTTTGATCGATTTTTTATAGCCGGCTATTCCCTGACAATTGCAATGTATTGAGAAGGATTTGAAGCAAAATTATGATAAATTGATAAGTTTAAATATGTTTTTAGTCCAAATATATCATCAATTCACCCAGTTTGTACCCGGGAATGTATCTTTAAGATGTTATATCCATGATAACAAAAATTAAGTTTGCCAGGTGTAACTAAGGTGCCCAATTGTAGTTAAAAAACAAGCACATCAGTATATCTCAAATTTTTTAGCTACATTCTCGTAGCTAGGTTTTAGCATCCTACTGTTCTGTGCAGACTGGGCTAATGAAGACAAGCCTACTCTTACATGTATATCGATTTCCAACTGTATACACTGGACCTCGGTTTTCTGACCTGACAAGGGCATAGCTGTCTAGTTATTCGAATGGCACAAAAAACATTGCCGTGTAAGATCCTTGACAGTTGGAATTTGCTGCCCTGGAAAAATTTCCCTCATACCACACTGTATGGCGTATGGTTAGTGTTAAATTTTACTGAGGGAGACAGATTTAGAAAGATCCTGTGCATCAAGTTTAGAAGGGGTGGTTTATTGTCAATGGTAAAAGAAATTTTCATACGAATTCCTTATACCCTAAGGATGATCCCTATTGTTTTTGGTGCATACCTGACCCCCAGTGGCAGAGCCACGCCCATTTCTTATATTGATTTGTTTGTCATCTACAGACCTTGAAACTTTGCATACTTATTCCTTCTATCCTAAGGAACATCCCTATTGTTTGTGGTGAATGCCCAACCCCCAGGGATAGAGCCACGCCCATTTTCTTTTTGTGTGTCTGTGTGTCACTTACAGCCCACAATTCTTAATCGATCGTCTTTTTTAATACTTACATGTATTCCTTATACACTAAGACTGACCTCTATTATGTTTGTGTGTCTTGTGTTTACAGGCCACAATTCTTATCAGATCCTTTTGAAACTTTGCATGCCTATTTCTTATACCCTAAGGATGACCCCTATATTATTTTGGTGATTGCCCAACCCCCAGGGGCAGAGCCACATCCATTTTTCTTTGTGTCTCTGTGTGTTGCATACAGGCCACAATTCTTAATGGGTCGTCTTTGAACTTGGGATACGTATTCCTTATAGGATGACAACTGCATGTCCCGACCCCCAGGGGCAGAGCCACTCCAAATTTTTGTGTTTATTGTTTACAGGCCGTAATTCTGAATAGATCAACTTGGTACTTGACATATGTATTCCTTATGGCCTAAGGGCGTCAACTATTGATTTTGGTGAATGCCCTGACCCCCAGGGGCAGGGGCAGAGCCACACCCAATTTCTGCCTTTAGCACCCGAAGGCCACAATTATGAATGGATTATCTGGGAACTTGGTATACTTATTCCTTATACCTGTAGGACGGCAACTATTGATATGGCTGCATATTTATTTTGGTGCATGCCTGGAACCCCAGGGGCAGTGTCACACCCACTTTTTATACGCCCACATTGAAATGTGGTTGTATATTGTTGTCGCCCCCGTCCGTCCGGAGTCCACAATTGCTTGTGGACGCTCTATAGGTCAAAGTTAATATATGATTGACTTTAAATTTATACACAGTGTTTAAGGTCATGCGACGAAGAAGCCTATTGATTTTCAACGATTTTCGATAATTACTGCCAGAGTTATGGCCCTTTATCTTGTGGACACTCTAGACTAGAGGTCAAAGTTAATATATGATTGACTTTAAATTTATGCACAGTGTTTAAGTTCATGAGACGAAGAATCCTATTGATTTTCAGCGATTTCCGATAATTACTGTCAGAGTTATGGCCCTTGATCACTTTGAAAAATCTTGTGAACGCTCTACAGGCTAAAGTTATCATCCGATTGACTTCAAATTGATACACAGAGTTTAAGGTCTTGAGACGAACAAGTATATTGATTTTCAATGAATCTTTATGACTTGAATTGAACAGCTAAATCCATGATGTTAAAAGTTTCGTATACTAAAAGTTAGCATGGGGCAGAACTTTATAAAAACCAAACAAATTCTAATGGTTTTCTGATAATTACTTAATGAGTTGTTACTCTTAATCAGATTTTAATGTATTATAAATGTTTTATTACCGAAAAAATTAAAAATATGTGACAACTCTTGTTGACTGCCCGGACGAAATAGCTGCTGTGGGCGTATGTTTTGTTGCCTGGCAACCTATCTTTTGTTAATATTTTGTCTGTAAATTTGGCAAAAGAAACATCTAGACTTCTTTGCCTCTTGTCATATTACAGCCATTTCAAATTTCATTCTCTTAATTTTAAAAAGTACCATATCAATCAAAACAGGAATGTGGACGTATATTGCAGCGTTAGCGATGCTCTTGTTGTCTTAAGTTATTGTCAATGAAAGCTTTGAACATGAAGTGCACAATTTATCAGCTTGTTTAAGTTATCATCAAATTGACTTTAACAAAGAAGCCTGTTCATTTTGAAAGATTTCTGGGTGGGGGGGTCTAGTGGTTTCCCATTTCTACGTGACGTAGGGCTGCCTGTCCAATCTCGTGGGTTTTCTCTCGGTCCCTTGGTTTCTCCCGCTGCTAAAGACCCCTACAAGCATGTGAGTTATTGAAATAAATTGAACCATATGTCAGTCCTGAAATGACCTAGTTTGTGCAGAGTGAATGCTAACCCCCATGTCTCTCTCTCCCTCTCTTCAAAGATTTATGATAACTATTTTTAGGTTTATTGCCCTTGATAACTTTGGAAAGTCTTGTGGACAACTTGGGTGTTGTGGGGCTATGTTTTGTTGCATGGCAACCTATGTTTTTGCCCTTGATGGTTATATGAAGGGAACCCTATCAAAATTGTTTTTGCCTTTGTCACTGATATCCTGTAAAAGTCTTGAGTTTTTTAAATTTGTAATTCAAACTTGATCGTTGAGTTTTGATTGTCTCAAGAAGAACCCAATCTGCTGGTGAGGGTCTTTGCATGGTCTGGCAACACTGTATTCCAAAATGTTGTCTAGTTTATCACAATCATTTTATAATTTATCATCTCTTGCCCCCAGGTCATATTTATAACCTGTCTCCTTTGATTGACACTCAACATATTGGTCAATCTAAACAAAAAAAATATTTTCCGCCACTTCTCAAAAAGAATAGCTATTGTCCCAAAATGTTATACACAGAATCAAATTTTAACTGTGTGCCTAAAATATTCAGTCAAATATTGGAAAATGGGGCTTCAAACATAAAATTCTATTTTATGGACATTCACAAGCAGATATTTATGTTACAAGTAATTCTTAATGGAAATTAGATAGGAAAAGAAATCAGGTAGGTTGAGAAAGATATTTGATAAAAATCAATAAAGTGCATTGTCGACTTGAATAAATAATTCTACCAGTTTTATCTTCAAAATGAAAATCTACTAATTATTTCCATGATTAACATATTCAATTTTGTGTAATGTTAATTTCATTACAGTACGTATAATTGAAGTTTTTTTATGGTAAATAAACATAAATCACATTAACGCATGACAAATTTATATGGAATACTAGTAAGTTTATTTCTTGCGATGTTTCGATAATGATTCTCTTGCCTTTATGATTCTTTGCTTGATAATGTCAAGAGAACCATCTTCGAAACATCGCCAAAAGTGTTGTGTTATTCTCATTCAGTTACTAAATGCTGCTTAAACAAAATATAAATAGAGAATCTCCTACTCGTCCTTTTTGATATCAAAAAATATGAACTCAAGTTGATAAGTAACAAAAAACGAGGCTCTGTCGAGTTTTTTTTACTTTATCAACGAGTGTTGATATTTTTTGATATCAAAAAAGACGAGTAGGAGATTTTATTTATCACACAATCCTTTCTTATGTGCACAAATAAATAGATATAATTCTTTGCTACAGACTTCACTTTTACTGAACCTGATTACATTACAGCGTAGTGATACATCATTTTTTGATAGCAATTCAACCATTGCAAAGTCCTTTATATTGACCCAGTGTTTCCATCAAAGTCAAGTAAATAAAAATAATTCATTTTTAATAAAAAAAACATTGAGTTACTTTTAATAAAAAATGCACTGTTCTTTGAAAATACAAAAAAGTAGTTCCTTTTTAACTGACCGATCAAATTCATGCAGTAGATTATGAAATTTATCACACAAGCGATATCTACTGTAGAATGTATTTTTGGGTAATAAATCTTCTTATTAGATGACTAGGAAGGTGATTATTCCTAGTTAATGAATAATTTCCTGTGTAATTGTTCAACAGGAACTGTTATTAGTCTAATTATCATGTTCAAGTCTAAAATAGCCAAGTCATTTTCTGACACCAATCTCATTTTGGAAACATCTTTTAATGGGTTACAGTACATCAAGTTTTAGCTCACTAATCTCTATGAAGGATATTTTTATACGCCCACATTTTCATGTGGACGTATATTGTCGTCGCCCCTGTCCATCCGGACATCCGTCCGTCCGTCCACAATTTGTTTGTGGACTCTCTACAGGTCACAGTTCTTGTCCGATTTTGACGAAACTTGAAATATAGCTTTATCCCAAAAAAATCTCGGCTGCTTTCGATATTGGCATGTATCGGATCGAATTTCGTGAAAATCGGCCCAAAATTGACAGACAAAATGGCTGCCGTTCGTTCAGTTCCTTTCGATATATGCGCATATCGAATCGTAATTTCCTGAATTATGGCCCTTGATTGTAGGAAAAATCACTTTCTTGTTAGCTTGTTCTCTATCCATCTCTCGAAAATGTGGGCGTATCCTGCCTGGCAGCCGCTGGTTTCTGTTAACCAGCCTAATATTAAAACACAATGACCGTTATATGTATATTGTAACTTAAGCAGAGATTTAATTTGTTTTAAATTTTGTAGGTAAAAGAAGAGACTATGATCCATCATTTAATGGTCCCATTCAAAACAGGTAAGTAATTAATACTTTAAATGTATGATGAGTAATATATAACCGTGTAGGTTATAGCAGTTATATGTTATAATTTAAATCTTGAATATTGAACATTAATTGTGTGTGTGCTATTAAAAGGTGAATAGCCAAGGATGAATTGTTATGTAATGCTAATGACATGTTAATTTATTGGTTTAAACAGTATTTATTCCGAGAATATGATACTGTGTAAAAAGCATAAATAATAGGATACAAAAACAAGCTAAATAGGCTTATATTAATTTGCTTCCTTCTGGTTTGGGTGTATAATATATGTACAATGTCGAATTATATATGATACAGACAAAAACTAATTACTTTATTTTAGTTATGGTAAAAACAAGCAAATAAATAATTTTGAATAAATAAATAAATAAATAAGATAAATTTTAAAAAATAAATAAATAAAGATTTAAGAAAAAATAAATAAATAAATTCCTCACCCCAAGGTTGTATTTTACGGAGTAAAACGTTTCGTATCTTTAAAATATTTGTAAACACTTTTAAAAATATCGCTGTTGACGTCTGGAGATAATTCGGCATTTCCATAGAGTAGGCAAGTGATATTTATAAAATACATTGGTAATAAATGAATGGTATTATTTCGCTGGAGTGTGTAGTTTGGACAGAAGAGTAAAAAGTGTTCAGTGGTTTCAATGTCGAGATCCCAGTCACATCGAAGATTGTCATATATATGCATAAGGAACTTATGGTATCTTAAATCACTTTTATTATTACGCAGTTTACAATGGATAATTTGGAATTGTTGTTCACCATAGAAAAACAGTTTGTTAACTTTGGGAAATAAGGTTGGATACAGTTTAGTTTTAAAATCAGAGACAGACGAGGTCTTTTTTATTTCATTATACAAACTATTCCACGCTTTTATAGTAGACGGCAAAAAGGAGTTTATATAAATATTAGTTTTACATTTAATTTGTGTAATGTGGTCGGAGTTACATAGATTGTAAGGGTTGTTGGAAGAGGTAATTGGCGGAATAAGACAACAAAGATAATTGGGAGCTTTGGTATTTACCATTTTGTAAAACATTATTAATTTATGAGCTTGATGTCGCACTGATAAAGATGAGAATCTGGATTCAGTATAAAGTTCCATGAGGAAGCCAGTTATCGTTGATAAAGCGTTTAAGTGGAGCTTTTCTAGTTTTTATAAGCCCACATTTAAATGTGGTCGTATATTGTCGTCGCCCCCGTCCGTCCGTCCGTCCGTTCGGCGTCCACAAGCAATTGTGGACGCTCTAGAGGCTAAAGTTAATATCCGATTGACTTTAAATTTATACACAGTGTTTAAGATCATGAGACGAAGAAGCCTATTGATTTTCAGCGATTTCCGATAATTACTGCCAGAGTTATGGCCCTTGATCACTTCAAAAAATCTTGTGGACGCTCTAGAGGCCAAAGTTAATATCCGATTGATCTTAAATTTATACACAGTGTTTAAGGTCACGAGACGAAGAAGCCTATTGATTTTCAGCGATTTCCGATAATTGCTACCAGAGTTATGGCCCTTGATCACTTCAAAAAATCTTGTGGACGCTCTAGAGGCCAAAGTTAATATCCGATTGACTTTAAATTAATACACAGTGTTTAAGGTCATGAGACGAAGAAGCCTATTGATTTTTAGCAATTTCCGATAATTACTGCCAGAGTTATGGCCCTTGATCACTTCAAAAAATCTTGTGGACGCTCTAGAGGCCAAAGTTAATATCCAATTGACTTTAAATTTATACACAGTGTTTAAGGTCATGAGACAAAGAAGCCTATTGATTTTCACCGATTTCCGATAATTACTGCCAGAGTTATGGCCCTTGATCACTTTGAAAAATCTTGTGGACACTCCAGAGGCCAAAGTTAATATCCGATTGACCTTAAATTTATACACAGTGTTTAGGATCATGAGACGAAGAATCCTATTGATTTTCAACGATTTCCGATAATTACTGCCAAAGTTATGGCCCTTGCTCTAAAGGCTAAAGTTATCATCCGATTGACTTCAGATTGATACACAGAGTTTAAGATCTTGAGAGGAATAAGTATGAATAAGTATATTGATTTTCAATGAATTTTTATGACTTGGAACAGCTAAATCCATGATATTAAAAGTTTTGTATACAAAACATTAGTATCAGGGCCTAAAATAAGGTTAAATTCTCAGAGCACGGATTTAGAGTCGACCACCCGCGAGGGCTTCAGACGCGAAACGCGCCGGCGGGTGGTCTGCGGGGCCTCCCCCAGAAAATTTTGAAAATTGAGAGCTTGAAACCGGCATCTGTGGACTATTCTGGTGCAGTTTACATACTGTAGGAATTTTTTTTGTCGCGAGCAGCTTTTTTCACATGAAAACTAAGCACTAGGAAGACAACACATCACTTTCGTTACGATAATACAGAACTGTAAATCAATTCAAGCTCCCGTTTCCCGTCCATATTTCAATACTTAAAATCGCAGATAACACCAAAAATAAGTCAAAAACAAACTTTTTCAAAGTGAAAGTGAAATGACGGTCAAGGTCGCAGGGAGCGGACTGGATACCAAGCCTACTGAAAATTGCGAGCTTGAAACCGGCATCTGTGGACTATTCTGGTGCAGTTTACATAGGAATTTATTTTGTTGCGAGCAGCTTTTTTCGCATGAAAACTAAGCACTAGGAAGACAACACATCACTTTCGTTACGATAATACAGAACTGTAAATCAATTCGAGCTCCCGTTTCCCATCCATATTTCAATACTTAAAATCGCAGATAACACCGAAAATACGTGAAAATAAGTTAAAAACAAACTTTTTCAAAGTGAAAGTGAAATGACGGTCAAGGTCGCAGGGAGCGGACTGGATACCAAGCCTACTGAAAAACCTGACTAGTATGCTGATGCGGCTGGCGCTCACTCGACTCATCCAAGGTAGTCGCGAGTGAGCGCCAGGTGATCTGATCTGATCTGTGCAACTGACCACACCACAAGAACACAAGAAGAAACACCCAATTAGGGATCAGGAGGCATCGTTGACTACACTTTTTTAGAGCACTACACCATTTTTCTGAGCATGGTTTTCTTATTTTCGAAGCACAGATTTTTCATTTCGAGGCACGTTCGTGCTCCAAGGCACGTTTTTTTAGGCCCTGGTTAGCATGGGGTAGAAGTTTATAAAAACCAAACAAATTCTAATGGTTTTCTCAGTTGTTGCTCTTAATCAGATTTTAGTGTATTATAAATGTTTCATTACCGAAAAAAGTAAAAATATGCGACAACTCTTGTTGAATGCCCGGACGATTTAGCTGCTGTGGGCGTATGTTTCGTTGCCTGGCAATCTATCTTTGTGAATTTATTTCAGTAGTATTATTCCAGACTATATCAGCGTAATCAAAAATTTATTATAATCCCTTACTGTTTATAAAACTTTTATAGATAGAAAGTAACTGCCAATATGGCCTGTCTCCCCAGTGATTAAAAGTAATTCCATATAAATATGTGATTGTACTTGATATGTCAGTCATTTAGGTCTATCTGACTTAGTAGCAGTAGGGGATCACGGTGGCTAAGTGGGTAAGGCGCTGGCTCGCTAGCCTGGAGGCCGGGTGTTCGATCCCTGCATTGGCAGAGAAAGTTCATCCAGATTTTCCGGCGTGGTTCTCCCATATCAGTGATGCAGGACGGAGGGCCTGACAAGGACAGCTGTCTAGTCGTTCGGATGGGGCGAAAAACCGTGGTCCCGTGTACACATTGGCGTGCACGTAAAAGATCCCTTGACAGTTGGAATTCGATATAAGAGTAGGCGTAGTGCCGCTGTCCGGGCAAAATTTCCCTCATAGCACACTGTATGGCGTATGCCCGTCTTCATTAGCCCAGTTCGGAGCAGAAAAGTAGGACGTTAAACCCCATTTCATTTCATTTCACTTAGTAGCAGTAGATACTAGTCGGTTATCCGCGGTCCTGTAAGTGTATGTAGATAATTATTATTATAAGTTTCCAGTATTAAACATTTAAAGAGCCATTCCAGACTCTTTTTATATCTGAAGGACCTCTCGGTCACAAATATATTGAGTTTCAAGAAATTAAACTTGTTATTTTACAAACATAAATTATACATTGAGGAGGATTTATATTGCATCAAGTTTGAAATATGATTGATTATTAAAGGGTTTGAAGTTTAGCTTATACAAAAAAAATAATAAAGACTTGAATTTTTTTTAGTGTATGATGATGATGTAGTAATATGGTTGACATATAATACATGTTATTATATAAATCATGTTATCTATCTGCTGATTTCTTGAAATACTTGGTACACGTAATCACCCTTTTCTGTAATTCTCTAAGGATGTGATCTTTCTATCCTAATACACTCATTACACCATTTTCATTATATTGTAGGAATGTCTATTATTGATCCAATCAATCTAATTGAGTGTTGGTTGTTACACATGTACTAATAGAACTTTGTAGTTATATAATTAGTCTTGGTCACCCAGAACCTCCTGGTCATCAACGTACGGAGGGTCTGGGACTGTTGTCAATATTTGACGAAAAGTCCATTGCCAGTTCCGGATTAAGCTCCACCAAGGCCTGAAGCGGCAGTTGCTGGAGGGCCTATTTAGTTTTTAAATAGGGCCTATTTAAAATGGCGTGGGCCGAATTAATTTCAGGTCAATGTCTATGTTGATACTTAAATTTGATTGGCTAAGCACTAAAATTAATCTAATACTGTCCAATCAAATTACTAAAATTTTGATTTTATCTTAGTTAAAATTTCGTGAAACAGGCCCCAGGTCTCTGGAGCTTTATCAGATGTGCACTGAATTGGATTCTTTTGTAAAAAAATAAAAGGACGCTTCGATTTAATCATTTATCAGTCAATGTTTGTTAGTTTTTGCATCTATGAGCATATATTAAATTATGTACACAAAGTGTAAATTCAGTGTTCCTGTTTAATACTGTATTAAAGTCAAATGGAATTCATGAA